ACAATTCCCCATTAATTTTCTGCGCCTTCTTTCTACTCTGCTTTTCTTCTCTTCTTTTTTGACTGATTACATTTGATTCCCCCGGCCTTTTCTTGCCTCCCCCTTTCCCCCCCTTTGCCCTTTTAATCGACCTTTAACTTCTACGCCTATTTCACACTACCTCCTTCCCTCTCTCCTTGCATTTTTTTACCTCCTTTTCTTTTCCCGTTCCTGACGTCCCAATATACATTAGCCTGTGCCGTCTTCGTCTTCTTTGCTACATGATTGCTTGCTACTTTTGCTCGCTGTGGACGTATACCAGTGGTCACTAAATTTTTTTTGTTGATTCCTTATTCCTCTCCATACAAAAAATCATGCCGCATCTTGCTTGTTTTTTAATACCCGGTAGGCGCCACTTAGCTAGAGACATACATGGTGATGGCAATTACCCCCGTAAATACGTGTTTTTCTTTAATTTCTCATCTTTGCCCCCCAGTTCTGTGGTGTGATTTATGTATGATTCACTTCTAGGAGGAGCAACTTGATTGCTTAAAGCGCTAGAGACGTTTTATATGCCTTTATAAAGTGCAAGAAACTCCTCAATTCTGTTGAGCCTGAGGGAAGTAAACATTATTTATATACACCTAACTCCTGATCCTGCCAACCGTCCTTAATAAACCAATCCCAATAACCACTGAAGTTTCAAATATCATTATAATCATTTAAGACTTGAAAAATATCAAGTTTGGCCGGCAATGTGACGATAAGAATCGAAAAGAAATAACCAAGAACCAGTAGCTGGTACTTCTAGACCCTACTCCGAAGGACTCTCCTCCCAGGAGCAGGCTGTTCAGCTCCTTGCCCCTTTCTAGCAGCAGCAACTGTGATTTTTCGGGTAGTTGAAGCGGTTGCTGCACTAGCAGTGGTCGCAGCTCGGCCTCTAGAAGTTGGCGGTTTCTTCGATGCTGTGTTAGAAGCTTCGGGCTTCTTAGGAGCAGCAGATTTCGCCGAGCGGACAATCGTTGTCCCTGCAGTTGCTACTGACGCGTTTGATGATGTAGTGCTGGTGCTGACTTGCCGGTTGGTTTGGCGTGTGCCTGGCCTTGTAGGAGGCCTTCTCGAACCACCAGGCGCCGACTTGATTGACATGGCCTTCTTTGGCCTAGGGACTCTTCCGGGTGCAGAGTCTGAGCTGTTGTCTGGCGGGGTTACTCGGCGAACCCCGGCTGCACCTCTCATGGTCCGAAGCTTAGGGGTAGCGGGGGTAGCAGCATAATTCATGTGTTTTGTGGGACTAGTATGTTTCAAGGGAGAGAAAGCACGGATATGATAAGGCTCTTGTTGCTGTGGCTTGGTAGGTGACATCTTCAAAGGTGACTGCGGAAAAGTCCTAGAGTTTGAGGACTTTGGTGATAGGATGTTAGACTCTGTGCGCTGGGATACATTGCGGGATGATGCAGCTGGTAGAGTCGGCTTGCTTCGCTGCTTTGGGTTCGTGAGTGGATGATTTGAAAGGTCTGGGTATCCAGCATTTTCTTTATCAGAAGAACCATGACTACAGATATTCAGTTAGCTTTTGTTCTTAACTAAAAAATCAACGAGTTGATTTACCTTTGGCGCAGGGCCCCGGAACGGCGTGCTGTCGAAGTCGCCGGTGCTTGCGTTACGGGGCGCACAGTCTTTGTATTTTTAGACGGTAAGCTCGGTTTCTTAAAGGGGGATCTGCTGTCTGTTGTCTCTTTGGCGGCCTCTGAATACTTAGCGAGTAGTTCGCCCAAGTTCTGTTTACGAAGCGCCATGGGTATTCGGTTTATACGTCGTTCAATTCTCGCCCGTAAATCTTGCGCCTGGAGGGCGTAGTGAGCGCGTAGTTTACGCGCCCGTTCGGTGACTAGGACTCGCGATTAGCTATATATCCAACCAGCGCCGGTCCATGTCATGGGAATCCCACTTTCTAATTGCAAGTTGTCCATCAACGCCTGCTTCTGTTTCTGCGTGATCCTGAGCTTCTTCTTCGATGGGCTCCGCGTAGGAGTATGTGCTTCATCGTACTGGCTGCTTGGCTCTGGCGACTTTCGCTTTCTCGAGACGGCGGCCGACATTGTGACTGTTGGGTCCTGGTGTAAAATATAGCCAGCGCAGTGCTCTTTATCCCTCTTTCAATGGTGTATCGTATCTAGTTATGGCGATAATCGTCTTCCTCGTGGCGTGAGTTGCTGTTCAATTGTTGATGTTGATATTGAAATAAACAAGAAAAGCGAAAGTCGCGATGTAAACAAATGTCAAGATTACGTAAACATTACGACGCTAGTCCTGATTGAGAGCTCCGCGGTAACCTTGAAGCTTCACCTCTTCTTGTCAGCAACAACGACGACGTCAAGAAGCATTTCTCTATCACGATCAACTATACACATATACACACTCACTCTTTTCTTTCTCTTCTTGCCCTGTGCCGTGTTTTTTATACCTCTACTTCGCATTATAAAGGCTAGGTATAGCTCTACGGCCGCCACGATGTCGCTCGAAGCCACGATGATCATGTTCGTCCCACCCCCAAGTTCGGTGCTTATGGACGGCAGCATGCTAACGAAGTATGGAACAGTATCGATAATAGCGAAAGCAGCAGAAATGGCGACTACCTGTATGTTGCCATGGAGCCACTGAATACACATTCTACATCGCATGAACAGCTACTAACAGGATGACAGCCCCACAAGATTCGAGGCTCAAGCAGATGCTGTAAACATGATTCACTCCGCAAAGACACAGGCACACCCACAATCAGCTGTTGGATTAATGAGCATGGGAGGCAACGGGCCAGAGGTTCTGGTTACCCTGACTGAAGATATTGGCGGGATTCTAGAAGGTCTTCACCGGACAAAGATTGGCGGAACTGCACACCTGGCCTCCAGCATACAAGTTGCATATGTAAGCCTACAGGTTACAAAAATGCTCATCACATGTGTCCCAAGCTAACGGTCCTTATTGCTATTGTATAGCTAGCACTTAAACACCGAAAAGAAAAGGCCCAAAGACAGCGAATTATCGTCTTCTCCTGCTCCCCGGTTGTCGAAGACGAAAAATCGTTTGTCAAGCTAGCGTTGAAAATGAAGAAGAACAATGTTAGCATCGACTTTATTGCATTCGGCGAACTTGATTCAGATACAACGAAGAAGCTAGAGGCTTTCCACCAGGCTGTCAACAGTGGAAACGGATCTAATCTTGCTATCATACCCCCTGGTCCCAACCTTCTTAGTGACTCGATCATCGCAACCCCGATCCTCGGAGGAGACGGCACTGGTGTAGGGCGGGGTGAGGAAGGAGGCGATTCTGGCACAGGATTTGAATTTGGAATCGACCCTTCTGCCGATCCTGAGCTGGCGTTTGCTCTACGCATGTCGTTGGAGGAAGAAAAAGCCAGATTAGAGAAGGAGAAGCAGGAAAAAGAAAAACAGGAGAAGGATTCTATGGATAAAATTCCAGAAGAAGGTGGAGAGGCCAGCGGCAGCGGAAGCGGGAAGAAGAGCGATGACAAGAAGAAGGAAGGTGACGGGGATAAGATGGATACGTCGTGACGAATTTCGTTTGAAGCAGCTTTACGATGGGAAGAGATATGGGCAGCGTTTATTACTCTAGACTAGTGACGCTCGATGGCATTCCTGGCGTTCGTAGATCAATGTATTCTACTTGATATTGGACTCGGAAGTGACCGTACATCAGTATATTCAGGCCAGTGCATGATATCGTCAGCCAAGTACATATGCTAATGTTTCTAGATTATTCATTAATTCGTATCTGATAAAAAAAATAAAGGAGGTCCTTCGCGTAGAGTCTATCCTCCGCCCAAAATTTAGGTGCTATCTCCCCCTGAGCCAGGTCCCCAGATGGCGGTCAAACGACTCGCATCTCACCGGCATCTCAAGCTGATAAAAGGGATTTTTCATAACGTAGTCTGCATACAGCTCGTACACCTTGGCAATCACATTATCCACGTTCGGCATAAGCGGATCGGTAAAGAGCAAGAACTTGGTCCCCGTCACCGTTTGGAAACACGTCAGTCTAAACCGTTCTGTCTCGAGGACTTCTAGGCCTGTCTTTGGAAGACCGGGGTTAGGCAGCGTAGAGGTCATGGGTATTGTTGCTGCTGAGGTATTGGATGTAGCGGGGGCGGAGTACGGTATAACGGGCGTAAGAGAGCGGGTAATGGCATGGACGCTGTTTGTATCGACATATCAAATTGCCATCGGTCAGCTTGGAAATCCGGATACTGGAGTATTTGTTTTGTTGGGATGGCATGGCATGGGGATGGGATGAGCTGTTTGCGTACCCATGAAATGTGCCTGCGAAGACAAGATAGTCATTTGTCGAGAGCTTCTGGAGGCCAGCCTGGAAGTCCCGCTGGTAAACCAGGCCTCCAGCCTTGTTTATGATGACTAGGGAGTAAACAACCCTACAGTTGACGGGTCAGTCAGTCCGTCAGTCTATGCGAATGCGCCGCAGCTTCACCGGTTGAGTGTCCGCACAAGAAAGGCCAACTCACATTGTGTTCAGTCTGCTCCCATTATGGTTTCTTTTTCCCGGCTATAGCTCCGCCTGAGTATGCCGTCAATTGCAGGACTCCGTCGTCCCTCCGTCAGCGTTTGTCTGTTCTTCGTCTCGTCCCGTTGGCTTTTGTTCTTCGTCTTCGTCTTCGTCTTGAAGGTTGAAGTTGATATCGTAAGTATTGTAATGCCATTACACAAATACACGACTATTGACAGAGAACGTGACACGTTATCGTATTGAATATTACGCTATAAAATACAGCATCATCAACCACAAACGACTTCGACTTTACATCGACTTCGACTTCGACAACAAAGACGGCTTCTGCACGATGTTCCTTGCGCATCCTTCGATCTACGGAGTATAATAGCGCTCTGTTAAGGTGAAGAGAGGGGTATCCGGCCTCTACTCTGGACAGTTAGTGACCGTGAGGCAGTCTTTCACGGTCTGTCGCGTTCATGGGCGGGCAAAGGGAAGATGGCGATTGGCAGGGAATGCTCCAAAGAAAAAAAAAACCGAGTGTCAGGATTGCCCAAAAGCAGTCAGGATTTACATAAATGCATCCTTAACATCCGCACCGGGATAATCCCAGCAACTATGGAGGGCGCATCGCTGAGGACCGTGAGGCTCAATTCATGCATTTGCGGCGCAGGCTTATTAGACAAAGACTCTCGGCCCTTGCAAGGCGCAGACGGCAGACAAGACAAGAAGAAGAGGAGGAGGAGGAGGAGGAGGAGAGATGGACTGCAGGCACGATTTATCATGCCCATGCAGGGGATTTTCCCCTCTCCATGAAGAAGAAGAGGAGGAGCAGAAGGGGATGGCTGTCCGGCCTCCTTGCGATCACATCATGCTGCATCTTGCATCTTGCATCGCATCAACCCATCGACCAGATTTCATGCAAGCCAGGCCTTATCGATAAAGCAAACTTCCGCTAACATCGTGGAAAAATAGCTAAAGTATGGGGTCGCCGAGTGCTTCTGGCGAGGAAGCTTTTCGTCATGGCTGCTGGTGTTGTAGCTGCTGCTGCTGCTGCTGTCGACCGCAGCCCGTAGACCGTAGTCAAGTTCAATAGCTAGCCCGGCAGCGACAAGGACCCGGAGTAGATATCGCGATAGCTGTTTAATATCGAATAGTATCTGTCATAATATTGAAGCAGACTCCCTTGCACACTAAACCTGAACGGGCGGGGACGCTAGCTGAGGATCCAAGCAAGCTGCGATATTCCAGGGAGGAGCCAGAAGCTGTATTGGATGGACGTTGCCCGTTTCCGCGTCTGCGTCGTCTGCTTCGCCCTGTCCACCAGCCAGCCCTCGGGAGCCTGCCTGCCTGATCGTCTGCTGCTGCTGCTGCTACCGCGATAACAAGCTGTCTGCCTGTATGTATGTATCCACCTGTACGAGAGCCGTGTTAGAGAGCAGTTCCCAGCCCGTCAAGGGGAACAAACCCGTGTATAAGAAGCTGAGCTTCGTCCCCCGTCAGTCGCTGCGAGAGTCCGGTCGATACGCAGGCTGCCGCGAGCGTGATTCTGATATCCCTGGCCTATTGTCTCTTTTGCCCTGTTTGCTCTGCGCTCGCCTATCTCTCGTTTCGCCTCCGTTTGTTTGTCGTCCTGGCCTCCGTTTTGTGGGAGCAGGCTGAAGCTGAACTTTTCCTTTCTTTGCCTGCAGTTTCTCTTTGCGCCTCGAACAGTCAACACAGCTCAGGCCAACCTCTTTGTCTCTCTTTTTTCTCCATCAGCCATCATATTGTCTGCTTCTCGGCTCTGCTGCTGGTTATATATGATAGCTCTCCCTGTCATAAGCCTGTAATGATTTCTGGAGGAGCTTGAATGTTCCATCCGACCTGCTGAGTTGGCAATCTGATAACTCATAAGAGAAACGCACACAGGGAGAGAGAAGAGACTCAGAACTCTACAGCTTAATAGAAGCCGGTGATTTGACCAGCCATGTCGAACCAGGCTCTTCTTCGTATCGGGAGGGTATGTCTCATCTACCTGAATAGCTTGAAGGCCCAGACAGTGTTGCTGATGCCGTGATGGAAATATACAGGAGATCAGTCAGATCCAGCAGGGAGCTGACCTCTGTAAGTCAAGGACCCCCAGCTCTCCCTTTATGACCTTGTCCATGGGGCCTTTTTGAGTCCCCTTCCTCGGTCAGTTACTTATACGACATCTATCCCAGCCCTGGCCGTGGCTTGCCAGGAAGCAGACATCCGAAACGTCAAGGCTCTCATCGTTGGGCCGCCTGGAACACCATATGAGTTTGGCTTCTTTGAGGTATAATCATAGTTACTTCTTCTAGGGCGACGATCCTTGCTAACCGCGTGTCAATAGTTCTCTATCAAGTTTACTGAAGGTCAGGATGTTTGCCAAATATACCCAGTTGAGACATACAGTGCAGCAGTTGCTCATCATAACATAAAATGACCAGACTACCCTGCGCATCCACCACATGTCCAGGCTATGACTACCAACGGCGGAAGATGCCGTTTCAACCCCAATATTTATGCCTCGGGCAAGGTTTGCGTGTAAGTTTTGATACATTTAACTCGAAGAAGACGGCAGTTTTCTGACATACATATGCATAATATAGGTCTATCTTAGGGTATATTCAACTTGTTTTCTCATATTGGAGTAACAAATATTAACAGTCTTTCACTAGGACATGGGAAGGAAGCAGCGGGGAGCAGTGGTCTTCAGCCCAGGGTCTGGAGTCCATATTGATCTCCATCCAGAGCTTGATGTCTGCAAATCCCTACGAAAATGAACCTGGATTCGAAAACTCCAAATCTCCCACCGACCTTAAAGCAATGGAGAACTATATCTCCAAGGTGATACCACTATTTTCTGCATACAGCCAGTTTATGTTCATAATTCTGACAGAGCCTCTAGATCCGACACGAGAACATTAGGATATCAGTTATCCAGCACTTGGAAGACTGGCTTGGCATCCAGCCTGATGGTACTATCGTATCACCTTCCGCGGATGAAAAGACAGAAGACGAAGAGATGTTTGGCAGTGAAGATAGCCAGCCTCCGTTTGAGCCGTTTAAAGACCTCTGCAAACGTCGGTTCCTCTGGTACTATGAGACGTATAAGAACACAATAGCAGAGGCAGAGGCAAAATGTCCCGCTGGCTCACGTTTCCAGAGAATGCAATTTGAATTCACCGGCAACACGATGGATGGCCACTTCAACTATGCTGAGCTGACTAAGAGACTAGATACCATCAAGGACACTCTCATGAAAGAAACAGATTCGTGGGCGGAACTAGGCCTGAAAGCCAAAAAGAACGAGACAAGGATTGCCGTTAACCTGCAACGTCAATATGAGCAGATTGTCGAAGACCTGAAAAACAAACGACATTTCACTGTCGACATATCCCTAGATGAGGGAAACCCGCTTGTCTGGCTGGTGACTTACTTTGGCCGGCCCATGACGCATTTGGACGGTGGTATCTTTAGAATTAAGATCGCCCTCAGCCCTAATTTCCCAGACGAACAGCCCCGAGTCATTGTTCAAACCCCTCTATTCCACCATCGTATCTCAAAGGACGGCATTCTCTGCTATTTCCCGAAGAAGCTAGAGGATATGAAGGCACACGTTGAAGCCATTGTTGAGGCACTGGAAGATGAATCTCCTCCTTATGATCCCCGAGCAACCGTTAATCCGGAATGCTCCAAGCTCTTCTGGGGCTCTGCAGAGGATAAGAAAAAATACAATCGCATGCTAAGACGTTCGGTTCAACGCAGCATAGAGTAAGCTCCATTGCCCTTTCTTTGCCTCAACCCCCTTACTAGTCATTCCCAATGCTAAACTACGGTATAGCGAGTGATTTTACCTTTACAGCGATCTCAATATGGCCGTTTATGAAAAGTAAACACAAAAAATGCCAAAAAAATAAAATAAAAAAATAAATGGCCTTCAATACCCCGGCGGGCCTCACTTTCGGTTCTTAGGCCAAAGTTACATTTGTTGAATACCAGTGATTTCGGCAACGTCGTCACCATACCGTATTCATGGCGTTCTTTCGGCGTCCGTTTTCACTTTCTTCTCTTATCTCTCGCATTCTTTCTGAGACTGTCAACTTAACTACCAGTGATGAGCCTACTTCCGCTCGCACTGGGATATTTCTCTTCCTCATGTTATTGATAATTAAAGTTAGTACGTTGAGCTTAATAGTTTATTTTTTTCTTCCTCATTCCAGTACTCTAATGATACAATATAATAAGTGTATATCTAAATATATGCTTAAAAATATGCGTAAAAAGATAATTACCAACCAACGCCTTCTAGTTGTAGAATAAGAAAAGGCTGATAACTAAATGTATGCAAAAACAAAGGAAGCCAGTAACGTGTTGATAGTGTCGAACGTGGACTGTGCCACCAGCCTATAAACCTCGAATTCCATCAAATCTTCCTCGCCCAACAATTAGCAAATACTTGTCAAATATAACCAATCTCCCATAAATGTCCACGCTTCCCCTTTTTCGACCAGACACCCCACGTTTCACGCATCGGCTTTACCTAGCCTCCTCGAACAATGTAAGTTTCGAGATCAAGAGAGATCAAGAATGCTCAGCCTGTGCTCGCTCTTCAAAATAACAACCCACTTGGAACTCACCAGCCATGGATAGCCCCACGAAACTAAACACTGAGATTCTCGATACCCTAGTTGACGGAAAAGACAGGACCTCTGCCAAACTCAAGGCCATCATCAAGCGCCCCGCGCCAATAATCGACACGAGCAGTATTCACTTGTCAGATGGTCAGTTGCGCGATTATAGTATAAGTAAATCTACCATGAGCTTAGAGCAAGGAGGTCACTTTTTTAAACCACTTTCACAGCAATGTTCCGAGTCCCTCGCTCGCCATGAGGAGTTTTATGAAGTGGATGAATGAGAAAATGACCCAAGCGACATACAGGATGCCCTCAAGATTTACTGGAAACCAGGAAACCTTCTTGTATCTGAGACTCCTGTTACTCCAAAAGACAAGCTCAATGTCGGCCGGTGTTTTGCCGATTATGCCGCATGGAGGACAGCACAGTGAGTGATCTCCGACACAAATTTCTACTTCATTATTCGTCGTTTCCTGCAGTGTCAATCGTTCCCTCTATGGTGGCCATTATGGCATGCCTGGACCGGGCAGAGAATCAACCGACTGGCGCTTTGAGCTTACTCTCGAGCAGCATATACGAGGCACATATTCAAAGCCACACATTATCTCTTTGTCAAGGCATGGCTTATATCTAGATGAAAACAACAACTCGAAAATTGCTTGTAACGGAATCCTCGTGGCCGCTGATACTATGAGATACAGAATTGACTTACCAGTCTACATCCCTAGTGATATATATCCTGTATGGTACGCACTCAAACGACTCTGCGTCATTTTTACAATCTTATACTAACTTGCTTTTCAGATCCTAATAGTCTCATGCTTTAACCGCTAGGCTCGCATGAATGAAGTTTACTTCGAGAACGACGCTCTCCATTTCAACTATATTGATCTAAACTACCTCGAAAGATCCAATCTTGACCTATATGCGCACTGGGCTTTGAGCAATACTATAAGTGAAACTACCAGGTATCCAATCAAGCCGTCAGCCGGCATAATTATAAATTACTTAAACGAGAGGGGCCGTGGAAAGAAAAGGGCGAACAGTCTCTAGAAAGCATCGGAACAGCCCGTACTTAGGCGTCTTAATGAGATTAGGGGCAAATGATATAATACCCCTATACAACCATTTTCTGTATATGTATCGGTTTTCTCTCTAGGATCTAGGATATGGGGCTTATTGTTTTTTAGTATCGCTGAGCTTATGACACGAGGACGTTTTGTATTTCGCCCCAGGTTTCCATATTTTGTATTGTACGTATAGGGGCTACGGTGTGAGAAATGAGTAATGAAATATCTAATGCGCTTGAAGATAGCCATTTCGCAAATTCTAGGCTCATCCTGTAGATAAGCAGTGGTCAAGGCCTACTGTGCATCCTTTGGTGGGCTTCTCTGGTCGTGGTGAGATAAATTATGAACAGTGGGGAATGGAAATAAAAGTAGATTTTATGTTTATCTCATTGTGCATTTTAGTCTTGACAGTAATAGGAACAAGGAACACCTAAATAAAACAAAAAGCATATTAATGTAGAAAAAAGTAATGGGCATGCCTCATTTAGTGGACTCGACGACGGCTCTTATAGCAGGTCCTAGATCACTGCAGCCATACTGCGTTGCCAGATACTGATCCGGGGTATGATGTGCTGAAAATGACGATCATTTTCTCGAAGCAGTACTGAAAGGTCACAGACACGAAGCAGCTCGTACTCCACCGGTAGTTTCTTACTCTTCGAGGAGCCATTTGTAGGAGATTCGGATAACGTTGAGTTATTCAAAATCTCATCTGAAAGAAGGACCAGTCCTCCAGGGCGGACGATGGAATGTGGCCCGGTCATACGTGCTATGAAGGCGTCTGGGTCAGACAAACGGCTTGGTAAAGCGTCGGCCAGCAACACTGCATCGAAGCCAGTAAGTTCAGATGGAAGAGCGCAAACGTCGGCGGTCTGGAAAGTGGCTCGCTCGGGTTGTGCTGCTGTGTCTAGTCGAGCACACAGGTTTGTCATGCGTCCGCCATTGTCACGGCGCTCATACATCCTGCTCCCTGACCGAGCCATGGTGTTTGCTGCGTTAATGAAGGCCTGGTTCGGGTCGACTCCGACAACTCTGTCGAAGTACTTGCTTAGCCCAAACGTTGTGCCGCCAACAGCGCAGCTTACATCAAGCGCAGACTGGAGCTCTAGGCCCTGGGCGCGCGCGGTATCCACGAGTAGCTCAACTACGCGGTGTACGTAATTATGGCATAGGTTGAGCCCAGCGGTGTCTAGCACCGCAGGACCAAGTGTCTCTGCCATGGAGCCATAGTGTAGGAGCATGCGTTGGTTTAGTTCACGGCGGGTATTGGCGTCAACATCAACTTCGGCCACAGCTTCGTCTTTCTTAACAACTCTAGATGGCTTTTCGATCTTACTTCCAGCAGAGAGCGCAAGTCTGATGCCGGAGTGCTGTAGAAAGTGAGGGCGGAACGGAATTCTACCCCAAATACTGGCTTCATCGCCCGTGGCAGCAAAAGCACCACCTAGAAGCAGCTGGTGTTCACCTCCATAGAAGGGGGTGCTGAAGTCCTCGTAGTAGGGATGGACGGCAAAGCCTGGCAGTGGCGCAAAGGCGTCCTCGCACCACTGCCAGACGTTTCCAAAGACATCCCCAAATCCCATGGCGGTGGGTGGCGAGGCATCTGTTGGTGTCTCTGATCCAAAGGCCAGGTTCAAATTAATACCCTTATGAGCAAGTGCATGGCCGTCCATACACATCACAGGGTCATCCTGAGGACTGGGGTTCTCTGGCAACGGGTCGCGCATGCGGTGGTGCTCGACCTCAGAGATGAGTCTGTATGATCGGCCACTGCGCTTGCTACGCCAGGTGCAGTATGCTTTGGCCTCATGGTAGTTGACACAGACCGGCCAGTCCCAAGGCATGGCCACCTCTTCGAAGATCGTGCGCAGGCGGTAGCTGTGGAGCCCGGCCGGCCCGTCCCGAACCCAAAATCGTGGATGCTTAGTGTTATTGAGACGTCTCTGTCCCCATCCGCTCTCAGACCAGTACAGCTGCTCACGATAGCCACCGTCGGCTACAAAGTCATAGAACTCGCCGTTACTAATCAGGTATCTGCTTGCCTCGAAGGCTTCAACCTGGACACGCTGATGGCCGTATTCGTTGTCCCACCCGAACGAAGGGAAATCGTTTGGCTTCCCCATCACCACCTCGCCGGCGGGGACGCTGACCATGTCGTTGTCTGGCACCAATCTCTCCTCCTGAGATGTACGTGCGGATGTCGATGGTGCAGGCCAGGCCGGGTGGCGCGAGAGGAGGTCGACTGGAGATTCTCGAATCAGGACTGAGCTGGTATCCAGGTGGATTCCATCGTGTTCAAGACCGAGAACAATTGCCCAAGCCTTATCGTTCATGTTGACCGGCCGCCCCATCTCGGCAGCAAACTCGGTATTGGCAATAACATCGCACATGACGGTGTACACCTCAGCTCTGTAGGCGTGTACTTCATCGAGCTCCGGCCACACGGTCTCGTCGGTGGAGAGGTCATCCCAGGAATTTTCATCCACGCCAACCTCCAGCAAAGCCTCAAAGTGAGTATTGATGGGACTGTCGATAAGCCCAGCGACCCTGAGTTTGTTGATGTACACGGCTGCTGTATGACCGTAGTAGAAGATGAGCGGATGCCGCAGCTTATGGTCCGGCTGGCGATAGAAGGCCGTCTGCGTACGCAGGCCTGCAAACAGTGTCTCATATAAAGTCCATGTATTGTCAAAATACTGCAGCATCTCAGCCCGGCCGGTTGTCGCCAAGTTGGGCAGCGGGAGTTTTGCGATTACTCCAGCCTCATTTACGCCGGGACAAACCCCTGGCTGTGGCGCCTTGCCAGTAAACCATTTTTCCTCGCGGAACAGGCTGTGTGGCGCCGTCTTCGAATTTACCGATGTATGACGCTCCCATTTGGCCTTCGCCACAGCTTGGGCGCTGTTATCAGCGATCACGTCGGCCACTGGTGGCATGGTCTCTCGAATGTTACGCCGGCTTCTCCTATGTCCCGCTTCTCTTAACAACGGAATGGTAGAAAAAAGATGAAAAGAGATAAAAGATGACGATATTTGGCAATGTGATGACGAAACCAAGGGCACTTGAGCTTGTCTCTATTAACTAGTGGAATGTTAACTATCTATTTGGTTATCTATCGAGTCGTCTAATTCTTTTATAGCCGGCCTGACATTGATAGTTCCACCCGGGATCTCACAGAGGCACTACGTATAGCTTCACCCCCTTGACCTTGGCAGTTCGATTACCAACCGTCACGGTCCTAGCTGTTTTGCAGTGTTTCCATGATTGAAATTCATATGAAGACTGCTGGAATAACAGAAGAAGCTACAAGAACCAGTTTGGGGAGCGGATTCATCCCCGCCGATTGGGTTGATTTCAATCCAGACTGCTAGGGAGCGTTGCATGTGTATGCTACCATTTTCGAGATTTCGGTGGCTGGCTGAGTGAGTCCTGTTTATCAGTATTGATGCATTGGTATCTCGTCAAGTCACCGAGGTATTCTCGATCTGACTGCATAATGGTTGATATCAGTACCAAGCGGGTAGTAGGTACAACAGTGGCTGGCTGATATACATCCAACGACTTGACAACCAAGATCACCGATAACTACCTTGAGAGTTCATGCGTTATCTCGAGCCCTTCCAGGGGGGTCGTAACCATCTACCCTTTCCTGCAATATCCTCCCTGTTTCACAGGATTTGCATAACGGGCTGACCCTTTGATGCAGCAGCTTCCTAGCTATACATAGAACAGATGACAGTGCGGCACACCTCTTGAGGGTTACATAGATCCCATCGGTTCCGGAAAAAAACGACTTCTGCACCCGGGAAAAGAGAATAAATGCGCTGGAGACCTTCCGGATCCCAGAACGAAATGAGAAATGAAGCGCTGTCGGTGGAGCGGATACAACTTCCATTTCCCGCCCGCCTGTACTTGCTCGGCCGTGCAGCAAGCCCCCACCCTCCCCCAAGTGAAAACTGCGATTTACTCCATAGTTACCCTAGCGAGGACGGATGCAGACGCCCGCGTTCAAACCCCTCATCCTTGCATCCAGATATATTGTCTCTCCCACCTTATCTCGCACTCTTACACTATATATTGAAAAGGTTCAATCTTACACATGTATAGCGAGCACTGCATCACTCTACAGCAGACACACAGATACCATCGCTACCATCGACACTTTGATCTGCCGCCACTTCCGTGCAGTTCGTACTCGATAGGCTAGCTTGGACCATGGCTCCCCACGCGAACAAAGCCAAGGTCGGCGCCGAAGCCAACTCAACGGCTGGTACTGAAGGGTCGAATGCTCTCCACGCCCTCCTCATCCGTTACCCCAGCATCTGCTTCCTGCGCTGCCAGTGGCAGGACTATTCGGGCGTTGTGCGAGCCCGTATTGTCCCCACGGAGCAAGCAAAAGCCATTGCAGCCGAGAAGAGGAGGCTACATGTTCCAGCTTGTGCGTTCCATTTGACTGTGAGCCATGAGAACATCCCGGAGATGGACCCTAGAGGATATCACTGGCTGGTTCCAGACTGGGACTCCCTGTACCCCATATCCCAGCAATTGGGGGTCGATCCCAGCTACGCCAGCGTTATGTGCGGCGTTGTCGAGCATCTTCCGATAAGACCGGAGTTAAACTGGAACTATTGCCCGCGCAAAGCTTTGAAGACTGTGGTCGAAAAAGCCGAGAAGTTACTCCATGTGCATTTCCTTGTCGGCTTTGAAGTGGAGTTTCAAGTTATGAAAGCTGCAGACGACGGCAAGCTAGGGCCCCATAGTTCTGGGCTAGGTCGTTGCGCTATTTCTGGCCTCCGCGACCCTTGTGTAGCCCATATCGAGGAAGTTGTACAGATACTGATTGAGGCTGGTGTTGGTGTTGGTGCCTTTCAGACAGAAGGAGACCGTGGTCAGTATGAGATCGCCCTCGAACCTCAGTCTCCCCTTCGAGCTATCGACGAGCTTATCTTTGTCCACGATACCCTCAAATCTGTCTTTGCTCGCCATGGGTTGATCGCAACCATGGCACCCCGGCCGGTGGCGTCGCACAAACAAGTCGCAGGACAACACACCCACATCTCGCTCAACCCCCCAAATAAAGAGACGTCATTTTTGGCCGGTATTCTCCGCAGACTCCCGGGACTATGTGCATTCTTCCTCCCGTATGACCTATCATACGAGCGTGTCCAGCCATACCTCGCCGGCCATATCGTTGCATGGGGGTCTGAGAACCGAGCGGTACCTGTCCGCCAGATAAAGTCTGGCCATTGGGAGCTGCGATGCGTTGATGCTACAGCAAACATGTATGTTGCTCTGGCTGCAGTCATTAGCGCCGGTACGATAGGGTGCATCAACGAGGAGGCATTGGTATGGCCCGATACCGGTCTTATCACCGAGCATTTTCCAACAAGCGGAGCCGAACCCTTTCCCAGAAGCGTAGCTGGGGCCTTAGAGCAGCTAGAAAAATCTCGTGAGAGTCTCCAGGAGATCATGGAGAGTCAGATACTTCGACACTATGTCGCTGTCAAAAGATTTGAGGCGCCCAGACTGCAAACATTGCCTGAAGAAACTGTACGGCAATTGCTATGTGAACTATTTTGACCAATTCCTTCAACTAAGAAGGATACATCCTGAACACTGTTTTGCGCCCAAACCCTTGGTGTACGTGAATGCATATATTTAGTCAAATGCTTGAAAGAAATGGAGTAAAATGAACCCTTATCTTGATATTGACGTACATAGCGAAAATATCGCTGACTGGCGGTGTTATGGTCCATGCCCTCTGTACAAAGTATGGAGTACTTTGAGAGGGGTACCAAGGACGACAAGGATAGAAAATTCTAAACCAGACCAGTCAGAAGGAAAACTTGTCCGACAGATCGATGCATCTCAACAGCCAGCATATTTATGCAGAAAGGGTTCACATAACTAGGAGTCAATTCGATCCATTCTTCTAATCAGGCAAGGATGCAAGCCGTAACTATCCATGCCTCATTTTTGTACAATGTTTTGTCCCACGTTGAGCTTGACTGAATTTTGCGCTGACAGTTCATTCCGTAATGCATATGAATTCAGAGCACTAAAGACGATCTTTACCTTCCCTTTCTATGGTTAGCCTGCCAGTGAATAGAGTACGCTGCGCCCTATATACCATATTGCATCGGCTTCACCGGGACTAGTATTCATAGGTTGGAGGGGCAACAGCATATTTCAGACACGTCTTCGTCGAAATACCCAATTCTATCCATGATAACCGATTGTCTCTGCTGTCGACGAATGATTAAAATGTGATACCAAGATTCAGATGTGGGTCCGGGTATTTGGACAACAAAAAGTATGGAGGCGAATCAGATAAGTTTCGGCCTCGTCAAGGCAACGATGTAGTGGTATATTCCTTAATTATCTGAGTAATAAAGGATAAGAAAGGAATCCATGCAGAGCCACGTAGCTCGGCCGGAATGAAGAGGCATTCGAAGGTAGATTTATAAGACGACTTTGTCAACTTCCTTCTCACATGTAGGTACCTTGCTTCAAACTGGCCTTAGTTTGTCCCTTCTCTCAGACCAACACCATCCATCCCTCGTTGAAATGAAGCCCGCCAGTTCTACCCAATGTGAGGTCATCACTGATGATGCTCTTTTGGAGGATGTCTCCCTTCATCCATTCCTAGTCTCTACCTCTCGAGGCTTTCTACCCTTGAGAAATCCGCTGATCACACCGCCGAAAGAATTCGATGTCTTGGAGTCACTGTTGCAGCGTATGCCAATAAAGACTGCGTCGGGTGAGCCAGGCCTTCTAGCTGAGGGCAAGCTCGGTGATGTGGTTGATAAGGAGTTGCCGGATCTCACTGCCCAAGTAGATCTATACAGGGATAATCTCCACGTAATAACAGCCTTGTACCGAGATTACTCCTTCCTCGCTGAGGGCTATCTCCTAGAGCCATGCCATAAACGTTTTATGGAATGTAGTGAATACGGGGTTGGGCGGCCCATTTTGCCTAAACAGATCTCGCGGCCATTTCTTAGATGTGCAGAAATGTGAGTCTCAGTTCCCACCATCTCTATCTGGGCAAGTCGCCATGGGAGCTAACAGGAACAAGTGCTGGCTTTAAACCGTACCTCGAGTTTAGTTCATACGTTTTGCTCAACTACCGCTTGGAGAACCCTGCAGCTGGTCTCGAATTCTCAAATCTGCGCCTCATTCGAGCCTTTGAACATGGGCTTGACCCGGCATCGTCTGAATCGGGATTTATCTTGGTGCATCTCACGATGGTGAAGCACTCAGGCCCCCTTGTCCAAGGCGTATTGAAGGCTTTTGAGGCTGCATCACAGGGAACCACTTGCGGTGGTACCATCGAGCAGAGGAAACTGCTTAATGAAGGCCTATCAACACTTGTTGATGCCTTGGCAAAATTGAATTCCCTTATGAAAGTAATATACCAGAAGTCGAAACCGGCAGAGTATAACAATTTTAGGACCTTCATGTTTGGAATTACTTCAAATTCCATGTTTCCTGATGGTGTTGTTTATGAGGGCTGTAATGACAATAAGCCCATGTTCTTCCGTGGCGAGACCGGAGCTAACGATGCAATGGTGCCACTCATGGACTATTTCCTCCAGATCCCCATGCCTGACACACCTCTTACAGTGATCCTCGAAGAGTTCTCAGAATACCGTTCTGACAAACACAAAGATTTCCTAAATTTTGTGAAAGAGCGTGGGCGGGAGTTGGATATCAAAGGGTTCGCCCTCAATGGAGCCGGTACTGCTATTTCTGAGGACGTTAGAGATGCTCTGCGAGAGTCCCGAGGACTATGGCTCCAGATCCTTGACCAGGTCCGGGAATTCCGTTGGCGACACTGGAACTTAGTCAAGGAGTATATTCTTAAGCGATCAGACCATCCTACGGCAACGGGAGGCAGCCCAATCGTAACCTGGCTGCCAAATCAGCTGGAGGCAGTGCTTGATTGCATGATCCAGGTGTACGCAGCAGCTTTGGAAGCTGACCATAGGGGCCTCGGGAAAACTTGTGACAGCATCATGGAGGTTGCTTTGAGACAGAAAGAAACATTGAAAAAAGAAGTCGAGAAATACTGTGCCGAGCGTGACTGAAAAGTCTTGTGGAATAACAGAACTAACTGAACATGTTTGATCGATACTGTTGTCACCTCAAACATCTTTGTGTGTTGGGCAAAATTAGACCATAGTAAATTACCTAAGCATTAAATCATAGCTGACTAGGTAGCTTATATAATTATATAACAAAATAGTATTAAGGTTTAAAGTTTCTATGGCTTTAATTACCTAGTCAATCGTCTACATAACTAATGGATACATTTCATAGGGCTTCGTTATCCTGCCTTTTCGTTTAATCTATGTAACATCCCCTTGATGGCTGTTGATCTGGACAGAGGAGAAAGATAACTTTCAATATTTGACGGAGTAGGCATTTTTTACTGGAATAAGTACGGAATAGAGCTTAATAAAACATACAGGTATCGCTCTGCAACCGTTTGAGATGATGCCCGACGTCTCGAACATTTACTGCAGTGAAGATTATTCGAGAAGACTGTGATAACTATTTATATAACTACAGGGTCTTCAGTCTCTGCTTTACAATCTGTTCTCTCCAATTGCTCATTTAGCATTTGGTGATCTACAGGTAAAATGAGGTCACCTTATCGGCTTATTCATTTTAAATTCTATCAACCTCAATTTACCAGCCATTATCGTCTTGAATGGAGGAGAGCTTGAAGCGTCCTGGGCTTCCAGAGGATATGAAACAATTACCCGAAAGTGAGAAAAACGACGCTATCAAAGAATACCTACAGCCTGGTATATGCTGGTGAAGAACAATAATTCTAGATAGTATGCTGCCATGGCCTTCGAGAATACGACAAAAGGATACCTTCCTACTTCCTTCACGTCACCGCTATGAATTGGGAGAGCGTTAATTCCGAGCTTTGTCATTGGATTTGCAGGAGGAATGGCTGGGGTTCAACGACAGCAGGGAGAAGGAGAAATCACCGGTCTCCTTCCCACCAGAGAAGGAAATCGAAATCAATGCAGATAGAGAATCCTCTGCATTAAGTTCAGAGGCCATGAAGAGTATACAGCATCACCTTGGATGCATCTGGCTTGACAAGGCTCTGGCTGAACATGACGATTGTCAGGAATTGAATTAATGCTTCCCCAGATAAAAGAGGAGCTAACATCAGACCTTACCAAAACCGTGAAGAAAAGACCGAATTTGAAAGTTTTAGCCCTTCGACGATTGATATTGCCCTGGCGCCCTTCGATCGGTCTGGCTTGTTCAATGACCGTTCTTGGATAGCTGTAGCGGAAGAATAGTGTATGATAGAGTAGAGTATTAAATTTCATTACTACCATGTCCTTTGAAACATTATATGCTATCTCCTACTTATCACCCCAGTCCGCGATATATACACGTCAAAGCTGCTTCTTTGCCTCGATATTTTTATTTTGCTCCAGCATAAAGCCAACAGATCTTGCAACACCTTCATCAAGGGGGACATAAGGGACATATCCAAGCCTTCTCTTCGCCTTGTCACATGAAAAGTATCTCGTCATACAAGAGTATCTAACTTCTCGTCGTGTAAGTCGTGGTTTCTTTCCGAACAATCCGAATACCGTTTCTAGTATGCCTCCAATAACGGTAAGGGCTCCTTCTGGCAGCACCCAGGCTTGTTCGGGTTCAACATAGCGATCCATCAATGCCCATATGGAACGGGCCATGTCCCAGAAGTACACAGGGCTATCGTTGGTAATATTAAATGCCTCGCCATCGACACGCTCATGATCAAGCGGAAGAACTGCTTTTGTCTCAATCCGTTTCATAGTGGCAAGGAGTAACTCAGCGGCAAGCATGTGTGCATAGGCAATGTTGCCGACGTAGGTGAAATCAAATAGATTGTCGTTGTTACCGAGTTGAAAGGATAAGACAAGAGGAGATGCTTTGGAGCCATGCTCAACCAGCTTTTTCGTGAGAGTAGTGTCGCGCTCGCCGTGGATACCGGCAGGTCGAATAGCAACTGTCAGCATGCCGGAGGGGGAGGTGCCATTATACTTGAGAACGAAATCTTCCGCAAGTGCCTAATAATGCCTGTTAATAAATGGGATGTTTTATACGGGGGAGCGGCTGTTGGATAAAGAGAGTGGCGCATACCTTTGTTTCAGTGTAATACTCTTGCTGGAGCTTGCCAACAATTTTCGGCCATCTCTCATCAACATTAATCAAGTCTCCCTGTGTGTCATGTACCACCGAAGACGAGCTAGTGTACACGAATGCTTTGCATTTTCCACCCCAGTCTCCTTTAGCACCGCCTGCGACCTCCACCAAGTTCTTTGTGCCGTTGACATTGACATTATATAGCATTTCCCTCTCCCCTTCCAGCGGCGGTGGAGAGACGGTATCAATGATTACATCCGGCTTCACTATCCTAAACACTTTCAACAATTGTTCGGTGTTCAGGATATCTGCATCATAATAGTCCGCTCCAGGAAATCGGTTGTGTGTTGTTCGAAGGTCGAGAACGGATACTTTAGTGTTCTTATATGACGGGTATCGGTCGCGTAGGCGAGGGTGCGCAAATCGGAGGTCAGGCTTCCCACTTACATCGGTAATTCTAGAAACCAGATGGTTAGGTAGTGAGTCTTCAGATGGGAAGTTGAGCAGCTGGTCGACAACGTGAGCGCCTACAAAGCCGCATCCACCGACAACCAGGACATTTCCTAGCTCGATAATGCGGGATTGAGCCATTTAAGTATCTTTTATAAGAGCAATTACAAAATAAGATTGAATGTAGGAGGTACTATTCCGCAGCAATTTGTTGGAATAGAGAAGAACAGTTAGTTGTAACTCCATAGGGACTGCGGAAAAAAATATCGTGACGTTGTTCAAAGCTGAATTTCTCCTTTAATTCGTGATGGCCCGAGCTTCGAATCTCGATCGGGACTAGCTCGGTGCGTCAATCGATTCTCATCATGTGATGATTTTAAGCGCCCAGCAAACTCTATTTAATCCCAACTGATAGCGCCAAATGCTGATGCAATTCTGTCAAAAAGAATTAAGCAGCGTTGCTTTTTAGTTCAACAGTTATGAGTCCGGGTGTTGCTCGATAGAGCCTACACACGTATCGCGTATCGAGTTCTGACGCCAACTGCCAAAAACAGCAACATCAATGATTTCGTCCAATCTACAAGATGGACGACGACACCACCACCATCAAGACCTACATCCTGAGGTCCGAGAGGGACTGGGACTTGTGGTACGCGTATATGTACGGCTTCGCGAGGTCTAGGAGGATATGGGACCTGGTAAACCCTGAGATAGAGGGAGAACCAGCTTTCCTTACAAAACCCCCGCGACCTACAAGACCTCCGCCGGATGCAGACGTAATACTAAAGGAGGAATATATGATGGACCTCGCGGAGAGGGAGGTGGCGATGTACAAGTTCGATAGGGAACAACAGGCGCTGAGCGAGTTCCGAGACCGATTGGTGTTCAGCGTCCAACATTATATCATGAATAGACTGGCAAGGGAGGAACATTGCCATGTGATCTTTAAAGCTCTTAAGGAACGCCTCTGCCCAACGGAACTAGACCGAAGAAGAGAGGTCAGGAAACGGTGGAAAGCTCTTACCAATGGCCCGTGAACGAAAGATATCCATCATTAGTTAGATGCCTAGGTAAACACTTCTGATATGAAGGGACTAGGATTGACCGATGAAGAGCTTGCAATTGACGAGCTCATCGAAGCCAACGAACGGATCGATCCTATATACGCAGCAGCGAATGATGGGGATATTGATATTCTGCTGACAACTTCTAATACCTAATATGTCGTCCTTATAAATGGGTAGGCGTCCTCCCTTACACAATTATTATCAGAATTATAGGAGCTAACGAAATAGTGCGCCTAGTATGTTCAAAGTAAAAATTTTTTATTTCTGCATGTAATTAGCTAGCGTGCTCGAAATGTACCCATGCGAGCGTTGAATATACATATCTGTTGTGTTATAGACTAAGCTTGAGAATAACAATATGTCTGAGAGCTGCCTTGGCCTCCCTTTTTACAAATATCGAACAGTTATGGCACGGTCGCATAAGTCCGCCTGAATGTTTCATCGACATTCACAAGATAATAAGTACCTGGGGCAAGAGTTTCAATATTGCCTTGAGGGGTATAGTTCCGTTGTTGGTATGCCTTTTCGCGAAGCCGGCACATCTAGGGATATTTTAGTCAAGTTTGACATTTAACACGGAAGAATGAGTACTAACCTCGTCATAGAACTCGGGCGACTCGGCCTTTCGAGCGTCAAGCCGCTGAATCAGGTTCAACTTGCTCACCATCTCATCAGTATTACCTTTAACACGGAGGCTAAACATGCTGCTGGCCAAGCCACTCCCGTAGCTAAAGAGTACAACTCTCTTGCCCATAAGCTCCTTGCTTTGCACATTGCTTAGCAGGCTGATTAGCCCAAAATATACCGATGCTGTATATGAATTCCCACACATAGTAGCTGCCATAAGGCCGGGCTGTACACGCTCCGAAAAACGTTTCTGTGTCAAAGCCATAAATGCTTTTTCCACTCTTTTGTCGGTAAGGGAACTCTCATAGTCGATCTCTTTGACCTCGGCAGGTATGTCTTTGAAGACCGGATTTTTTGGATCTGCCAAGTAGTCATTGTATAGCAGTCGTGCATACGACTTGGCCACCAATTTGCAGTTAGGGGTGTGGAAGGCTAAGTAATCGAATGAATCGAGTGGGATATTTCCCGTCACGCCATTGACCAATCGAGCAGCCTTCTTCGCTTGGTAACGCTTATAGCAGTTATCCAGCGCCTTGAGGTAGCATTTGTTTGAGAACTGACCATCCACAATTGGATACTCAGACTTGAAGTCCGCTTTGTAAAAGTCGTAAACATGTTGCATGAAGGAGCCACGGGTTGGCTCAAAGACCAGAGGGGCATTTGGTCCAATTAGCATAGCAACACAGCCGGCGCCTCCAGTGGGGCGTGCAGCGAGCTTGTCGTATAGGGCAATATCCGCCGCCACGACAATTGCATCTCGACCGTCCCAGGCAGATGACTCCACCCAGTTGATAGCATTGAAGAGAGCATTTGTTCCACCATAGCAAGCATTGTAGGTGTCCACCCCCTCAATATCGGAGTTCTCTCCGAACAGCTGCATAAGGACAGACTTGCAAGACTTTGACTTGTCAAGCATAGTCTCTGTCCCTACTTCAAGACGCCCGATAGTGTTGGGGTCAATTGAGTACTTTCGTAGCAGGGAAGAGACAGTTGTCAATGCCAGAGAGTAGGTATCTGATGAACTAGTCAGCAAAAGACCCTCAGATTTGATTTAATTGAGCTTACCTTCACGGTCATCACAGAAACTCATCTTCGTTTGGCCGAGCCCAATGGTGTATTTTCCGGAACTGGCGCCCAAGTAGGTCTCCAGCTCTGATTGTGCCACATACTTGGAAAAAGTCAGCTTCTAGGATCTATAACATAAATGAGATGGTCATTGACTTACGCGGCTAGGAAAGTAGATCTCGATAGCTTTTATACCGACGTCTTGAGCCATTGCGATAACTTGGGGATGTCTATTCGTAAAGATGTAGCATTGGCAACGAACGGTAGTTTTGAGAGAGGAAAAATCCCATCAGGCAGCAGCTTTTCTCCCCCGAGAAGGGGAGGGGTGCTGACATACGGAGTAATTACTCCTTGCATGACTAGTTAGTTGACAGGGGCCAGCGCAGTAGGGTTTCCGCACTGCCCCAAAATCCAGCAAATTAGCTGTTAGCATTGCCCACATTGCTGTGGGTCGATCGATATATAGCGAGGAAGGTCCAGAGTAATAATGTGAGGTACGGAGTAAACGGCTAAGGTTTCGGGTCGGCGCGTGCGCGGCTATTAAGCTAGTTTGTTGCTAGCGTGCCAAGGGCACAGAAACCAATCATGTTGCTAGAATTTCACACTGTTTAATTCTTGATAGAGAAGAGATTATAGCCACGCCTTTTACTTTGCTATGGTGTATTTCTCATCACGTATCATCCCATTAGCACATCATTCTACCACCTCCCTACAGTGTACCACTTCCATTTGGTATGGAAATCATACCAAATCTGCATCAAGAACTTTCGGTGAACCTACCTACTCTACGAGATGGAGTAGCAGGTCGTGGACCGAGAAAGAAAACGCGTACCTTTAAGAAAAATGATTAGGTAAGATGAAAAAAACAGAGAGATAAGCTTAAAGTTTGAATATTATCCAATAGAAATTTATATTATATGCTTAATAATCATAAATTTACTCTTGATTTATGATTGGTTGATGCACTGGACTGATTGATGGGATGCCCTTCATCGCCGTCACCAGCGGTCAAGATTCAACCGACTGCAAATTACTTCAATCTATGCATATTTTCCATCACATTACCAAGAGAGCACTACGGCGGTTGTGGAGCTTCATGTTTATTGATTCCTTAGCTTATTGACTCTGTCTCTCCCGAGAAAGGCATCGCATGCTGTCTGTCCCTTTTAGTATGCTTGTGATCATGTAGTTTCAATAGTAAATTGTATTCATACGGGGATATCCAGTCGAGACGGGTATAGTTACTGCTTCTTTGCTTCGACTTTAGTGAACCGGTCATCTTCCCACCGGCTGTGTCCGTCGTTTCGCGTTAGCCAGCAGCATGAATATCGGTACATTTGGCTTGGGCATGGAACTTTTTACTTGATAAGTAATGTATCGGTAGATAAACTCAGTTTCAATCTCCAGGGCCCTTTTCCGGATTTTATAAGGCCTGTGCGGATATGGTTTTATCTCCTCTTTGGCCTCACTGCCACCAGCAGTGTGGCTCACGCAGATTCAACTCTTAGCACTCCCGTCCTAAGAGGAGTATTGTCGAATGTTCGGCTAGTCATGGCATGCTGGCCAAGGGTATGGCAAGTATAAACTAGCTTCGACATCGCCATGGCAGGTGGCAAGACCAGCTCATCCCAGAGCGCGAATGGCCCGCCTAAGCCTGAGACTTGCACCCAAGCTCGGGGAATTGGGTTTAGGTGATCCATGGTCTAGAATGAAGGTGGAGTTGGTAGTGAACAGATAAACATCAAGATCCCGCGTGATGGCCAGCCCAAGTAACTAAGTACACTCGGCTACTGGCCGGCTACTTGGCCTGCTGGCTGAGGTAGGGAAAGTTTCCCGTTCGAGGGAAGTTGAGATCTGTAGGGTAATCTCCAAGCGGTTAATGCTTCAACAGGTGCAGAAGCGTGCATGCAAGCATTCCCTGAGCCGTGTCTGTACGAGAATTAAACATTTGGCAGGAGAGGTATATGTATGTATGTATTGGCGTGCCGTAGTGGTATTTCGATGGCCGACTGCCAGTGGTCTCGTGTGCGGTGAAGGAAGCAGTCTGAGATAGATGAATGACTCTGGCCCCAGACCGATTAGGGCGCAAGGAGGAACGGTGGGCATTGCTGCTGCTGCTGCCTGTTGCTCCCATACTTACACAGCCTGTTCTGCGTCGTTGCCGACACGGCGAGTGTCTGTGGCTTGCGGTATGAAGTGAACTCAACATCTTGCTGTCGAAGTACACACCGCACCACACCAAGACAGGGTTTTACTAGTTCTAGATTCGCTTCTGTGGTCAGCGGCGGATATCGATGACCTCCTGCATGGAATATAAACCTGCCTCCGGCGCGCGTGCACACCCTGTCGTGGCCTCCACTCATGACATCAAAGCCAGGGGTTAGACGACAGGCAACCGGCCGTTCACCTCGCAGCTAAGCAGGAGTCATCGAGTCAGAGAGAGGGCCAGAGAGGTGATACATACGGTGTCGAAGCAAAAGGCACTGACGCGGCGCTCGCGGGAGAAAGGGTTCCAAGGTTGGCCTTGGATCACGCGTCGCCCGTTGGTGGTGCCGACGCAGACTAGCGTCTTCTCAGATCTCTATCCTGTGGCCCCATGCATGGCACGTATTTTTAAAAAAAAATAAACCAGAGGGTCGGGCTGACAGGCCTATCAGATGTTTCTGCATTTCCGGCTGGCTGAAAGGCTCTATTTTCATCAGGGCGTTTCATCAAAGACATCAGCCCATGTGCGCTCTGCCAGCCGCAAGGGACGGACATTAATAAAGACGGAAAATAGGCAACAGGTTAGGGGACGGTACGGAGTGGAAAAATCAGCCCTCTCTCATGATCGAATGGGAACTTGACGTGGTCAACGCAACCGCCAGCGGAATCGACAGGGCTGTATCAAGATGTTCGAACCTGACCGCATGGCAAGCTGCGTGAGGGTCGTAGAAGAGCACGTAGAAGAGCACAAAGACAGCTCTGGGCGAAGGGCCAAACAGCCCTTGTGATGTTTCGTATATAGTGTGCGCAGTTATCGACAAGGTATTGGTGTACATACTCCGTAGGTCTTGGTGGCCTGACGCCTTCTCTCCTTCTCTCCCTCCCTCCCTATCTGCTCTCTATGTGTGAGTGTATGTCAGAGGATGCTCGTGTTTCATAGCAACCGGCTCGTACACAGCTGCAGGCCGAAGACGAAATGTCCGACATAACAACAGAGCGTATAGCCTTTCTCCGTCTTTTTACCTTTGCCCTTCACATCAGCTTTCCCTCCTCTCCTTCTCTTCTTCTTTCTCGCCTTCCTCTCGCTTCTTACTCTTGTTCTTCATCCTCATCCTCGTCTTTTCTTTTTTTCCAGCTTCTTTCTTTTTTATATAAAATCAAAAAGTGCTTAAAAGCGAAGATCATTTACCATACGTGACAGTACAGCAACCCCCTCTTTGCGTGCTTCCCGAAACTGCAGACGTCGGTGCAGCCAATAGCAAGAGCCCGTCTGCTGAGTCACCTGTCAGAAATACCGGTATTCTATACCAAAAAGTAAACTCGCCGCTCCCTCGACTTCAACCTCAACTTCGTCCTTTTTTGCTTCTTTGCAAGCTTGATCGACTTCCTCCTCTTTCTTTTCTCCTCGTCCTCGATCTCATCCTCCAGCAAGACTCGAACGGCGTCACGGTGTTTGGTTCTGGTCTCTGCGATGTTGTTCCTACGTTCGTAGCGTGCCCGGACTCGCTGGCTAAGCCCTGACTGCCTGCTCTCCCAATCGAATCGTCGAGATCTGATCACCCCTTCAAGTCCGGTCGAGGCGGACACGACAGCGAGCATCGGTGTTTCAACGGCAATCCCAGAGCATCCCGCACCATACAGCAGCCTGTTTGTGGCCCAGAGAGACTGTCAAAGGCCTCTGTCGCTGCTGGCTGTGAATTATGAAGTGGTGAAGTCGTTCAATTAGCAGGGCTGGCCTACCTAGCATACAAACTACAACAACGACCGAGAAACTTCCCACAAAACATTTCTCCCACGAACGGACGCACACAGACACACACACACACATATATATACAGAGAGACAGGGAGACATACCCACTTGGTGCCCTGAGAGAGTTGAACTCGCACTCCGCCTGCTTCTTCCAGAGACCACGACAGTACCCTTATTTTCTTTTGGGGACAATGTGCTGTTCATGGTGACTGGTCAAGCTATTAGCTGGTCCGGGCACCGTTCTGCCCGGCAGACGGACCCCTTCATCTCTCGACTTTGATATACCTCTTCCTCGTTGCCGGCCTGCTTTGATACCGGCTTTATTTGTCTTTCTAGTTTTAATCAAACCAACTCCTCTGTCTTGACACACAATTATTTTACGCTCTCGCCATGTCGTCTTACGATGGGCGGGAGCGCTCAGATGCGCCACGATACCTCGAGCCTCCTGTCGTAACTGCTCTCCGGGAGGAGGCTCGAAATGTTGCTGCTCCCGTCCCAATGGAACGATCTCTCAGCCAGGATATCAGGGAGGAACGCGAGGATTTGAAAGAAGCTGCTGAACACACACTCAACGTGATCGTGGATTTGGATTTGGATGGCCGCATAAAATGGGTCAGCCCCTCATGGACTGAGGTTATCGGGACGGCTGCCCAGGATATCGAAGGTCAGCTAATCCACGACATTGCTTTGGACAACAAAGATATCTTTAAGGAGGCTGTGCAGTCCATGAAGGAAGATGACTCCAAAAGTAAGATCGTACGATTTGATGTTCGCCTGGGCCCTTTGTCGGTTTTCTGGCAAGATACTAGGCTGCCGACCGAAGAGGAGGAAACTCCCGCCTCAGATACAGAGAAGACGTTACTGGCACAGGAGACTGCCGAACAGGAAGATGGTAATATACTGAGCTTGGAAGGCCAAGGAATCATGGTCTATGATAGAACTTCTGGCGGAGGAAGCCATGTAAGTGATCCCTGCAACACCCAATGTTGCGTCTTCTGCCTTCAAATACTGACCACTTTTCTCTCTAGACTATGTGGATGCTTCGGCCATCTACTGAGCCTCGGGAAGTGACAATCGGCCTGCCTCCACTCCTCGTCGAATCACTGGGTGTCGGAGCCGAAGTTCTAGCCAACTATCTTAACGTTCTAGCGGAAGTAGGGATCAGTGATCCTGCTCACCACCCACCCCCGATGCCTGTACTCTGCCGGATATGCGAGAGGCAAATCACGCCCTGGTGGTTTGAGAAACACTCAGAACTCTGTTTGCAGGAACACAGAGCCGAAATGGACGTTCAAATGGCGCAGGAAAATTTAAACGAACACCGCCATCGGATTGTCAAGGTCCTTGATGCCCTCGAAGCTCGAAAGAGCAGAGATAGCAGTCCGCTCGTTGGCCCGCAGGCAGAGTATAAGGGACTGCAGATCGGTCCCTCTCCGACTTCCACATCTGGTCTGGTATCAGGCTCGTCTTCTTCCTCTGGCACCCCTCCTCGCTCTCGCGATCCGTCTACCTCCGGATTAGGGCACTCTCGTGGACGTTCCTTTGCCGTGAGACGTCCCTTGGCCCGTATTGTGGAACTAATCTTAGACCTCTGTGACACCGCACTAGAAATCAGCACACCGGCCCTCAAGGAATCACGAACAGATATCGGAGATGAAGTTAGGACACAGTCCCCCCAGTCGGAGTCACGGATATCTCAGGTCCTTCAATGGCAGTCACCCAGCAATCACACTCTAGAGCAGGAGAAAGGCCTGGCAGCCTTATCTGCTGATACCGAAGAGGTTGCGCGTGCAAAGGTGGATGCCGTATTCAGACACCGGCGTATCGTTGAATACGCTGAGCGTATTCGAATCGAGTTCACCGTCATAGTAGAAGAGTGCATTGCCGCTTCTATGGCCAAGGCTGAGCGTATAGCTACAGGCAACCTCGAAAGCTCAAGCTCATCCTCTGACATGGAAACTGCAACGGAAGACCAGGAAGCTGGTAATTCCCCCCAGGTTACTCCCCTGGAGCGAACCCCTTCTATGTCAGCAATGTCTGTTGGGAGCACTTCTCGCTCTTTATCAGGCGATCGGGGCCTTCGACGTGCCCTCGAGCGAACACCAACGACTCCAATCCCGATCTCCACGCGTTCCAGCAGCCCGATGGAATGCCCAACACCACGTTCCCTCAAGAGCTTGGGCAGCTTCGTCAACCCGCCACTCTCCAAACGCGGATCTCTGCTTGCTGAGAGAGAAAGTGACGCGGCCGATAGCGACAGCAGCATTCTCTCATCTGTCTTGTCTGAGCGTAGAACCCAGTCTCCGCTTTCCGAACGCGGGCCGAGCCGAGCGGCGAGCACAAAGGACAAAAATCGTCGCAGCCTTATATTGCCTGGCGTTGCATCTCCTCGTAGGCAATCCCCTGCTCGCAACAACCCCCCGCACTCCCCATTAAGGTTATCAAGACCACGGTTCCCTGTCGGAAGCGAGAACTTACCGTCACCGTCTACATCTCCGCATCTGACATCAACTGAATTGGCAGCTCATGGCCATGCCCAATTCTATCCCCCTCCTCAACATCGTCATCACCATAGGCGCCAGTCGTCAGCCACCTCACCTGATATTGGGAAAGCTCCAATATCACCACACCTAACGTCTGCCAGTCACCCCCCTCCCCCTGCTGTGGCTCCATCTATCAAAGACTTTGAGATCATTAAGCCAATTAGCAAAGGGGCGTTCGGAAGTGTGTATCTGTCCAAGAAGAAGTCTACCGCAGAATACTTTGCCATCAAAGTACTGAAGAAAGCTGACATGGTAGCCAAGAATCAGGTTACAAATGTCAAAGCAGAGCGAGCAATCATGATGTGGCAAGGGGAAAGCGACTTCGTTGCAAAACTTTATTGGACGTTTTCTAGCAAGGACTATCTTTACCTTGTTATGGAATACTTGAACGGAGGTGACTGTGCTTCATTGGTCAAAGTGCTCGGCGGCCTTTCTGAAGACTGGGCCAAAAAATACATCGCAGAAGTTGTCTTGGGTGTAGAACATCTTCACAGCCGGGGTATTGTTCACCGTGACCTCAAACCGGATAACCTCCTCATAGACCAGAGGGGCCACTTGAAACTCACCGATTTTGGTCTTTCGCGAATGGGACTCGTTGGTCGACAGAAGCGTATCCAGAAGAGTCCCAACGATTCAGCACCAGACTTGCTGAAACATGGCCCATTCATCCGGCCTGATGTTTCCATCACATCCTCCCGATCAGCTTCATTTGATTTCCATGCCACGGACTCCCCCCACCAGACTCCATTGATTGCTCCGGAACCTGTGTTGACCCAGCCGTCATACTTTAGCTTGAGCAAGGAACCATCTTTAAGCCGTGAACGCTCAAGAAGGGCTTCTGGCTATCGCAGTGATAGTGGAAGCAGTGACACACTCAGCCAAATGATGAGAAATTGCGCGGTTAGTGATACCACCGGATCTAACCCCTTGACACCATCGGTCCACCCACCCCTGCAACAATCGAAGCCCACAATAGATGAAGAGATCCTCAGTGAGGGAAGCGACTCCCCTCATCTATTTCCTGCACATGCTATGTCCAGCTACACTACACCTTCAATCCCATTACAGTTTGAAGCCTCCCAACAGCAAATGGTACCTCCTCCTATGGCCTTATTTGATCCACAAGATCACAATAGATGTTTCGTGGGTACTCCCGACTACCTCGCTCCGGAGACTATCAACGGTATCGGCCAAGACGAAATGAGTGATTGGTGGTCTCTAGGTTGCATACTCTTCGAGTTTCTCTACGGATACCCACCGTTCAACGCTTCCACCCCCGATGAAGTTTTTGAGAACATTCTGCATCGAAGAATTAATTGGCCTGAGGAGGCTGATGAGCTAGTCTCGCACGAAGCTAAGGACATTATGGAAAAACTAATTACTATAAACCCTCATGAGCGCCTGGGTTCCAATATCAACGAGAAATATGCCAGCGGTGGTGCGGAGGTCCGTGCACACCCATGGTTCTCTGATATCAATTGGGATACGCTGTTAGAGGACGAAGCCCAGTTTGTTCCAGCGCCAGAGAATCCGGAGGATACTGAATACTTCGATTCGCGTGGAGCCACCCTCCAGTCCTTCAACGAGGAGTTCGAGGGCCAGCTGTCCTCCCCTAGTTCCAGTGGAGATTACCCTGACCGGCCTCATGATGCGCTTTATAAGGTTAAGACGCAGGTTAATTCTTTGAAACGCGGCCTAATGCCTCTGCACATTCCGCCTCATGTGCGAGATACTCGAAGCCGCCGACTCAGCGAACCTGCGTTGGCAGACGACTTTGGAAGCTTTAACTTCAAGAATCTTCCGATCCTTGAGAAGGCAAACAAAGACGTTATCCAGAAACTGCGACACGATGCGATGCAAGCTCAGCAGCGCGCTGTTCCAAACAATAGCCCTGCTACTCCGTCTGGCCCGTCTCTTGAAGGCAGCCCTCTCCTACCCATGCCGTTGAAGAGAACGATGTCTCAGAACAAGGCCAGCAATCGACCTGCATCCCCGTCAAGCTCAAGCCTTCCTAACTCATCTTCTCCAAGCCGGCCTTCTCAGCCTGGATCACCGCTTCTCGTACAATTTAGCACTTCTAGTCACCATGAGCGGCGCAAAACATCAGGCTCATCAACATTCTCGCCACCCTCGGTTGGCTCCGCGCCTACAAGCAGTGGTTTTGAACCTCCACGTCTTTCTACTAATCTAAAGATCTCAACATCCACCGCATCGTCACCGATCAAGAGTATGAAGACCTCAATTTCATCCGACACCCCGTCTCTACATCGCCAAAGCAGTGTACCGTCCTGTCGGTCGAGGTCACATACAATCGGCTCTCAAGATAGTGACCTAACCTCAGGAAAGGAACCGTTTGTTCCAGGCCATTGCAAGCGTAAGAGCCAACTTTGGGACATTTCTCCATCTTCCTCGGATAATGAAGATCCTCGTGCCAAAGCATTGTTAAAAGTCCAAAGACGAAGACAAAGCTCGCGGCGACTATCTCAAATCAATTTAGTGGAAGGTCCTTTCTTCCGACCACTCGATATCTTGATTTGCGAGGACCATCCTGTTTCTAGGCTTGTTATGGAGACGCTCTTCGAAAAACTGCGGTGCCGGACTATTACTGCAATCAATGGTTCAGAAGCTATGAGATATGCGTTGAGCGAGGTGCAATTTGATATCATCATGACAGAGTTCAAATTGCCTCAAATCAATGGAGCTGATGTTGCGCGTATGATCCGTGAGACCCGAAGTGTTAATACGCACACTCCGATAATTGCAGTGACGGGATATCTGAAAGATCTTCCGGAAACTCACCACTTCGACTCTCTAATTGAGAAACCTCCAACGCTGCAGAAGCTGACGGAGATTCTCTGCAAGTTCTGTCAATGGAAGCCCCCGCCAAAAGACGAAGCTCCTATGATGCCAAATCCACAGTCCTATTCGGCATTGCGACAGAAATCTGGCGTACTTGACAGTCCTAGCTCTGCATCTTCTGGGTTCGTTACGATACCCACGGGCTCATACAGAGGTTCTAGCCGAGAAGACTCAATCGACAGTAACAGCTTGGTTGGAGAATTGGAGTCGACGAGATCTGATGATATCCCGGTCATTGTCAATCATCGATCCACTGAAGGTTGGGACCGGAGTCGAACTGGAGGATTAGGTATCACTGAAGATAGCTCTACTGCTTTCTCAAGGCCCATTGTTGCTGAATACCCATTGTCTACTACTCCACCCAACCTTATGCACGCAACCTCAGCGCCGGCTGCCTTTTCAATGCCGGGAACCGCCACTCCGCGAAAGCACAGCTCTACGGAAGGCATCCGAGCTAAGCGGGAATCGCTGGAAAAGAAACGGTACGAGGGTGCTGAATCTGGAGATGACGAGGATGAGGAACTTGGCAATACCCAAGTGCGTAAAAGCCCTCAATTTACTCCGGGGAGGACTCGTCGCTCTGGCTCAAAGCTCGGCACTGAAATGATGAGGACGAACAGCCGTGGGAGCGTTGTGAGCGTGAACGAGGACTATATGAAAGAGCGAGAGGTGGAATCCGATACACAGACCGCTTCCTCGGACGCGGCTTCCACTGTTGTTCTCCCGGCCTCTATCGAAGGCACTATCGAACGCTTGCATATAAATGAAGAGGCCTTAGGTGTTCTTCCTGAGGACCCTGAAAAAGAGGAAGCCTCGTCTAGCAGTTCTCCACTACACAAACCTATCATTGGAGGACTCAGCCAACGACTCTCTAAAGAGCGGCCGACTTTCAAATTGCAATCAGCATCGCTTTCTCCTTCCACACACCCCACAGCAAGAGAAGCCGGTAGAATAACTCCACCCCTGATTTCACCAGGTACCCGGACAACTACACCGGGGCATCAAAATGTCGGCTTGAGTGGGGGGAATGATACAGAGGACAACCATGACATCACCCCAAAACCGCAGATCAGCGCTAGCTATCTTGGTGACGAGGGGACCGAAATTACCCGTGAAGAGCCAACACCACGGGCATCAGATCAAACTAAATTACATACCAGGGACCGCGTCCTAGGCTGGATGAGACGGTAGCTAAGCCCTGGACTTTCTACCAATTATCAAATTTTCAATTTTCCTTTCTCAGTCAACTTCCGGAGTTATGTGCCAGTGGATATCTGAAGCGATCTTTCAACTTACTTTCTTGTTTTATGCGCTTTCCCACTCCTTTCTTTTCGTTGTAAATACCACTTATTGCTCCCTACTTTATTCGCTCCCTACTGATGTTCATCTCGACTCTTTGGCCATGTTATATTTTTCCCGCCCTATATATTTATCCTTCCTTCCCTTTCAATACTTTCTTCCCTTTCGTTTAACACATTTTTGTTGTCTATATATCACTTTAGTCGGTCCCAAGCGAAGGAGTTATAGGATAGTTTACTTCTCATCCGTCCACTTGATGTTATTAATGTGGAATGGAAGAAAAAGCTGCCAGTTATTCGAGGGAAGGGGACAAAATAACTAGTCATACCCAGAAATAAATACATTAATGTATTCTATGAAACTAGCCACTCCGCAAGTTCTAGATGACCTTTTTCGTCCTTTACTAAGAATCGTCTTTGGTAGATAGAAATAAATCAACAAAATGGCATTAAGTAGGGTACCCTTCTTGATCGTTAGATGATAAAAAGCAAGAAAGTAGGAAAGTCATAAACATTTTAACGGTCTACGCAAACAGATCCAGTAGACCGAATTTACTCATCATCTTCATCGATCTTTCCATCCCGTCCCTGTCCCATGTCCTCGTCCTCCTCGAAAGTGTTAGACGGTACACCATAGAGACGGAGAACAGGCTTGTTAGGATCCTTGACGAGAATATACTTCTTGACGCTCTCATCATCTCCCTCGTCGTCTTCATTCTCGCTATTACGGCTGCGGATAAGGTCAACAATGGTCCGTACAATACCCCATCCGTTGTTGATGTTCAGGTTCATCTGCCCAGCAAATTCACGGGGTTTGTAACCCATAACACCAAGGATGATATGAGCAGCAGCAGAGCGTGGGTTGGCTCTGGCAATGAAACCGAGTTTAAGGATATCAGTCTTGGCGAGAAGGGCCTGGGTGGTCCATCGGGCAAGCTTGCAGTTGTTGTTCTTCATTTCGGTAGCAACGACTGCACCACGCTGGGAGGCGAGCTTGTTGCGCCAGTCAAGGGCGCCACCGGCACCTGGTGCTCTGTGGTCAAACTCGTTAAGAGCACGGAGAGTGACAAGGTGGTCGTCTCCGCTGACGTTCTTGATCACAGCATCAACTTCGGTTCGGACAACCATGTGAACTGGCTCTTCTTCTCCACCAACTGAAAGGTCGAAACGCCGGTACTTGTATGCCTTGGAAGCAAGAGGTTCGGTTTCTTCGGAGGGGTTGTAGAAGGGGTTGCTGTTGGGGTAGTCGACCTTGGCGGTATCTGATTCTACCACGGTCTGGAGAGTGAAGTTGTGGTTGATGATGGTGGCTTCAAGAGCGAGAGCGCCGGGAGTGTTAATGGGGTCGTGCTTGGTGCCAGACTGGGCCTCGGAAACCTCGAGTGGTGCATCGGTGGCATTCTCGTTAACGGTAACTAGATCGATGGAAGCATTGTCACGCTTATCAAAGTAGATCTTGTCACCTTGCTTAACAATGACAATATCCCATGAATAAACACTGCGAGGAGCACACATGAGCATTGAAAGGATATCAGCAGTGGCAAAGACAGTAGCATCCGTCTTTTCTGCCAATTCTTGGATGATAGGATCTGCGGATGTGGTGACGTTGTAAGCAGCGCGGTCCAGAGACTGCAGTTTCTTCTCGGCACCCTTGACAGGAGCTTTGTCGTAGGACCTGTCATAGTAGTGAAGGAAGCCATAGTTGTCAATATCCTGGCCCTCTGGGGTCTCGAGGTTGAGCTTAGCGAGGCGGTTGAAGTCGATTTCCTCCAGTACAGTCCACTCTGGCCGAATGGCAATAGAGCTGTCTCGGTTTCGCTGTGGCTTGTCGTAATCTTTCCATCCAAAGCGTCGGCCACCACCACGGCCTCCTCGTCCGCCACGGTTGTCGAAATATCTGTCTCCTCCCTGACCACCTCGGCCACCTCCAACTCTCTGGAAGCCTCCCCTTCCTCTCTGGGGACCACCTCGCCCACGTCCACGGAAAATGGTACCACCACCTCGGCCGAACCCGCGAGTTTTCACAGATGTTCGAGTGTTGTCGACAACAGAGAAGCTTGATTCATCCTCAGCGACCTGGACAGCGAACAAACTGCCAGTTCCAGCACCGTATACTTGTTGATCTGTACCAGGACTCGTTAGTCAAAACTGTGCCCCTCGATAGCAATACCAACACCTCGCTATCTGCAGAAAAGGCATACCTCTGTAGTTACGGTTGTAAGCCTGTCGTCCGCCTCGTCCATCACGGCCATCTTTGCCCTCCGAACTCCAGTCAGCCATGCGGCCTAACTTATCACCCTTTGAGAAGGGAGCGTATGGGACGCCATCGAGGGTCTTTTCAGTGGTGACAGCCGGTCCCCAGGTATCATCGGAGGGAAGGGCGGACACAAGGTCCAAAATCGATAGCGGAGCCATGGCTATCTCAGTATATCGAACTGGCAAGTTGGTATTCTCAAACGTGCCTTTGATCGTGGCTTTGCTCGTTGCTTGATATTTTTTTCGATCTTTTTTCATGTGGGTTGAAATCTTGGCTCGCCAGGGTGGATTATGTAATCATATCCCGCTATCAAAAGGTGATGAAGTGAAGGCGATGAGGAAGATCATATGTACATTCATTAGTGTTATTTTGGATAGAATTGTTCTAGATAGGTCATAGAGATTCTAGTAGGAGCATACAAATTATCTTATTTGATATATTTGCCGAAATGCTGAGACAAAAGCAGATATCCTTCCCCCATAACTAGCGCCGGATAAGCAGCTATACCTGGGGCAAGATTCAAGGGTAGGTCAAAAACAAGAGTGTATAGGACATAAGAGCTAAACAGTAGATTAAAGCCAAAATGAAAATATTCAAATAATATCATGAATACATATCCAACACCTCCGAGCTCTGGATCGGGGGCGAAATCAGCGACGAGCTGCCATCATAGCTGGCAATCGCATAGTCCATCTTGCTGGTCAAGACACTATTAAGTGAGTCCATTACTTCGAAGTTTTCAAGGACGGCACCGAAACCGTAGCAGCGGACTTTTGCCGCTAGGTCACTCATCATATGTGCAACGTCTTCTCTGGTCAGGTAAGGGTATGCCTCATGGTTTCGAAGAAGCTGTAGTGCCATTATTGGAGTGATCTCATCGTCGGTTACTAGCTGCCTGCTGAGGTTGAGCAGTGTATTCAAGTTTGCAGGCGGGAGGTCGTAAGTTTTAGTCACATAAGTCTGGCCTCGCTCAGTGTTCGCTATCACTGATGAGGTTGGGCATGTTGCCATCAGGGTGTGACCGGAGACCGCCTCTTGGTTCTCATCGTCGTGTGCTCTGCGGCAAAGGAATTCCATGTGCCAGTTACATGGCTTTTCAAGACTGTATTTAGACCTGTGGTTAGAAAGGGGCTCTCGTACTGTGATCGAAATCTAGCCACTCACTGAAGGACAAAATCTATCCCAAGCTGCGGATCAACATCGAACACACCAGGGGTGCTACTGACCAAGGCAGTCCCGCCACCAATGCTATTAGAGGATGTATTATAGCCCGTCCCTGGCAGAGGCGTTGCTGATTCAAAGTATGGATTATTGGACCCGGCAGTCGGTTGCTGTGCCATTTCTGATATGGTTGTGCCAGGGCTTCGACCAGAGATGGATGTGTCTGGAGTACCCAAATAGTTCATACTGGCCATATCAGGAGCTGTTTGAGAGTGCGAAGCTGAGATGCTGCCCCCATAGCTACTTTCCTGGGGGGTACTCTGGACGGGAGCGCTGCGTCTTTCCAATTCAGCCTCGAAGTTGATGCCGTGGGATGCAAGAATCTCCTTCAGAATTCGATTCTCTTCTTTCACTTCCTCTAGGGTTTGTTTCTGCTGCATGATGGACATGTTTGCGCTTTCCATATCATTGGCGTAGCCTTCTCTAAGGCGCGTTATTTCGACCTCTAGAGCTCTGATATACTGTTCCTTACGCTCACGGTGTGTCCTTTGTAGTATTAGTACATGTTCACATAAATAAACATGCTATATAATAATTCGTTTAGTCACCTTTGTGCCTGTCTGTTCAGCTCCTGTCTTCTTGTTTGCGCAGGCTTGCTGTCCGGTTTCGGACCACGGCGCTTCGGCTGTTGTCCATCTATATCAGAGATCAGAACAAATCCCATGAACAGCAGGTATCACGAACAATGAGTCAAGCTTACCACTAGGTATCTTCTTCACCGGGTCACTTAAGTTCTTGATGAATGCCAGATTCACCAGCGATGGGTTCTTCTTGGGAACTGTTGGAGGAGGCCCTATACAAGCAGACGCAGATTTGTTTCCGCCACATGATCGGATAAGCTCAGGGGCTGTAGGCAAGAGATGAGAAGAGGATCGTCTTTGGCGTGTTTGCCAGTCATAGGCGGAAACAGGTGCATCGGCCGTAAGTGTCCATACCAAAGACATGTGCGTTCTCCCATCCTTTTGTCACATAGGGGGTACGGTATTGATCAGAGAAAGAAACACATCGGATGCAAAGATATCAACAGGACGGCCACGTATGCGCTAGATATCAAGTCCACGCATACATACAGCTAACAATGATACAAAGGGTAGATAATCAAGCATTGTGTAATACGAGACAGACAGCTGCAGCAGACGTACCTGGTTCGATGCCGGTGGGCACACGATTAGCTTCGGGGCTGGACTGCGGTGCGCTTGAGGCCATCTTCCAACGTTGGTAGCAATTCAAAAACAGGCGAATCAACAGGGCGCCGTAGCGTTATTTTTCTCCAGTTGTGATATAAATTAGTTGAAGGGTTTGAAGTCGCTCTAAATAATTGAGACGGTTGAGGAGCTGGCGTTGGTGGCTGAGCGTTTGCTCCAGCCGCAAGCTAGCAGGCGATCGCAGGAGCAACGTCTGGTGGAGGCAATGAAACCAGGAGAAACAGGTAAAATCTACCCCGTACTGATCCCTGCAACGATAGAGCTGTCAACTTGCCCTGTTAGTTAGAGGATTCTGCGCTTTTGATATGGGCCGTTGTTGGTTTGCATTTTGTACTCTTTTAGTGGTTTTTTATTGCGTTTTATCCAAGTTTTTCCCAGCGAGCAAGGTGCTGGCAATTTATACAGTATAAATACGGGGTGACCTGATATTATTATGTATTAATAAACTGCTATTGGATATATACTATATTTTACATTAGTCAGCGGTATTACCATGCTTGCTGCGCCTCGTTTTATATTGGTGGCTGAAAAGCTGGAGATATAAAAATGCCGACAAGGCAGACAGATTAAACAATTTGAAGGGATCAAGATGCAGCACTGGGACTGGAAATTGAAGGCATGAACTCGGGTGTGTCCTATGCCTCGTAGGAAGAGTCCCATGATACCAAATTCCCATACTCGCTTTCACTTTCGCGCTCAAAGTCGACTCTCCACAAGACTACCTCGTTGTGAGATTGAGAGGAGGTAAAGAAGATATCCACAACGACATCAGGAAGGGAGACTATAAGCTCAGCCAGTTCCTTAATCTGCTTCAATCCATCAACATATTGGCGTATTTTTTCCCCAAAGGTAGCAAAGCTAATAAAGAACTCCCCTTTAACCTTGCACTTCAATGTCACGTTCCAGAGGCTGCGCGGTTGGTCTTTGAAGTAGGCGATTAACTGGCTGAGAATGTGCGCTAAACCGTGGGTTTCCATATCGAACTCGGCGAAGGGATAGTGCAACGACTCTATCAGCATTAGTGACTCAAGTTTTGACGGAAGGATGTCGTTAAGCGTTGTACAACCCCATGGACGCAGTCCCATCAATATCTCTGCGGGTATCTCTAGATATGAAAGGCGGTTCAAGTGGGTGAGAGAGTGAACCGGAATACCAGGGAACCATTTGGGGCCGCCTTCGTATGCAAAGAATTCCAGGCTAGTCCAAGCAAGGTCTACGGTAAGCTCTTCTAGGGTGTCGGCGACTTTGACAAGATCCGTGGCGAGAGTCGAAAAGTCAAGCATGGAGGGCGAGGTCGACTGGGGATGGGAGGTGGGAGCAGTGCTTGGATATTTGCGCAGTAAACCACAGTGGAACACCTTTAAAGCTGGTGTATGGTCCAAAATATCCCCAATTGAAGATATGGATAGGTCACAGAACCGAAGGCGAAGGTTGGTAAGGCACGGGTATATGTTAAAAAGATCGTTTTGCATTACCCTCATCTGGGTGTCATGAATAGTCAACTCTAGCGTTCGAATATCCCGGGCATGCGGAATTGTAATATCTCCTTTGCAGGTGATTCCCAACTCTCCTGCATCGTGGACAGATCCTCTTTCGCAAAGCGCCAGATGTTGAAGTCTAGGGAAATGGTTATAGTTGGGAGCTAGTGTGGTCATACATGCCAATATGGGGCCTAGGAAGTGAGAATAATAGAATAGGTCGGGCGCGAGGTCCAGTGATATAAGGCAGTCAAAGTGAGCTAGCACTAGGGGCAGCATTGCATCGGTGTTGCCTTCCATAAGGGCGGCTTCCCAAGTCTTCTCCCATATGTCAGACCGGTCAATGAAGTGCTTCTCTTCCTTTCGTTTCTTGAACTTTAAACCCAGTTGGGTAAAGTTAGGGTCCGTGATTCTTTTACGGCTTGTGATGACTCGCCTGCCAGATTCGCCAAAGTGAGGAACCGGGATCCAATCCGTGTGAGCTTTCCAATGAATTTGTTGGACGTATCCAGACAGATCGGGGCATTCAAACATCGTACGAAGCAGTAATTGAATCCATGAAGTTTTGTATCTGTTAGGTTCGTCAGGTCCTCCTATGGTTCGCATATCCTCCGGCCTCTGAACTTCCTTGTGTATCACACGGTAGAGTGCATGCTGAGATGGATGACGGAAGGCGGTAGAAACCAACGAAAGAGACACCAGAGACTCATTGTCGCACTGATCAGCGATCATACAGCGAAGCTCCGGGGGAAGGGTAGAGAAGTGGTCCATGGTGAATGGTTTGCGTGTTAGACAGTGTCTAACGACAAAAATATGGTATATACAATATACGGATGGAAGTATTACTTCTTTCAGTCTGGTAACAGGCCGTTAACTGCTGATATCTTGTATACAATGTTGAGAACGAAATTCTAGGAAGACAACTGTCGAGAGAAGGGTTTAAATAGCATGATCTACTCAAAGACGTCATCGACTCATTTCGTCCAAAGTAATAATGGATTGCGTATTTGAAGCTTTCCGAATGTTTCTCTGACTAGCTCGATGATAGAGTGCATCATCATAGCCTAATGGATGACCTTGGGGGTATATCATAGCCGTCATAGATATGTAATATCTATCAAACTTCATTAGGACTCCCTTCCAGTCTTCTAGGTCTAGCTGGGTAGCGGCCCGTTAAAGAGTCTCGCTATTGGTAGATAGACAAGACCACACTCCGCATCGCTACTCTCCATCATGAGAGTGGCAGAACTCTTCGACTGCTCTCTCACCACAGCGTCTTCCCTCCTCTCTGATGAAGCAGCTTTGTATGGGGAATTCCAGCAAAGCTCGATGTTGTTGTTGCTGCCTCAGGCAAAACGTTGAAGCGATGAACTATCCAATAAGAGTCATCTGAGTGGAGCCCTATAAACTTAAAACTATCAGCTTAGTCATCAATCTCTAAACTCTATCTTATCCTTGTTTCGTTGATCGAAGAACAACAAGCAACAAAGATGCATGCATAACCTTTTCGACGCAGGAGTGAACAGCCTTCCAACGTCTGCGTTGACATGCAGGACCGGCCGGGCTCTTTTTATCTTTACTTCCACGATACGGTTACACAAAGCGGCTCTGACGTCTCGTGTTTTCTCTTTCCCGTTCCTATGTGAACTCTCTGGTACGCGCATCACCTGATGCGGATAAGTCTATCTACGGGTCAGCACCTCGGGGGCGATGTCATTGGGAGGTCGATGACGCAGGAAGCGAGGCGAAATGAGATAAGCCCTGGGCTCGCTTGGTGCTAGTGCATCGCGGGGGCAGTTCTAAAGCCTCGATCACCTGCATTCTGTTGACCAGAAAAAGGAGCCGCAAAGCATGGAAAGCATATACCTCTTGCTTGCTTAGATAGCCCAAGATACAGCGAACTTCAACCAGGTCGATTTCGTATCAAACGGTGCGGTATCTTCGGTTACGATCAAGTCTTGGGCTTGGAGGGAACCACGGACCGCTACCTTTGAGCATACTTTTCGGCTACGTCAGATTCTTTACCGATTATCGGTTGCCCCTATAAAGGCGGCACACCGCCCGAGTTTTGCGGTTGGCCTGGAGTATTAGCACCAAAGCCAGGACATGCAAAAAATGGAGCGTGGATCAGTTATCACCATCGCCGTCTTGTTGACGTTGTTTTTGGGAGTTGCGCTCTTTGAAAATTTGGAATTCTCAGTCTCTTTAAATAGGTATGAATTCTCCTACCTAACAAAAAAAAGGAGTTGACCCTAGATACGGCGATCGAAAAGATAAAATGTTCACCGTTAAGAGTATGATTTGTTCTCTAGCTAACTATTCTTAGCGGCGGCTTCCACGAGTCTCCTCCAACCGAATCTGCCTCAAACGGCCAGTGCTTGACAAGGGCGGAAGCCGAATCAATCCTTCAGAAATGGGTTGATTTAGCGATTTCTCAGAAATATGGAGACGAAAGTGGGCTATTTGATGAAAACTTTCGTTTGTTTTCTGAGAGCATGAACAGTGTTCGGGGTGGTCGCACGGTATGCCTGTTCACTCTCATCCCATTACCCACTGTATAAGGAAGGATAGACGAATGGAACGAACAAAAGAGCCCGCTAATATATGCGTCTAGATCTCACTGCCTGTGTTTTACAACAGAAATCATCTTTTTGACCTCTGTAAAGATAAAGCCCCTAGTGGCAGCATTATTGATATCATGGCCTGGGACCACGGTTGCAATTCCATCACCGCCAGAACCACACTCCATTCTGACGTCAGGCCTGGTATTTCGCCTATTGCGGGTGTTGTATTAATCATGCTGGACCCAAGGACGCGTAAAATCAAGGAAGTGTATGAGGAGTTCAACAATGTGGAATTTGTCAGGGGAACTTGTGAGCATATGCTCATTACACCGAAAACCAACAGTGCACCTTCATGTCTCCAGCTTAAAAACGGAGTAAGAATAACATATTAGTGTATCATGTCCCATTAATAATCAATTCATATTGTCATTGAATAAATATATATGTAGCTACGATAGGGTATCCTCCAACGGCGGCTATCGTCCAATGACGCGCATAGGAAATTTATAGACGCAGGCCGCAGGCTCCACGCGCTAGCTAAGTTAGCTAAGGTAGTCAATTACCATTGCAATTCCAACCACCATCTCACCCACCTCAACCAAACCGGGCACTGCGGCACGGAAAACCACATACCAGCTGGAGCACACCCAAGCCATTCACAAGATGCATGCTGGCCTCCAAAACAGCCCGAAACACACCTACTCGCACCTCGCACCTTGATGTCCCAGCACTCGACCAGCTCCGCCGAGGTTGAGGTTCTAGTACACATATCCGCCCCCGGCACCGTACGAGACGACGCAACATACCGCTCCCACGCCTCAGCATGTCTATCCTTCGAGCCCGTGACGAGAATACCTCTTACCTCACAGGCAGACACCACTGCTCCTTCATCCTCAGTTAGAGACGAAGGAGAAACGACCTTTGGATCGTTCACTAGTTCCTGGCCATGTACGGCGGAGGAAATCCAGCATCAGGCCGAGCAACTGGCTGAAAGCGATGAGACGAGTACGCCGCCCAGCACTGTTCCTGAGTCAACGTGTGCTTCGCCGGGTTTCTCGGATGAAGGGCAGGAAGACGCCGAGTCGGATCGGACAGATACGCCTACTTTCACTGCCACACCGCCGATGACGTGGAGCGGTGTTGAGCGTAATCAGAGTCCCGACGCATCGCCTATAAAGCCGATATATATCTCTATATCCTCTGAAACCACCTCGTCGCAGCTACAGTCGCAATCCCAGCTTTCGACGCAGGAAGCGTCACAGCCTAGCCTGAGTCAGGACCAGGAGATACAGTGGCAGGAACAGCTACGGTTTCCGATGGAGATACATCCGCCGCACCCAACGCCGTCGAGTACAGCGCGGTTCAAGACGCATCTCACGCCTGCGTTGCGAATGCTGGTGGGACATGCTAAGTTATCTACGCGCTATGCACCGGGGTATCAAGCTAGAGCGCTACGGGTGTGTGAGCGTGGATACTGGTTTGTTCGTATACCCCTTACCACTTCCGATGCAGTATCTACCGCCGGTACTGGAGTTGGTAATAGTAATGGTATGGGAGGCCGTGGTGGGTGGAGTGTTGAGCGGTTTATGCAGTTCTGGGAGTACTTGGATGAGTATGTTGGTTCGGGACGGGCTGGGTGGGGGGTATGGTGCGTTGCTGATATGGAGGGGGATGAAGCTGTTGAGGTACGTGTGTGTACGTGGGGAGAGGTGGTGGGCGCAATGTACCTTGTTTTATACATGGCTAGTGATAGGGCCATTGCGTCTTTGGAAGGGGTAGAATGGCGCGATGCAAGTGAGAAGGCTGTTATTCGGATGTGACGTGAGGTAAGGTATGTCAGAGCTAGCTTTGAACAATTGATAGAAGTTTTATTTTTAAGAGGAGATACTACGACTAGTAGTGTACATCACAACACGACGCAACACGATAACATCCGACATAGGAAAGGCTAGACAAGAGAAGGGCAAGGGTAAGATAGAGCGAAGGGAGCGTAAAGTAAAGGAAGGCAAGGGAAAAGAGGCAGGCTAGTAGTTGAGTTCCCCTCCACCCGCACCCCCTACAGCATCAAGATCCTCGTAACTCTTCAAACTCCTTCCCTGAACTGCCTCCTTCGGCCCCATGGCCTGCTGTGCTGTTCCATCCCATCGTCCGCCCGCTGCACCAGCACCCATAAGCGCAGCAGCGGGGTGGCCGGTGGGAATCGGCATCGATACACGCCCGAACATGGAACGAGAAGGTGATAGGCGGCCTACCCCTGGCGGACCAGACATGGGGTGCCGAGCTGTTCGGCGATCGTATGGGCCCGAGCGATGGGAGTGAGCGTAGCGGCCTGCGCCGCGCCGGATGACGCCCGGGTGGTGCTGGTGGTGGTGATGCATGTGGTTGTCGTGAGGGAGCATGTTGAGCATGGGGTTTGAGCCCGATGCGGGGTTGGGGACGGGCATGCCGTTGAAGGATGTTGCGTTGGACATGAAGGGCATGGTGTTGTAGTTGAATCCTCGCGGGGTGCCGGCCGGTACGTAGCCTGGTGGGAAGGGGAAGTGGCCGTTACTGGCTGCGTCGGAGCGAGTGGGTGAAATGTGCGCTGGGTCGAGAGCGTATGCATTTACGAGTGAGAGCTGTAAATCATTAATTAGCATAGAACGGAGTTATGATGAGTGTTGAAAGGGATAGCATACCTCGCTCTTTATCTCGGCAAACCACTCTTCGTGGCGCTTCTCGACGTGCTTGCGCCAGAAGTTATGCGCCTTGAAGAGCTTCGTGCATTCAGGCACTTTGCATCGGAACTTGGATTCATCCTCCTGCTTGACGTAACGAGCTAGCTCGTCTTCGACCGCTTCCTCGACCGGTTTTCCTCCGAGCTTCTTCAAATCTACATTCTCCGGCTCCAGGATCTGCATGAGCTTATCCTCAAAGGTGCGCACCCAGTTGAAGGCGCGGTAAATCTGCTGTTCGCTCTTGGAAGCGAAGCGCGGCGGCTTCTTCTCTTCGGCCGGGGAGGCGGGCGCTTCGCCTTCTTCTTCTTCGTCGTTGTTCGCAGCTGTGTTTGTAGCTGCTGTGGTGGAGTCCTTCTTAGACGGGTAAGGGGCGCCTATCGCGCTTGCACGGGCGGCTGATTTGGCGTGGGTGGAGAGGCCGGAACGAGGACGACGGAGATGGCCTCCTGGACACTTGCGGACAAGTTCGTGGACAGAGTCGGACTCGAAGACGCAGTAGAGACAGAAATTGTGTACGCGACGGAGGTACTCGACTGTTAGATCGAGGGTTTTCTTCTTTGCGAGCAGGTCTTCTGTGTCTATTTCATCAGAGTCATCTAGGTCTGCTTCCTCGCCTTCCTCTGTCTCGTCCTTCATTTCTCCATCATCGAGGAGGATCATGTCTGCTTCTGTATCGAGGTGATGGTTGTTGTTGTGGTGGTGGTGCCTGATCTTGACCGGACCGCTGACTGGAGGCTGCAGCCAGCCTTTACCACGCAGGTCTTCTACGCGCTCTTCTATCCTGGCCATGCCGTCCGTCGAATCCATGGCAGCGTCGAACTTTGCTACCACTCTGCGAGCCAGGTCGAGATCTCGCTCAACACGCTCTGGAGCCGAGAAGAGGTCCCAGAGGGCCTTCTTGCGTGGATTGGCGGGTGGAACATGGACACCGACGTGGCAGACAAAGTCTCCCCTGTCGGGATCGGTGATGGTCTTGCCATTGACGGCTTCCAAGGCGCGCTCAGCGGGGGAAACAGTGGCAGGCTGCTCTGCCTTTTCAGAGTCCATCATCTCGTCCTCCTCGTCTCGGCCGTCTCCTCGCTCAATGGTAGATGTATCCTCTGAGCTGGAAGGATGCAGCATGATCCAGCCTATGCGATGGTACTTCTTTGACGGATTTGGGTCACTCAGACTGAGCCACTTGAACCCACCGTCGACTTCGCCGAGATGCTCCTTGCAGAATTCTTCTATCTTCTCGCGACTGACGTTGGGCGCCAGCGTCTTGATGAGCAGGGCCGGCTGGAGGATGGAGTCATCTCTGAGCTCTCCTCCGCGCGCAGGGACAGGTCTAGCACGCCCAGCGTCTCACCGACGCCGTGGGTTCACCTTCTTCCTTCTCGACTATGCCTCCGGCTCCATCACTCTCGCTCTTATAGATGCCTTCAAGGGTGAACTCGTCAAAGACACCCGAGGCAAGGTCCGTACACCACTGGTCATACGCCGAGACACGGAACTGAGCCAGCCTTTGTTTGAATTGCTGCACGCACATCCGCGACGTATCTCTCCCTGAACCACTCTTCGCCGCGATGCAGCTGCACAAACTGCCTGGCCAGCTTCATCTGCAGGTCTGCCTTGTATGCGTCGTAGGCAGTCTGTATCTGGCCCCGCTCGCGCTCTCTGTCTTCCCGCGCCTCTCTCTCCCCCTTGACCCTTCGTGTGGCGGGTGGCAGGCCATTTCTGACCCTCTCTTTCTCCTCCTTGATGGCGTTCTCTGTCCTCCACCACTCTGCAAAGTAATTGAAGCCAACCTGGTAGTCTAGCGCGAGGGGGGCCGGGATGGGGTTCGAGCGCGGCACTGGCTTGGAAGAGGCCGAGGAAGACGAACCCTCTTGCTGTCCGGGGATGTATCTGTCTATGTTTGCTGCGCCGGGCGAGGGGTGACGGCGGCGAGCGTAGTAGTCTTCCCGCCTGTCTCTGTCACGCTCTGCTCTCTCTGGCTGGTACCTGTCTATGCCTGCCGGGCTCCTCGACCGTCTCCTCCTCCTGTCCGCTAGAAGATATTAGCACAATTAAACATTATTAGGGGCAATGGTATGAGAGAGGGACTTACGAGACCTGCGGAAGTCGTGGTAGAAGGGGTCCTCGTCGGCCCACCTGGGCTCCGCCTTTGCTCCCGGCGGAGAAAAGGACTCGTAGTCCATGAAGCTAGCATCTCGTTAGAGGAGAGGAAGTAGAGAGGAGGAAGAGGGAGATGGAGAGGTTCATGGAGGAGGAGGTATAGGTAGAGACAGAGGTAGAGGAGGCAGAAGAGAAGAAGTAGGCAGGCGAAGTAGAGAAGACATGACTGAGTAAAAAGGTAAAAAGACGAGCGAGGAAGAAGGGAGGAAGGGTAGTTTAGTTACCAAGAAGAAGAAGAATAAGAAGAGAAGAAGAAAAGAGTAAAAAGAAGCCTCTTGATCCCCGGTGAAAGAGTGAGAGTGAGTTGCTTGCTGGCGGCAAAAGCAGCAGAAGCAGCAGAAGACGCAGAAAGTGAAGCTGATGAAAGGTCGACGTTGTCCAAGTTGAGGCTAGTGCTTAGTCATGGACAAGTCATTTTCTGCGTCCTGGGTCTGTCTCGGCTGCCATAGAGTAAAGCAGCATCATGTGACTAGCTATCTTACTCATCTCTTACTCATCTCTTTTCTCTCGTCTTACTCATCAACTTACTAAGCTGTCTGCCCTGCCCTGCCCCACTTTTCTGTCTCTCATCCTAAAAAAAGGACCTGCTAAGCCTAAAGCGGCTAGTAAATGTGACGAGTGAAAATGAGCCAAAAAAAAAAAAGAGAAGCAGAAAAAACAAAAAACCAACGAAAAAACCAACAAGAATAAGAAGAAAGAGACAAAAGACCACAAGTAGGAAGACGAAGATGATGGAAAAGTAGAAGATGGCGACCTTAGAAAACTTGACTCACTCACTCTCTCTCTCTCTCTCTTTCTAAGTCATCTCTTCTTATCCCTTTACTCGAGTATCTCTTCTCATCCTCTTCTCTTCTCTGACTAAGCCATGACTAAGCCCTCACCGCTGCCCAACCAAGCTTCGCCTTCCTCTCGCCTTCATCTCTTGCGTCCTGACCTTAGGCAGACTTAGACTCGTATGTAGACCGGTAGACACTTACTAGGAAGATACTTACCAGGAAGACGGTTACTAGTACTTACCTGTTAGCTCTCTGACGTCTTCCTCTTCTTCTGCTGTCTTCGTCCTCTTCCTGCCCAACCTCACCGCCGAAGTAGCAAAGCAGGCGAGGAGTTGGCAGTGAGCAGGCAGTGTCACTTAGTTCTCTTCTTCCTCCCTACTTAACTCCCTCCTCGTCCCTTTTCTTCTTCCTCTCCTACTCTTACTTCTTCCTCTCGTCAGCTTCTTCCCTAACTTCCTCTTCTTGACCGCTGAGCTTCTTTTTCCAGCCCTTAGACCGTCTTACCTAAGCATCCCCCTTCTCATTGGCCTCTTCGCCTTAAAAGGTGCAAGGTCCGCCTTCTTCTGCCCTCTCACTCGCCCTTTTTTTTGCCTCTCTTTCTTCCCTCTTTACTCTTCTTGCGCTGCCAGTGTCTCTCTGCCACTGGTGTTTCTCTTCATTCGCCTGTCTGGCTCTTCTTACTCACCATCCCTCGACTATCTCAACCATCGTCTCTCCCAACCAACCACTCGACTCTGTCCCAACCAACCACCGTCACCACCAGCGAGATCTCCTTGACTCGACCTGACTTGACGTTTCATCCTTAACTAGGCTCACTCCTCCTCGTCCAGTAAGTGTCGCCCTTTCGCCTCTTTGCCTTTCACCTCTTCGCCCTCTGCTCCCCTACGCTTCTGCTGCTCTTCTCCCCTGCCCACGCCTTTGACTGGCCAGCGTGAGGGAGGCCCTTGTGTCCCGTGACCGCGCTCGACCCAGCAAGCCCGCAGCCTGCAGCAAGACAGACGGACGGACGGACAGGGCAGGACAAGGGCAGGACAAGCACAGGACAGGCCAGGTCAGGGCCCCTGGGCTCGCAGTTAGCCTGTCTTTAGCCTCTCGCGTCGCGTCTCTCTGTTTACTTCACTGCCTCTACCTCTTCCTCTCTCTTCTGTCTACTGTCCTCTCTCTGTCTGCTGTCTACTGTCTACTGTTGCCTGCTCTACCTGTCTCCTGCATTGTCGTCTCCCGCCTCACCCGCTGTCGCTGTCCTGCTGTGTTGTTCTCCCTTGGGGACCCGCTTGGTACGTGCTGCATGCACAAGCTCCCGCTGCCAACGCATCATCGTCGCCCTACACTTTTGGCCCTTTTTAACTGCACACACACCCTCGGCCTGCCTTACATACACACCACCACCACGCTGCATCCCACCCCTCCATTACATATACACTTCTACTACCGCTACTACTACGCTACCATTACTACGAAGTATCCGACTTACTAATAGCCGGCAGGATGGAGTACGCCCAGTACCAGCAGCCTCAGCACCAGGCTTCTCCCATAGTGCCGCCCCAGCCTCACCCTCACTACCAGGGACAGCCGCAGCAGCAACCACCACAGCAACCACCACAGCAACCCCAGCAAGGGCCCGGTCAGCAGCATCAGCCGCCCCAGCCAGGACAGATGAGCTTCCCCCAGAGCTATGCGCCATACGGCATCTCGCCGACCCAGGCCGCGGCCATGGCCACCGCTGCTGCCACGGGACAGTTCTTCCCCTTGCACCAGGACTCGACGCGCCTGCCCATCAAGAACGAGAGACCGCGACAGTCGCCCCAGCAGGCCCACGCTCAGCCCGCTGCTGCTGCCCAGGCGGCCGCTGCTGCTGCTGCTCAGAGACGCATGTCCCAGCAGCTATCGGGAAGTCCTCACTCCATGCCTCGACAGCCACCACCACATCCTCAGCAGCAGCAACAACCGCAACCGCAACACCCACAGCATCCACAGCAGCAACATCCACAGGCACAAGCTGCTCATCCACCGCCTCCACCACCTCCACAGCAACAACCACAGCAACCACAGCCATCGCCTGAGCTAGCTCCCCCTGGGCCCCCGGCTGAGGAGTCTCCCCTCTACGTCAATGCAAAGCAGTTCCACCGCATTCTCAAGAGACGCGTAGCCCGCCAGAAGCTAGAAGAACAGCTCCGTCTCACCTCCAAGGGCAGGAAGCCGTACCTGCACGAGTCACGACACAACCACGCCATGCGCAGACCGAGAGGGCCAGGAGGTCGCTTCCTCACCGCAGACGAAGTCGCTGCCATGGAGAAGGCTCAGGGCGGTGGCTCTACCTCCACAAACAACTCCGCCGGCGACACAAACGAAAACAAAGAAGTCACCGGCCAGAAAAGGAAGAGCATAGCTGAGTCGTCGTCGCCGGGTTCCAAAAAGGCCAAGACATCGCCTCTAAGGACAGGTGCCAACGCCAACGTCAACGCTGCTCCCACTGAACCCTCTGACGCCGAAGATGAAGACGGCTAGTCTTTTACTCGCCCTTCTATCTACCGTTCTTGGTTGTCTTGTCTACTTCCGTTTATATATATACATATCTACTATTATACCCCCTCTCGTCTCGTCTCGTCTGGTCTTGTCTTTGCCTCTGTCTCGCTCTTAGCAGATCTCGCTGTTGCCTGCCTCTCTTCTCATCATCATCTTTGTTTCGTCTTTTCTCTTCTTTCAGCATGAGCGCGGCGGATGGATAGGATAGGATAGGATGGACCGGTTTCCCTTTTTCTCTTTTTTTTTTCTGTTTTTCCTTTGTCTATCTCGTTTGTTCTCTCTTTTGTCTGTCTGTCTACCCTGTGCGTGTCTTGTACCTGAAAAAAATTGAAGCTTAAAGAGTGTCTAGGGCGATCCTATGGTTTGTGTTTCTTTTCCTTTTTGTTAATTAGCTGGTTCTTGTCTGTGGATAAGAGTGATATATGATGATGCGAATCAAAGCTCGGTATATACTGTCTCTCTCTCTTTATTATCTACTCTACTCTCTATTCTCTTTACTCGTGTTGTAGTGTTATTAGAGTGTTAAAGTGTGGTTAATGTGATGACTAATGAGGCTGGTGCTTACTAAGTGTGGCTGGCCTCACCTCCTTCTCGACCTCATCCATGCATCTACTTAAGCATTCATGATATTTACAGATATCAACACCTCCTCTGCTTCTTCCGCCATATAGACAGACGCCCGCGACCACGTCCACCGGAGTAGATGGCAGCCTACTTCTGCCGGCTGCCCCGTCTCTCCGCTCCCGTCTGCCCCCGCGCTCCCTCCCCTTCCCTCCCTCCTTCTCCCTCTCCCTCTCCTTTCTCCTCTGCCTGACAACCCCCCCAGCCCAATCACCATGGAGGGCGGAGGAGGAAACATCAAGGTCGTCGTGCGCGTCCGCCCGTTCAACTCAAGGGGTATCCTCTTCCTCTTCCTTTCCTCTTCTTCCTCTTCTTCTTCTAATAAAAATACCTCTCGCTAACTTATTATATAGAACGCGATCGAAATGCAAAATGTATAGTCCAGATGAAAGGCGCCCAGACGGTGCTCACCCCTCCTCCCGGCGCTGAAGAAAAGTCTCGCAAGGGCGGCAAGTCCTCTGCCACAGGAGCCAACGCAACCCCCGAGGGTCCCCGAGTCTTCGCATTCGACAAATCATACTGGTCCTTCGACAGGAAAGCTCCCAACTACGCCGGCCAAGAAGACCTCTTCACCGACCTCGGTGCGCCCTTGCTCGACAATGCCTTCCAAGGCTACAACAACTGTATCTTCGCTTACGGCCAGACGGGATCCGGCAAGTCGTATTCCATGATGGGCTACGGCGAAGAGGCAGGCGTGATACCCAAGATCTGCAAGGAGATGTTCCAGCGTATTTCGGGCATGCAGGTAGCGGACAAAAACCTGACGTCGACGGTGGAAGTGTCGTATTTGGAAATCTACAATGAGCGGGTGCGGGACTTGCTTAACCCGGCTAATAAGGGGAACTTGAAGGTTCGCGAGCATCCTTCTACGGGACCTTATGTGGAGGATCTAGCGAAGTTGGTGGTGCAGAGTTTTTCGGAGATAGACCATTTGATGGATGAAGGTAATAAGGCGAGAACGGTCGCGGCGACCAATATGAATGAGACCTCGAGTAGATCGCATGCTGTCTTTACCTTGACGCTTACGCAGAAGAGACATGATAAGGAGACGACGATGGATACCGAGAAGGTGTCGAGGATCAGTCTGGTGGATCTGGCGGGATCCGAGAGAGCGACGTCTACCGGTGCGACGGGTGCGAGGTTGAAAGAAGGTGCGGAGATTAATCGATCGCTGTCCACGCTGGGTCGAGTCATTGCTGCCCTGGCCGATTTGTCCTCGGGCAAGAAGAAGGCAGTGGTGCCGTATCGAGACTCGGTTTTGACTTGGTTGCTTAAGGATTCGTTGGGCGGTAACTCCATGACGGCTATGATTGCTGCTATCTCCCCGGCAGATATCAACTACGATGAAACACTGAGTACGTTGCGATATGCCAATTCAGCCAAACGTATCAAGAACCATGCAGTTGTCAACGAAGACCCCAACGCGAGAATGATACGCGAGCTCAAGGAGGAACTCGCTCAGTTGAGAAGCAAGCTGGGCGGTGGTGCTGTTGGTGTCCCTGGTGCGCCCGCCTCTGCTACTTCTACGGGGATACCGCAGGAAGAGTACCCGCCCGGAACACCGCTGGAGGAACAGATGGTTACCATCATGCAAGCGGACGGTTCAGTCAAGAAAGTCAGCAAAGCTGAGATCGTCGAGCAGCTCGACCAGAGTGAAAAGCTGTACAAGGACCTCAACCAGACATGGGAAGAGAAGCTGCAGAAGACAGAGGAAATCCACAAGGAGCGAGAAGCCGCCCTCGAAGAACTCGGTATATCCATTGAAAAGGGCTTCGTCGGTCTCAGCACGCCCAAGAAGATGCCCCATCTAGTTAACTTATCAGACGACCCCTTATTGGCCGAGTGTTTGGTATACAACATCAAGCCCGGCACGACGACGGTAGGCAACGTCGACGCTACCTCTTCAGCATGCGAGATACGACTTAACGGATCCAAAATATTGCATAAACACTGCACCTTCGAGCATGCCGATAACATCGTCACCGTCATTCCCTGCGAAGGCGCCGCGGTGATGGTCAACGGCGTGCGAATAGATAGCCCACAGCGACTCAGGAGTGGGTTCAGGATAATACTGGGAGATTTCCACATTTTCCGATTCAACCATCCCATGGAAGCGCGTGCCGAGAGGGTAGAGCAGAGCCTCCTCCGTCACTCCGTCACAACAAGTCAACTTGGTTCAAACTCAAATACTCCCGTCCGTGGACATGATCGAAACATAAGCAAAACCGGTTCCGAGATAGATGGCGACTCAAGTCGGTCTGGCTCTCCGATGCCATCCCAGCGAGGCGGAGGCAGTACAGGACGAGAAGACTGGTTCTATGCTCGACGAGAAGCAGCGAATGCGATATTAGGTACCGATCATAAGATATCCGCACTTACAGATGATGAGTTAGATGCGTTGTTCGATGACGTGCAAAAGGCCCGCGCGGTGCGGAGAGGGTTCTATGAGAACCGATTCTTGGATATGGAGGAGGATTCGGACTCGTTGAGCTCATACCCTATTCGAGAGAAGTACATGTCCAACGGGACCATTGACAATTTCTCCCTGGACACGGCGTTGACCATGCCTGGTACCCCGAAACAAGGTGAATATGACGATACCAATGAATCCCCCTCGAACGCAAACTCCAGCACCAACGGCAACAACGAACCAGACACCGAAAAGGGGCGGATGGAGAAGGCCCTGATGGAAGCTAGAGAAGAGTTCCAGCAGCAGCTCCAACGTCAAAAGGAAGCCTTTGAAACGCAAATAAAGGGCATCGCACACCTATCCGGCCACATGACCGAGGACGGACCCGGGTTCTCCTTTCTTGAACCACGCGAGATAGAAGTAGCTCGGAACGTGCTCGCACACTGGCGAAGAAGAAACTACGTCCGCATGGTCGAGTCCGTTCTCCAGCACGCCTCGCTTCTCAAAGAAGCACAAGTAATGAGCCACATAATGGACAAACACGTCTTTTTCCAATTCGCCATCGTCGACGTAGGCCAGAGCATGGGCTCGTCCTACGATCTCGTACTAAACGGCATATCAGGGGATGACGACATGACTCTCGACGATGCTAAGAAGCCCTGCATAGCTGTCCGAGTGATTGATTTCAAACATAACGTCATCTTGCTCTGGTCGTTGGAAAAACTTGAGCGTCGTGTGCAGGCCATGCGGCAGATGCATCAATACATCGATCGACCCGATTACATACAACATTTCAAACTTGAGAATCCCTTCTCGGAACAGTGTTCGCCTACTTACTCGCTTGTAGGCGACGTAGATGTCCCGCTCACAGCAGTGTTCGAGTCAAGGGTTCAAGATTTCTCAGTCGAAGTCGTCTCAATCTACACCCAGAACGTCATCGGCATACTGCGTCTTTCCCTCGAACCTTCCGCTGCCCAAGCGCCTTCGTCAACGCTGAAATTCAACGTCGTGATGCGTGACTTGGTTGGTTTCGCTGAACGTGAAGGCACGGATGTCCATGCTCAGCTCTTTGTCCCAGGTATATCGGAAGAAGGCGGCGCAACGACTACACAAATCATACAGGGCTTCGATGAGAATCCTGTCCAGTTCGAAAGTGTGCATAGCATGAGTCTACCGCTCAACAGTCCCCGAACATCGACGTTGAAAGTTAGCATCTTCGCACTCGTGTCCAGCATGCATCTTGACAAGCTTCTTAGCTGGGACGAGATGCGCGATGCACCTGAAGCACCGCCCCAGAAGCGCAAGGCACCCCGTATAGCTGAGTCGGAATACTTCCAGGAAGAAAGACATGATGTCTTTGCTGGCGTGCAGATACTCGAACTCGCGGAGAACGGCGAATACTTGCCCGTCGACGTCGTGCAGGCTAACAGTCTCGAGGCGGGGACCTATCAGCTTCATCAGGGCCTTCAGCGCCGTATAGTGGTTAACTTAGCTCATAGCTCGACTGAGAGTTTGCCGTGGGATGATGTTACTGCGTTACGAGTCGGTGGTATCAGGCTACTTGATCCCTGGGGTAAAGTCCCTGATCTAGACGATGGTAAATCCATTGATATCCCGCTGAAAATGATCCAAGAACCCTTGGTCAAGGATAATGCGGATGGATCTTCGAATATCACGATCATAGGACAGTGGGACTCGAGTTCTCATGGCTCCCTGCTCCTCGATCGCACGACGGCGGATAAATATAAGGTACAAATAACATTGCGCTGGAACTTGATTTCCTCACGTCTACAGGAGCCGATTGTCTTTGAGCTCGATCAGTGCCTGCAGATTCTTGGTCGGTCTAGTGTTCGGCCGCAGTCGATGTTCAAGCAGTTCTGGTCCTCTACGCGGGTAGTACATTCGACTTCGCAGATGTTTTCCGTTGCGGTGCGACCTGTCTCGGCCAAACGGGCAGCGGACCTGTGGCGCATGAATACGCAGAACGATTACATCAAGGGAGAAGAACTGCTTACTACCTGGTCGCCTAGAAAAGTCTCTTTGATAAAGGACTATATTGCTGCGCGGAAGAGACGACATCGAATAGCTGAGATCGAAGCTGCTCGAGCAGCGCTAAGTGACGGCAGCTTAACCCCATTGTCCGCAAATGGCCACTTAACCCCTTTATCACGAAATACCCCCGAACACGCCGAAAGACGTGAACAGCTACTACGCAAATACCTCGGGCTCTGGTCTGCCAGCAAAGATCCCACCGACACCATCCTCGTAAAGGGACACATCGAGCCTCCTCTTCAGGGAGCCGCATTTGCCCCAACCACAACCGCATCCACGTTCACCACAGATAACGACAGCGTAATCTCCAGCGCCAACGCATCCTCTCAGCAATCAACATCTACCTCCACAGACCGATTCTCCTCCAAACCTCGCTTCCTCGCTACAATAACGCATATCCCTAAAAACCCTACAGTCCTTAAATCAGGCTACCTCTACACCCCCGATGACACCTACAGCCTTTGGGTCCGTCGCTTCGTCGAACTCAGACTACCATACCTACACATCTATTCTGTTCCCGACGGCGATGAAATAAACATCATCAATCTACGCAATTCCCACGTCGATCATGATCCGGACTTCGCCAGACTGCTGGTTGGATCTAGTGGGAACGGTCTGTCGTCGCGCGGCCAACCGAATGTCTTCGCTGTGTTCGGGGCGCAGAACACGTTCCTTTTCGCTTCAAGGACCGAATCCCAGAAGATCGAGTGGATTCTAAAGATCGACGAGGGGTATTTCAGCGGTATCAACAGTAACCACGGTAGCCGCGGGCCTTCAAGACGATAATCACACCACACGCTTTCCTCACTGTTTTTCCCACCGGCGTCTACCCTTGGTTCAAAATTGGTTTGCTTTCACTTTCGATTCTGGTTCTTGCCTTAATTTGTTTGCATCGTCTTGCTTGCGTGTTATAATGAATGTCTTGACGGCTCCAACGACATATATCCATCCATTCCATCTATACCTACATACCCCTACCCCCCTCGGGAACAGAAAAGGATACGAATTGCATTTTGGCTTCAGTTGGTTATTTATACTTCTTATTTCAACTCCCTGACTTTGGAAAAAAAGCCCCTTACAGAACCCCTTATCGTGTACACTCAGCCCACCCAAACCCATCTTACTTCCCTTGCACTCATTTATAATATCCGATATTTTTATATATATAGACTAACCTCCTTAGACACCCCGTTATCCATTCCTCCCTTGCTACTTCAGATTTCATCTATTGGCTATTTTGGGCTTCTTCAAGCTTCGATACCCCCGCAATTCTTTTCTATTCTTTTATATACTAATATGTATACAATTATATGCAAGAGATGTTGAAGACGATACTTTTGATACTATACTATATGTAAAGTAAAGCCGTTTTTCAAGCCCTACATAACTACGAGTCTACTGGACCAACTATAAGCATACTGATCGCTCAATATCTTCACAAAATAAACCAACTGTGCATGAAAACTCGATTGAATCCGACAGTAACAGTGATAGTTATAAAAGAACGTTACTGCACCCCATTATACGCATCCTCCAGCTTCTTCACATCCATCTTAACACACTGCATCATAGCCTGCTGAACCCGGTTCGCCTTCTCCCTATCCTCATCCGCAGACAGCACCATCAGCGCCCTGGGGACAATCTGCCAGGACACACCAAACTTATCCGTCAGCCATCCACACTGCACCGGCTTTCCTCCATCCTTGAGCAGTGCGTCCCAGAAATAATCCACCTCCGCCTGGTCCTCGCAGGTCACGAACATGGAGATGGCAGGGGTATGTTGATAGTGTGGCCCGCCATTGAGAGCAGAGTACTCCTGTCCGCCCAACTTGAACGAGACAAGCACCGCGGAGTCATTGGTGATGGCAGCTTCGTTGACGATGTATGAATCCCCCTTGGTTTTGGAGTGAGGGTTGTTGGCGAAGATAGAGGTATAGAGTCTTGCGGCCTCGACGCCCTCTTTGTCAAACCAGAGGCATGGATGGATCTTTTGAGTTGGGAAGCTGGTCATTTTGATATCGTTGGCTCTGTAGATGGAATATAGCTTGTGTATGTTTGAATGATTTAGAGATATTTATTGAGATGATTCCGTTGCTGCCATGAGGAGTTGAGGTTGGATTTTATAGATGAAGCCCCTCGTGTTTAATATACGCCACACGCTTTAAACCCCAGGCAGCAAGGCCCTAAGAAAGTATGGGCATCGTATTCTAGGCATGAAGGGAGCGTTTATTGGTGAGATTCTCTCTAGCATTCTCGGCTTAGACAATCCCCATTCATTTTACTTATGCTTAGTTGAACGCTTGGTGCAGCCCGTATATCAGGCAGCACTGCCATTACATTGGTTGTTTGAGCGACTGAAGCAAATTCAATTACCTCTATAAATCTAAATGTGAAAATAGCCTAAGCGAGCCATTCCTCAAACAAAAGATCAAGGAAAGGAGAAACATTGCGAGTTACGGTATTTCTTAGCTTCAAGATATTTCCAATGTAGATATAGTGATGCAAGCTCCTTGTGTCAACAAATTAACTCGTTACCTAACTAATTAACCGCCCTGCGGACTACTCGTCCCGCAGGACACAGCACTCAAGCAATAGGTACGCAACTATACTGGAGGCTCTTTAGATAGTTATGTACCAAGTACCTTGGCTCCGTAGGTAGATAGTTACACCCCAAAGAGAAGTAATGATGATAATATTAATTTTCAAGAAAACGAACATCTTGGCGAACTTGGGCCTTATCGTTAGATGGTGGAAGAGCCAGAGAAATTAAGGAAATGGGGTATACCAACACCATAGGGATACAAAGGGGTCAACAAGAGAGTAAGAAAATGAGAACGAATACATTATGCCCATGCGCTAGGATCGTCCCAGGCCGACAAGACCAAGTAGATCATTTGCCCAGCCTTTGACTTTGTTAATTATGCTACCGAAAATGAAGCAGATTGCCCTTGGCTTTGACTGGTTGTTGCCGTAGGAGGAGGGGGAGGGGGAATACCAGCATTTCCACTGACTGTGGTAGGCTGCTGAACCGGGGGCTGGGTCGGAACTGGAGACGTGGATGAGGCCGGCTGGGGTGGATCTTGATCGTCTAGATTTTCAATTGGAGGGCTTTTCCCATCGGAGTGTAAACCGACAGGTTTTAAAGGGAGGCGTAATGTGCCATTGTTGGGTTGAGGTTGGATTCGCAGTGAATCACATATTATATTATATACTTCGATATTTTCTGGATAGTTGTTAGCAAGAAGATCTAAGAATATGCAATGGGAAGGGCTTACGGAATTCTGGCACTCGACTGTTTGCTTTGTGAGGGAAACTTGGCCCCCGAGCTACAAAGATAGCTCTCATAAGCGGATGTTCGTGGTCGTACCCATGTATCCCCATCGGATGGTAGGCTTTACCCTCCTTCTGGGCTTCTTTCACGTCAAATCCTGGCCTTTCGACAATCGCCCAGCCAGTCTTGGGGATTATCCATACTGGTGCGATTCTATTGCTCTTCGAGAAGTGGTACCGCTCCGGCATAGTCTCACGGGTATAAATCTCAAGGTAGTCGTTAAAGCCCATGAAAGTAGAGTGATTCTTCGCCTGCTCATATATCAATTGGATATCCTCCTTTCGTTTCGGTACAAGTCCGCGAAGGGGCCAGCCATCGATTCGCTCAACTAAATTAAGATCCACCAGGTCTTCAAGCTGAACTAGACGGTCTGTTGAGGTAGTAGCCATTCCATGATCAGAAACAACCACAATATTAACAACGTCGGTCAAATTCCTTTCTTCTAGGCCTTGCAGGATAGAAGCCAACATTTTATCAGCATTGGCAATTGTTGTTCTAATTTCCGTACTGTTTGGCCCAAAATTGTGTCCTGCAGCATCCACATTTGGTACGTAAGCTGCAATGAGCTGAGGTCTCCGCTGTTTAGTGGTTGGCGGAATATCCATGTCCTTTTCTCCGGGGAGGTCGAGTAATTCAAATATTCGGTCAACTTTTCGAGGCAGGGCCTCACTTCCATTAAATTTATCTAAGAAGGTTGGCTCAATTCCCATTATGTGGGCCTCGGATCCCGGCCACATATGAATAGCAGTTTTCACTCCTTGTTTCTCGGCAGTTGCCCAGATGGGTTCGGCTTTCCACCACTTTGGTTTCATACTCTTCTCAGGCTTCGTATAGTAGAAATCATCCTTTAGCTCGGGATCCCAAAAGGTATTTCCAACAATTCCATGGCTCTCGGGATACAGGCCGGTTACCAGTGTATAATGGTTGGGGAATGTAACGGATGGAAAGCTTGGAAGCATATATTTGGGCGATATTCCATTGGCTATGAAGGAGTTGAGGGTTGGTGTGAGACCACGGGTAAGGAAGTCGGCTCGGAATCCATCAAGAGAAATGAGAATGGTCGTAGGCAAAAACAATGAGGTGCCGTTGGATATAGTATTGGGGGATTGTTGGTGAGATATCCGATAACCACTTGACGCTTTATAAGCCCCTAAGTATAGAAGGCAGAATAGAATTATAATAGCGAAAGAAAGCAGAGAAATCATTCGACATGATGAGTCCTAGATAAAGATTAAAGGTGGTTAGTACTGGGTTGTTACTGTATCGATGATGTGAATGCGTACACTGGCAAAGTAGCCTCTGCTTCCGATATCACGAGGGTCCAAGTCGCTAGATACGGAGCTTATTGTTGATACGGATCGTGAATCGTCGTCAGACTCGATAGCTTTGCATACCCCCTCTTCCATCTCGTACATTAATTCATCATCTTCCCCCAAATTCATAGCGTCATTATTGCTCTGCGCAGAGCTCCTCCGCCTCCTCCGATCGCTTGTCATTGCAGCTAACGATTTTCTCCGCCGCCTACTCCGGTCCCGTTTCCCAATCCTCACACTAAAACTCCCATTGTCATGGGGATTGGCCCCGAATATTCTTCGAAGGCCATCCGTTGGACTCGATTTCGCCTTGATTAACAGTCGCTCCCGCTCCTCTTCTTCCTCTAACACGGTACGGTCGTGTTGTACCAGGTCGAGAGTACTTCGGGAAGCTTCCATGAGCTGGTCATCTTCAGAGTCCGATTCCTGATCGGATAGCGCGCGTATGGGCGCAGCATCTTCGTCGTATCCACCTGGGGAGAGAAGGTATGGAGTAGACGAAGGGCGGCGCTGGGTGGTATTTCGGTCGGCAGGCATTGGCGCGTGGTCGGATGAGGTTGACTGACTAGAGCTCAAGAAACAAATGACAAGGAGGACGAAAGGTCGTACTCCACCACCTTGGCCATTGGTGGTTTTGGGTGTCGCAGGTGGCGTATCAAACTGCCAGAGAGCGTTTTGCAGACTTTGGGAGAGGCGAATGAAATGTTTATATTGCCTTATCGGGATAAGGGACCCCTGGGGTGGTCCAGGCGTACTATCACGTGATGTAGGAGCTTAGCGGTTTTAAATATTTCATTGTATTTACCATCTAAGATACAGCTAGGGGCTTATTTTGGTGAATAACTTGCTGAGTCACTAAGGTTTTGCGTCATCGGCTGTACCAGGCTAAAAAGTACTTTAATAAGTGGGACTTTCCGCTGCTACTTCACAGTTTGTTTAGCGCCAGACTTTTGCTATGGTAAGGGAGTTTGAATCGCCCTGTCAATATGCAAGTGACTCTATTAACTAGTCATCAACTTCGGCGACATCTTGATGAGCGTCACGTGGTGGAAGCCTCGGGCGCAAAGACACAACGGAGCTGCAAACTAATGCCTCAGCATCTTGCTGAGCACTGCAAATGAAGAGAAATAGGTGTATAAATGGATGATGATGATGGCTATCTAGACTGGCAGCCATTACACGGCTATTTATCTGTACAAGAATGAGGCCCGTCGAACTGCCAGTGCCTACACCGATACAGAGCAGGGGGTGGCAACGGCGGCGTTTCGTATAGTTATCCGAGACGAAACGCGGCTCCAACAACATATAACGCGACATCGCCATCGGCGTGGAGAAGACATTTTCGTGTTCGCCAGACTGATAGTGGCAAGACAGAGATTTGGCACTGTATGAGAATATCAGCTATAAGAAGATCAAAACACCATGTATTTAGCAGTTGTGTAGATTGAAATACATACGTCTGAAGAACGCAGTCTCCATTGTAAAAAGCCATGGATAACTTTATTCGCGAGGTAACTCCCCTCGCTACTTCCAATATTCTGGCGTATAGTTTGTTTCTTCCCTCAACCGCTGCCTTGCACTCTTGCGTGATTGACAGGCAGTTTTTATGTTTCCATGATAGCAATTAAAGCGCTCTGAGAGTTCAGTCGCTTAACTATGGACTGAGAAGTCAATCCTAGCGTGTGGGGTATATATAGTTGCCCTTCATCGAGATAACTTTATTGGCCGTCCGGCCAATATTAATCGTAATTATGACGCTAGTCTCGGCCCCTTCTGATTCTAGCCATCTCCTTGCATCGATGGTAAGCTTGTTTCTTTCTCTCACGGCTATTCTCAACCGTAAGAGAAGGTGTCGTTGCTAACAAAAGCTCCTGTCTTGTTGGTAATATGAGTGTTTTCAGCGCCGTCTATATCCCCTTGTCGGCGCGTACTCGATAGGCGGGGAAAGAAATAGTTTAATGTCAATATAACCAGTTAGAGTCTCGACCGTTAATATTGTAGGTTCGCCTTTTTGGTTGAATGGTAGAATTCGACGGAGACATAGTCAAGGGGCTTGTTGTGGCACCGAAAAATAACCCTTAAATCGGTCGGTTGCCCTTGCATGATCGTTGAGGAACCGCCAAATTCTACGAGGGAAAAGAAGAGAAAGAAGAAGAAAATTAGCAGGAGCACTTGAGCAACGGTCGGGTTTTATATCTGCCCAATTGCGTCACTCCCGAACTGTGAATGGTTGGTTTCTTTCAGCTGAAAGTGGGTCCAATCAGACTAAATTAGTCACGTAAATATAGAGGACAAAGTAGATAAAGTAGACAAAGTAAACAAAGAGGACAAAGGACAAAGGAGGCAAAGGAAACGATATGAAAGTTATGATGTAATTGACTATTTGGTGTGTTCCTCTTAGCAATATAAAAATGGCTCTTTCCCACTTTTACTACTCTTCCCTTCCCTTGTCGGATGCAGCTACTCGCGAAATCAGTCGTTTAGTTACCAAGTGATTCAAGACTGTTATCTCTATTCCCACTCGCCAGTGCATCAGCTTGTAATTTCGCCTTCCAGTGTCCGGTAAGTTACTTTCTGGACCTCCATGGATGCTATGCTTACCACTTTTAGTCGGCCAACACAATATGGACTCCTCAACAGAGCGTGTCGCACGACACAGAAAGCTCATAAAAGATGCACGGAAGGCCCACCAACGCGCTCGACAGGAATCGAGTGAAGAGCTATATGATACACCCCAGTTCTGGAGAACAACACAGGCTGTACTAGATTCAGAGGATGTTGTCAAAGATTTGATGTGGCAGCGCCGAAGCGAGACACTGCCCACAAATGATGATGCCTTCGAAGCGGCCAAGAAAGAATACCTCAGACAGAGAGCCGCCAGAGAAGAACGGAGACAGTCAGCAATGAGAAGAGAAGAACGTTACAAGCAGCGGGAGAAGGTGTTGACCTTCCCCAAGACGAATAACAGAGCAACATTGAGAGCCATTTACGTTGATCTGTTTCTCGGTATAAGGGGAAAGACCTTCAGAGACAAACAGAGCGAATTCATCAAATCCATCCAGGCAGCGTACGGATCAAGAAAAGAAGGGAAAGTGACCACTTACTGCAATATCTTGACCGGCGAGTGGCACTTGCGAAAGTACTTCATTGCAGCGCACATTTTTCCGTTGTCCTTTGGACAGCAAGCTATGGATCATATATTCGGAAAAGATGCTCATGGCGAAATTAATACTGCTCGCAACGGTCTGTTTCTTCCCGTCGAGTTCGAAGAGGCATTCGACGCATATCAAGTTGTGATTGTCCCTCATGGATCGCCCACGAGCCAGCCACGAGAGTGGCAGGTTATTCTTCTCGACCACTCTGGCTTGAAAAATGTTCGTGTTTCGGGTATGACGTTTGGGGAGCTCCACCAGAAGAAATTGATCTTTGCCACTGACGCCAGACCCCGAGCTCGTTACCTTTATTTCCACTTCATTCTAGCTATGATATCTCACTATCGTTCCGGGAAGTCGACCGGCGTTATCAAAGACGAACTCCCGGACTCCATGATACCATCTCTGACTAGAGCTTGGGGTAGCGAGGGGAGCTACCTTGCTGACAATGTAATCCATGGATTTATTGAGAAAGTCGGTCACGAGCTTCCTGCAGAACTCGAGGAAAACATGCGCCGCCAAGGCTTTCGGGGGTCATTCGACTCTGAGGCGGAAGTCGAGGAGATCTGCGAGGCTGCCAAAGGAATCGACCTGAGAAGCGATGAGGAAGACAGCGACAGCGACAGCGACGACGACGACTTCTTCATTGCTGACGATAGAGAGGATGAAGAGGATGAAGAAGATATGGATGATCTGGACGAAGAGCGAAGAGAGGTCTGGGTTTGACGAAAGACGATAGCTGGTAATGGTAATGGTAATGATATTCTAGCTCCAGCGGTTTTACTTTTTTACAGGCTTCTACATTCTAGCCGTGTGTTTCTCTTCTCCATCTCTTATTCCCGTTTAAATGTTCGTTGATACCTTATCATATCCAAATTGCATTGGTCATGGCTAGCATGGAGCCGGTTGAATCTTGGATTTCCGTTCGGATAAAGGAGTTTGTCGAATCAACTTTGGCATGAAGAACATGATCCCCCTGTACGATAGCCTGGCGCTTAAGTAGGCCTTTGTCGGACAGAAAAAGAGCGACAGCATTCTCAGGAAGACCCTTCACCTCCAGAGCTACCAATATGGGGCCATGGGTATTGTTTTCTTTTTTGCCCCTGACTTTGTCACCGACATGAATTGTATCGCCGTGGTAGCTGAGGGTGAACTGGATATCAATGCTTGGGTCCCGGACGATATACGCCCGGTTTAGACGAAGACCATCAATGATATGTGCCGTTGACAAACTCTCCGAGCGAACCACAGTAGTAGGCACACCAACAGCAGACGGGGAGTTATGATAGTCGCTTCCACCGATAGCAAATACCCTTGACCCCTGAACAAGCATACTGTGCCACTTATCGACGGCCTTCCTATCAAAATCGTTCCAAACTCCGTTCCAGACTTCCAGTCCATCCATGATATCGAAGCTAAATGACCAGTCGCACGCAAGGCAGTCGTTGACAAACGGATGATTAGCCACTGCAAGACCTCCTTGACGCTGAACCCGTCGAACAGCCTGGGAGATAGCGGCGCTATCGTTCCCCTTATAACGAAATTCGACCCATTCGTTCCAGTTGAGACCCAGTGCATTCCAGTGCCCGCCGCGGGTGGTCACCTCGATGCCTCTTCCAACAAGTAGAGATGGCGGAGCGACAGCACCCCAAATCAAGCCCGATGATTGCGTGTTGTGATCTGTACTGAAGAAGAACGAAAGATTGGCTTCCTGGGCAAGCTCTGCAACTCTTTGAGGTGTCTGTTTGCCATCGGAGTATATAGTGTGAATACGGAAGTCCCCTCTGTACCATCTCAAACCAGACTGTCCGTTTCCGCTTTTCAGCTGGTGAATATTGCTCTCTGACTCGTTCATATACAGGCTGCTGTCTACAAAGCTTGGTGCAAAGGCTGGCTGGAAGTAGGACTTCACGGGTTCAAAGCCCAGCTGGATGTTCAATTCGTAGTCAATGCCTTGAGGAACTGAGTTGTATGGGCCCAGGGCTACAGACCAGACACCGGGCTGGATGGCACCCGCAATGTAGCCAGGGGAAGCATATTCAGGAGTAATAGTAAAGTTATCTCCTGCACCACCGGACCATCCACGAAATCCAGTGGTGAAGTTTCCATCAAGGGCGAGATGATGGCCTCTTTGGTCCCAGCATCCAAGGTCTAGTGCATTTCCCTTGCCTTTCAACGAGTACTTTTGTAGAACAGAAATCGAAGTAGTTCCTTCAGGGACGTCAAAGTCCACAAAGACAAAGTCTAGAACTTTTTCTGCGGGTATATGGCCGGTCAGGTTCAAATGGATGGGTTGCTGGCCGCGAAATGATAGCAGTTTAGTATCTGTGGCTGCAGCTGACGCAGTTGCCCATGCAAGAGCTGCAAAGGATGTAAGGATCCAGTCCACCATTTTAACTCCCAATAGCCGTGTAAAGAGCGTATGATGAAGGTACTAAAAAATATACTATTTCTAGCCCTTTGACGTACATATATATGGTTCGAGCTCATATAACAAACCAGTTAACTAGCCGACTTACAATATCAAGGGGCAGTGCCTAAAAAAAAGGGTGGAATGAAGAGGAAATGAAAAAAAGCGGCAAAGCAACAAAGCCTAGGGTTGTGCCGTAGGTGGCCTGTAACAAAAAGTCGGACTCGAATAAGTATCACCCATATGATGCTTGATACCAATTGAAATTTACCTGAGAATTCCACCACGTAACATCAACTTCCAAATAGACAATATCTTCCTTGTGGCAAAGGCGGCATCGGAATAGAGAGTGCTTAACAGACCAATTCGCAGAAGGGACGTTAGGGGCAGTTTAATCGAACTCTTCGGCCATGTGGGTGCCTTCGTGGGAACGGTTGGATAGATCAGTAGTCCCTTTAGTTTTCTGTGGACATGGCCAGCTGTTATGAGTCAGCCTCGCAACGCCGGCATAATCCCGGGGCCCAATCTTCGCAATCCTGGTATAGAAGCATCCTCGCCCGGGTTGCAGTCACAAACGTAACCATATAGCTATCCCACCAACCGGACGTTCTCACAGTATCTTAGATAGCGTACCTTCAATAGCGCCGTCTTACTGTAGTTACTCTGTGAAAGGTGCACAGGCCTCTCCCGGTATTATGCGACAGCGCCTTCGTGATTTCAATATTTGGGAAGCCTGTAAGGCATCCAAACAGAATAAAGTAGACCATATTACCCCGCTTTTAGGTATAACATGCAATGACGAGGCTTTAAGGGTTTGAGATATAATAAAGCCGCCATCAATCTCCACAGTGCCCAGTTTTTCTTTCCCCAAGCACTTGATAGAATAACTTACAGACTTTAAAACAAACCTTCTTTCATCTCCATCCGCAAGGTACGATAACTCTTCGCTATAGACTTCATCGTACATTATAGATATTGAATGTATGCCCTCCAGAATCCAGAACAAAATGGCATTTGTGGCGTGCAACAAGTGTGGCAAGCATAAGGAATGCTCTGCCTACCCGGGCTCGAAAATGTACTGCAACCGGTGTGCTAAGGAACTGAAGTGAATTGACTTGTTACTAAGTCGAGGTCGTGGTTAGTGCTATATTATTACACTGTCTTATCTTTAAGCTGGTTTATCGTATATACTAACTAATCATTAACTTCAGACATTTCACCGATATTTAGTTATCGGAATATAACCAGGGGCACTCGTTCACGGAACCTACTACATCGATATATCTTAAAGCGACTTGAAATGCGTTGGGGCGAAGAGAAGTAACTTACTGTCTTTACAGGGCTTATAACTACTGTACTGAGTGATCTGATCCACTCGCTTTGTGTTTTCCAGTTAAATAGTTATAACTAGTTAATTTAACTAGCAGCTGTGGGGTATTTCAACATGCCCTGTGATTCCGTTCTTTCTTCAATCAATCTACCAGGGCGTGCAACTACAGACCTTCACCGTTAAAGGCCACGTTTATGTACTAAACTTTTCAAACAATACTCACTCCCTGATAACAAATCTAGGTTCCCTTGTAGGGTAGAAAAATGTTATGGTTCCCTGTGACTGCCATCTTAGAAGCATCTACAGCACGGTCGAAATCCTTCCCAGTCTCGGTCCACCTAAGTTTTGTACTGAGCATACTGTCAAGATTCGTTACTACTATTGTGCGGAAAGGCGGTTAGATGGTTCAAGGAGTTGAGGAATTCCTTCTCGTATTGAGGTAGAACTAGAGATAGATTTTGAATCCGCAAAGGAGTAGCCTTAGGTGAATATCACTGGAATACAACGTATATTTGGCCAACTCGCCCATCACTTGACCGATCACGCAACACAAGGCGGCCCATAAACAGAGTCTCATATTAACCAGTATCATGAGTGCCAATGAGAGCGGTCGTTGGACGGCGGCTTAGTATGTGAAGTGGTAAGATTATACCCAAGATTAGCCCAATGAGGCTATGGCATCGGCTGGTGTCTGAACCATGAGCAGGTTTCGCTGTACGCACCCTATGGATTCTAGTTAATTGCGTAGCAGCTGCCTCACGCGAAGGCAAGACCCTATATATGAAGTTGTGAAGGGGCTGTGTACATATTTGCAGCCTGCAGGCGAGCCCGTAACGCCACCAAGGGCCCCCTGTCGGGCCCCGGCGGGGTGGATAGGTACGGCGGACAACTCCACAACACAACACCTCGTATAGTTATACCTCTACCAACCCGGTTGCTTTAAAGAAGCACGCCCGTGCGATCCATCAGACTCTATCCTAGTTATAGATAATACATCCTCCCGCCACCTAGAGAGAATCTCTTCAGCAGAGCAGCCTCGTCTCGTAACATCCCGCCTGTCCATCTAGCTCCCATGACATATTATAGTCCTGGATGCATAATTATATGATAACCACGTGGAGACTCCGCAAACTCTTAAACGACGCTTCCCTTGACACGCCCCCTTTAACAAAAGTTCGGTATTCCGGTGGTGTTACAAATCTACGCATTCCCAGTCACTATAGCAATAAAGCCTTACTAGGTACTTAAGTCAAGAAGGTATTTCAAATATTGATAGTATTAAATGTTAACTAATTACATATTTGCTCGTGGTGCTAACTAGCTAAGGCTTAATTGAGAAGTTCAGGGGCAGTCGTGTAACTATCCTAGGCCAATAAGTGCTGCAGTATCCCCATACTGAATATCCTGCGGCGATGCTGACCTCCCTCATTCTTGTGTCCTTTAAGCTTTGAGAGGGACTTCTTGTATGAATTGCACACTGCGAAGGCCGCCTTCCGGCTTTGTGAGTGGGAAGACAATCGTGCAGGGTTTTTGCCCTGGGGGGCATAGTTCGTTGAGTCTGTTCTGCAGTTCCGGGCAGAAACATTTGAGGAGGTTGTATTTGTCGTTGCCACACATATCTCTCTTCGTTGGGTGTCCAGTCAAGCAGTAGACGTATCCCGTATTGTCGCACAGGCCCTGGACGGTGAGTTGAAAGGTCATGGTTATGACCCGGCATTCCGTGCGAGGGGGGCATTTGCCCTTCCAGGTGACTTCGACGGTCTCGGTTCTTGACTCCTGCGTCAACTGCGTACGCTGGCCCGAAAATACGGCACTCAGAGGGCCATGGGTCCCAGCAATGTTCCCACCAAGCTCCAACCCAATGGACCAACCCTTCGTGGACCCGTGTGTTTCTGCAGTTCCTTTTTTGACCTCAATGTCCAGAGGGTCGGCGTTTGGGTTTTCGAAGACCTCATCAATATGTGGATTACTAGTGACTTTGACCTCCTTGACCTCCTTGAGAAGAGAGTGTGTATAGGTTGCTCCAGGATTGCAATATCCACCGCAGCCTAGCTTGCATTCATTGTCTGTTTGAACAGGATCGACTTCCCCTGCTGGTGGCGCCTGGCCGTGGATTTGACAGCCGCTCTTGAGCAGCTTGCGTATTTCTTCGATGTACGGGAAATTATTCCCATCTTGACGTCTTTTAAGTTTATTCCCGAGTTCTTTCAGCCAAGGATCATCGTTGATGATCTGGATCCCTTCACCAGGGTTTTCGCGCGTAACGAGGTCGGCGACGATGTGGTCGTTAGGCAAAGCGCTGCCAATGACGTGGGAAATGCACGAAGCAACAAGGAGCGCAGAGACCAGCATTTTTGTTTGCTTTGACTGGTTATTTGGACAATTGAAATGGGATAGAACGTGGGATTTGAAACCGAAGGGGCTTGCAGAGAGTATATTGAATTGAAGAGTGACTCTGGAGGACTTGCCCTGTTTACTGATTAAACAGCGGATGGGAAGCACCTTTTATACCTTTCATCAACCTGCCAATGCAAGTAGATAGAGCAATAGCAATCCCCATCATCCGAACATCGCCGGGCTCTCTCCGGTGTGATGATGTAGCAAAACAATAGAGACCATTTTGCAGAATGTAGAAAACAGGATTGAAGAATGATAGATTCCTAACGCTGAGAGAGGTTAAGACTTTACTAAGTAAAAAGTAATATGTTCTCTAACCAGATATCGACCTTCCAAGTGTACTTAGAGAGTAATTTTTATATCTGTTGTCTAATAATGCGCTCGTCCTTTTCACGCCACACACTTCGACCTTCCCTTGCGCCGATCCTCAACACACTCACTTTACCTTCGTGGCGCATACTCCATATAGACAGGCATCGAAACCCAGCAACTAACTACCGTGCATACAGTTGCGGTCACGGAAGCCAAGAAAACTCTTGGGGGGAGGTTAACTAACTAGTTAAATGACACGCGAGTTATGCCTTTTTAAGTATTAGTTCCGATGCCATGACAAAACTGTTTATGGAGATCCCCAAGGCTTTTTAGTAACAGCAGGTTTTTTAATAGGAGAAACCTTAGTTAACTGCTCATATAAGGTGAGGGCCTGCGGACGGAGATTGCGAGACAGTTAAGTTCATTGAAGCATGATAGATAGTATTTAGTTAATGGATTCCAGGAGATAACTAGGTACCTAGGTAACTACCTAGTTAGGCCACGCCATCAAAAGACGCGATATTTTGCCCTGTGGTCCGTATCTATTTGAAAAAAAGTTATGGATGGCTGGGTTACTCTGGGGCAAACGAGCAGCATAACTATAGCGTGCCCTTTCCGCAGTCGTTTCTCTTTCGAAAACGGGCCACCGGCATCTGAGATACCTGAAATCCTGGATGGATATATGGAAGCAGAACTAGTTGATAAGCCTCTAATGTCCTTCTTATATAGTTAACTGCCTGCCAAGCTGACTGCCACGTTCTATGTTCGCCGTTGGGCACCTAAGGGCCAAGATGAAAGAGTGCGATAGCTGCAGGATCCTGCAGCCATCAACCGGTTAACTTGACGCCGTTTCTACCTAACTGTTAGGCACGAGAGCAGCGCGAGGAGAAGCAAAGAAGCAGACGAAGAGCAGGCCGTGTATTCATGATCATGATATTTATTCCCATCGTCCGCCCCGTCAGGCGTTTTTGGGCGGTTCGACTGGGTGCCCCATCGTCACTGAGTCAGTCCCATCAAGTCCCATCTGCCCATCTCCAGCCCAGCGAAGGTTACGGTTACACTTATGGACCCACAGCGGGTAGATCCGCTGGATTCGTCATCAATATTGTCACTGCTGGAGCCGGCGTTTAAGCGTTTGGCCAGCGTCTCGGATATACGATATGCCGACACCGCGAGTGGACATCAGCCGTCGGCCGACGGATCTCAGTCCTGTATGTATAGATAGACGTATTATAGCCGCTGGTCCTTCTGGTCATCATCATCCATCCTTTTCTACGCCTATTTACCTCCCTTTTCAGTGCTCAACTGGGACGCTGAGGCATCGTTTTGCTTGTTGAAGGCTTAGTCACGTGACTTTCCTTTCGACGATGTTCCCAGACAGGCTTTTTTGTCTCATGGTCTCATGGTGCATGTTCCATCAGTATCAATGATTTTTTTTGACGTCCCTCGTTCAGGCTTTAGAAACAATAATATCATTATTAACCCTTCCAAGGCTCTTGAGTACATTAACTACAGAAGACTTGGCTGGTGGTCTTGCTGGAGGTTACTGATGTAATTAAACGAACTAGCAAGGGACCCTGGGCTGCTCTCACCCCTCGTTCAACACCAAAGGTTACGAGTCTTCACGGACAAGAGCTCGCGCTCTTGCTATCCATTTTATTCACCTATCCCTGTTACAAATTAGTTACCCAAAATGGACCCGTTATCGGCTACAGCGAGCGTTATTGGAATTATTCAACTGACTGGGGCGATTGTAAAAATATGCGGGAGTTATATCCATGAAGTGAAGAACGCAAAACAGGACATCATTTCCTTACAACAGGAAATTGTGAGTCTTGCAGGAGTTCTCGAGAAGCTTTCACAGCTTCTTCACAGTTCAGACAGCACGAGACTGGCTCCTTCTCAGACACTCGTCAGTGATATCATTCGTTGTCTTTCGACTCTCGAAGCCTTGAAAGACAGGGTTGATCCGGGGATGGGTAAGAAATTAATGGGAAGGCTGGGTGTACGAGCTCTGAAATGGCCCCTACAACGCGATGAAGTGGAAAAGACCATTAAGGACCTTGAGAGATATATATCACTGTTTACCTTAAGCTTGCAAGTTGATCAGACGTGCGTATCTAACAATACACACATATATATTTCACTTTTTCTTAGGTACACTGAACTTACACCAGGCTTAGCACACTCATGACCAGTATGCTTCAGACCACCGATCATATTGACCAAAAGATCGACCTTGAAAGGTTACCAATTGCGCATGGTGCTGAGTTTGACTCATATATGGATCAACATGAAGGTGAATGCCTTCCGAACACTAGAACTGAGTTCCGCCGCGAGATCGCGGAATGGGCCGTTTCGCCGAAAGGAAAATGTATCTTCTGGCTGAATGGTATGGCTGGGACAGGGAAATCCACAATTTCTCGAACGGTGGCAAAATCCTTTAAAGAAGAAAACCTCCTGGGAGCTAGTTTCTTCTTCAAAAGGGGTGAAGGGAGAGAGGAGTGCGATGAGGTTTTTCTCTACGATTACCAGGCATTATTGAATTGCTATTCCTCAGCTGATACCCGGTGTTAGGGAAGGTAATCGAGGATGACCCTGGTATTTCAACAAGGTCACTTAAGCAGCAATTCGATAAACTGCTTCTACAACCACTACAGGGCTTGAAATCCTCCAGCCACCAGGCACTAAATATGGTAGTAGTGGTTGATGCATTAGACGAATGTGAACGTGACGGTGACATACGGCTCATTCTACAACTATTACCACAAGTACAACAATTAGGCTCTGTGCAGCTACGGTTCTTTCTCACAAGCAGGCCTGAGCTACCTATTCGTCTTGGCTTTAGGGATATCACAGATAATCATCAGGATTTGATTCTTCATGAGATTCCCCGACCACTGATAGAGCACGATATATCCCTATTCTTGAAGCACAGACTTTCAAAAATCAGGAAGGACCAATCTTTGTCTGATGACTGGCCTGGAGACACCAATATCAAAACTCTAGCTCAGATGTCAGTTCCATTATTTATTTTCGCTGCCACTGTGTGCCGTGTATTCGAGGACCAGAATCTGGACCCTGAGAAAAGCCTTGCTGAGATCCTTCAGTATCAGAATGAAGAATCAAAGTTAAATGGCACCTATCTTCCGGTTCTAAATCGACTGGACATATATGATGGGAACAGGAGAAAGCAGCTAGTTGAAGAATTCCGGGAAGTTATTGGCGTCATTATTCTCCTTGAGAAGCCACTTTCGGTCGTTTCGCTCTCAGAGCTTATCGGCATTTCTAAGAAGTCAATTTATTTCAGACTTAGGTCCTTATACTCAGTTCTGAGTGTACCGGAGGATGATACCCAGCCAGTGAGGCTCTTTCACCTATCATTTCGAGACTTTCTTCTTGACACAGAAACCCGAAAAAAGTCCTCGTTCTGGATAGATGAGAAGGATGTACATCGGAAACTGACTATTCACTGTATTAACGTCATGCAGCGTAACCTAAAAAAGAATATCTGCAACTTGCCTAACTATGGAACACAACGCAGCGAGATCGACATGCACTCTATCGATCAGTACCTACCAGCGGAACTTCAATACTCCTGCCGGTATTGGGTACACCACCTTGCAAAAAGTGAAGATCCTGTCGCCGGAATGAACAACGCGTTCTCATTTCTTCAAAAGCACTTTCTTCACTGGCTGGAGGCAATGGGCCTTCTGGGTATTATATCTGAGGTTGTAGGGGCGATTAGTACCCTACAATCGTTGATAAGAGTAAGTCCTTATAGATAACTCTATATTAACTAATTATAATTAATAAAAAGTAATGCAGGGCGATAGGAGTTCCGAAATATCAGAATTCATACAGGACGCGAAACAGTTTACTTTAAAAAACAGACAGATGGTGGACACGGCCCCCCTTCAGCTTTATAACTCAGGACTTGTGTTCGCGCCGAGAACGGCAGTAACCAGGAAATTTTTTGAGATGGATTTCCCTAAGTGGCTGTCTAGGTTGCCAAATGTCGAGGAAACTTGGAGTGCGCATATACAGGCTCTCGAGGGTCATGGACATTGGGTTACTTCGGTGGCGTTCTCACCTAATGGCCAACTACTGGCGTCGAGCTCTCTTGACAAAACCGTCAGACTTTGGGAAACGGCTACTGGGGCTCTATACCAAACCCTCGAGGGTCATGATGATGGTGTTACATCAGTTGTATTCTCCCCAGATGGCCGGTTATTAGCATCAGCTTCTCGTGACACAGTTATCAGACTCTGGGACATGGTCACCGGGGCTCTACAGCAAACCTTTGAGGGCCATGACGAGTGGATTGAAGCAGTAGCATTTTCTATAGATGGCCAGCTACTAGCATCAAGCTGTTCTGGGTCATTTAAACTCTGGGATGTGACTACTAGAGCTTTAAAACAGACTATTAAGGCAGATTGGTACGGTTATCCAGTGTTCTCACCTGACGGCCGGCTACTGGCAGTTGCGTTTCACGATAATACTATCAGGCTCTGGGACGCAGGTACTGGAGCTCCACAGAGGATTCTTAAGGGTCACAGAGATTCAGTTAATTCCATAAAATTTTCACCAGACGGCCAGATATTGGCATCGAGTTCTGATGATGGAACCATTATACTCTGGGACGCTGCTACAGGAGCTCCAAAACGGTCCCTCAACGCGCGGCAGATTATCGAGGATGATGAAAGTTGCTTTAGTTTGGTGGCATTCTCACCGGACAGCCAGCTACTAGCATTGTGTTTTCATCGCGATACAACCATCACACTTTGGGACACAATTACTGGAGCTGTACAGCAGGTTCTCGAGGGTCATAGAGATTCAATAACGGAGGTGGCATTCTCACCAGACGGCCGGCTACTAGCATCTAGTTCTGACGATAACACTGTTAGGCTCTGGGACATGGCTACTAGAGCTCAGCAGACTCTCAAGGGTCATGAACAGGAGATTATATATAGTTCTGGCGATAAAGCCGTTGGTCTCTGGGACACGACCACTAGAGCTCAGCGGACTCTCAATGGCTACGGAAAAGAGGTTATATCAGTGACATTCTCCCCAGACGGCCAGCTGCTAGCATCAATATCACTTGATGGCAAAACGGTTGAACTCTGGAACGTGGTAACTGGAGCTCTAAAACAGACCCTCGAGGGAGAGTCGTATTCTATGGCATTCTCATCAGACGGCCGGCTACTAGCATCAGGTTCGTACAAAACTGTTAGGCTTTGGAACGTGGCTACTGGGGTTCTACAACTCGCCGTCGAGTGTCATAGTAATTTAGTTCTGTCAGTGGCAATCTCCCCGAATGGCCAGCTGCTAGCATCAAGTTCTATGTTCAGGGTTAAGCTCTGCGACGTGGCTACTGGGCTTTTACTGCAGACTATCGAGGGCCATAATCGTGACATTACGTCAATGGCATTCTCACCTGATAACCAGGTCCTAGCATCGGGTTCTAAAGACAAAACCATCAAGCTTTGGAAGGTGGCTACCGGAGTTCTACAGCAAACTCTCAGTGACCATAGACATAAGGTTACGTCAGTGGCATTCTCCCCAGACGGCCGGCTACTAGCATCAGGCTCCAGAGACAAAACCCTCAGGCTCTGGGATGCTGCCACTGGCGCATCACGACATATCTTTGATACAAAAGACACAGCTACTAGCTTGAAGTTTTCCGAAGATGGCTCGTATCTAAACACCAACCTGGGATCTCTAAGCATACGGCTATCTCAAGATCATACCTCTTTCTCGGTTGAAAGTATTATGGAAATACTCATACTAGACCAGTGGTTAACCCTTAAAGGGGAAAATGTACTATGGCTTCCCCCTGAATATCGACCAACTTGCGTTGCATTCAGGGGTCGTATAATTGCCCTTGGACATGTGACTGGACAGGTTTCTTTCCTAGAATTTTGTATGCAATAGCTAGCTATAGCCATACTATTCGATATCACTACAATTACATGAAATACTTTTTTCAGTGATACAGTGGCCGTCGATGTAAACACTGAGAGGTTAGACCCCGGAGAGGACAGTATAACCTGCCGGTGGAGGATACGGGAGAAGCGACTTGAAGTGCTGACCTCTATCGCCAACGACGGCATGGCCGTCTGTGTCTTCTTAGACGATATTGATACCAACGCCTCTCATCTTGACGACGCCGACAAATGGGGTTATGTTAGGAAAGCTGACCAGCCGCCCAAGTCCCATGCGTCGTCGGGTAGCAAGGGCTTAACCCACGCGTCACCAAACAACAATACATTCACCCTAAAAAATAAGAATATGCCGCGAGGTAAACCATTCAAAAGTCAGCTTTCCCCACGCCAGGGGTACATGGCTATAATCCCCAACAAGCACAGTATAACCAAATCTGCCCAGGAAATAAATGGGAATGGTGTTGTCAAATAGATATTTCGCTTCTTTAGATAGTCCTTCCAATATATGCTATCAAGGCATTTCACTACCCTGATATATCTCTCATCTATTACAACAAGAGTCTGGAGGTCTGCTGGGCTTAAATAGCCTAGAATCAATAAAGCCTATCTGTCGCCGACCTCGTCTTCCAGTGACGACTTGGACGTGCACAAAGGGAAGACACTTAAGCGCGCCATCCCTCCCGTCGATCCAGCCCCATTTTAGCTCGGGGACCGGAGTTTTTATCCCCTGCCTAATATCCCTGATTGTCTCTGGTAATCCCGATTGACTCCGATCAGCCCGTATCCCCAAGGTTAGAATACCCCTGTGCGATAGCAATAAGAGGGGGTATAACAGGATAGAAGTTGCTCTATCTATAATGGTTTTTACCCGCATATGTAGTCGGCAATAATACACGGGAGTTTCTACGGATATAGATCCCGCGCTATATGGATGTGAAAGAGACATGATATATACTTATATATATCGACCTCCTATGTCTAAACTATCCAATCCTGTTATAGAGTTCGGCGCCCCATATAACCAAAACCTCGGGGTGCGCTGCTAAGAGAGTTACCAGGATGGTGCCAGCCGTTGAGACGGCGGAAGCGGATGATAAACTGATGGAAGGATCATATACTATCCATTTCTTCGCACTAAGCCTGACGAAGGGAACAAATTTTTAGCAATGGCCGCCTTCTCTGTCGCCTTCTCGAATTTGTGCCCTTTTTTACCCTCTAATTTCTTCATCGTTCCTATTCCTCACAATTTTTTAGATCGGGTAGGCCTTAATACAGACGTCTTCGGCCGTCGACATGTCCTCAAGCCTAGAGACACCTGAACAGCCGCACATTCAACGTGGGCACAAAGAGCAAAACAATAGCACCAGACTTAATTCGAACCCAATCTCCAAAGCTGTGTCCGACCAACGACGTCTTCCTGATTCTGAGCAGCAAAATGAAGGAAACGTCGTAGAAAGATACCCACAAGGCATCCAATTTGCGATGATCGCCACATCTCTTTGTCTTACAGTGTTTCTAACCGGACTGGTGAGTATCAATCCGCCCATATTTAACTACTCAAGACCGGCGGTAGTTAGCTAATGAGTGCTAGGATACAACTATCATCGCTACAGCTATTCCTAAAATTACTGATGAATTCGGCTCAGTTGGTGATATTGGATGGTATGGAGCTGCGTTGTGAGTAACTAATTGCGTTTAAGTTTAATACAAATGATGCCGCTAGTCCTCATCCCCCATTCGCCTAGTGGTTATACAGCTCCCAATGCTTATAAGATGGGAAAGAGCACGAAAAAAAATGAGAGAAATTAGCTAATAATTTATAAAAAGCCGTTTGGCGTCTTGCATGTCACAACTTCTTCAGGGCCGATTCTTTGCATTTTATTCGGTCAAGTGGCTATTCTTAGGGAATTTTCTCATCTTCGAAGCTGGTGTTCTCATTTCTGGCCTCGCCCAAAGCTCCATTATTCTCATTCTCGGGCGAGCAGTTAGCGGGCTTGGACTTTCTGGGATCGCTCAAGGCTGCATGGTGTGAGTATATTGAAGAATTGAGTTGGTTTGTCTCTATAAGCTAACTAATAGTGCATTGTAGGATTGTTACTTTGACGAGACCCTTAAACAAAAGGCCAGTTTTCCTTGGAGCCATTAGTACAAGTGAGTTTACAGCTATGGCGTTGGGCCCACTTCTTGGTGGAGTTATCACTTCTCAGTTGTCCTGGAGATGGTGCTTTTTTATCAATATTCCTTTAGCAGCAATCCCCACTTTGGTTGTGGCTTTGCTACTAAAGCTACCGCCATCGCCTCCTCAAAAACGCATGACAACTAAGGATAAATTGAAGGAATTGGACTTCGTTGGAATGACCCTATTTTCAACATCTATATTCTGCCTTCTCCTGGCGCTTCAGTGGGGAGGTGCAATATATGCCTGGAGCAACAGGAGGGTAATTATCCTGTTGTCTCTATCGCCTATCCTATTTGCTGGTTTCTTTATTCTTTCGCTCTAAAAACAAGACAGTGCCATGCTTCCCCCAAGAATCTTACGGCACAAAACAATGATAACTGGGGCTGTTTGTGCCATGTGCTTAGCAGCAGCGAATGGAGTCTGCACTTACTATGTATGTTTTCTATACTCCATCTTCTGACTTGGCTAATCCTTAACCCGGTAGTTACCTGTCTGGTTTCAAGTCGTTCTAGATGCGACCCCTCTACAGTCTGGGACGATGACCTTACCCCTGGTTATAGCTCCTTATAGCAAGCTTACTCTCAGGCTTCATCATATCATATGTCGGATACTATAAATATGTCCTAATACCCGCTGCATGTGTGACAGTTACTGGTTCCGCATTGATGACAACCTTCTCTACAAAGGCTTCCAGGTTGTTCTGGATTACTGCATTGACTCTATTTGGCATTGGCGAAGGGGCAGCTATTTCATCTCCCTTTCTTGCTGCTCAGTCAGTTCTGAACGAAGCCGACATTTCAATTGGTATGGCTATAATGAGCTTTTGTCAGGATTTTGGTGAAGCTCTTTTTGTGGGCATTGCCCAGGCAACCTTTATCAGTCAGCTCCAGCAATCACTTAGACGCCAAGCTCCTCAGCTCGATAGCTCCAGGATAATCACATATGGAGCAACACAATTCAGTAAAATGGTCGATCCTCAATATCTTCCGGCTGTTCGAGAAGCATATAATGAAGCCATCCAGAAAGTATTTTATCTTTCACTTTCCGCTGCTTCCTGTGTTGTTATAGGGGCAATTTTTATGAAGAACCACTCAGTCAGGCAGCCATAGATATATTGTTATATCTTTTTTAACTCAATGCACCAATTTCCTTATACCTTAAATTTCTATGGCCTTTGAGAGATTTTTTTTTGGCAAATACCGGCGCCAATACTGTGCCTTTGCCATTCCCGGTGGGGTTTATTTCGCGAAATGATCAACGAGCTGAGATTGTGCGGGCAGATTGGAAAAATGCAGAACATGCAGGCTACACGACAAGAAATATGTGCGTGGGCCTTGATAAGCGGGGGAGTGGTAGTGCATCAGGCGGTGCAGAAGCATGAGTTAAAATCATTACTGTCGAAATAGAGATGGAGGCGAGATGTATACAGACTTCTTCTATCTTAACTGTGTCGATCGTAAGGTAGTTAAGCGTGATGGCGGAGGTTGTAGTTGTGCCTAACTTGGAGGTCGGTCGCATCATAGTACCAATTCCAGCTTTATATCCATCAACAGCGAAACATTATTGGATAATTGCCTCGTCCGGTCGGCCCCTCTTAAATATGGAGGCTTTGATATCAGTACGGACGAGGCGCAGAGGACTCCACTGTTACACTTCGGAGACAAAAAAGGCAGTCTAACTGCAGGGAAGTATACCCTGCATCAGAGCTGTGTCGCAGTTCTGAGTCTGAGAGCGAGAGACTGCTAGAGTTAGTGAGTGCTAGGACGAGTGAGTGCTTCTTTTTCTTCTTCTTCTTCTCAATTTTAAGTCCAATCCGGCTGCTGAAGCAGCTATGCAGACGGTCTAATGTAACCTATCGTACATATAGGCTTTGGTTTAGTATATATTCGGCGACTAAGGTCCTTGACAACCCTTTATTATCAAGAGCAAACAGCTATATTTGGATTTGTATGTGTCCTCGATACGATAGAGGGCTGCATATCACCCTATATATATTTTCTGGAAATCTTTTTTATTAGGAGTATATATTCATTGAAAGTTAGCAAAGGGTTGTTCGTCTTACTAGTTATTAGAGCATATATAGTAATATTTAATATTCTTCTAGTATTATTAACTTTATTTGTTTAATTAATAGTTATAAGGTAATTAAAAGTATATCTTCTCCTAAGTTCTCCTATATATACCTCTTCTAGAGGACTGCTGGCCTAGCATGTTCTGTAGGAGGTCGGGTAGGGGCAAGTTGGTTGGGTCACTACCTGGTCGACTGCTACCGTGGCCTCATCGCCAAAACCACCCGTTCCTCTCTCTCCTTCTCCTTCGTTTTTTACTTCCTCTTTTTGACCAGGATTTTGCTGTTGCTTCTAGTGTTCCCATCAGGATCTTCTTGGTATCTGTAGCAAGCAGCATCGGGCGAGGAGGGACGCAACATGGTACTGGCCACGAATTCTGCGAATAAGGTACATGCGTATAGAAGGCCACCTAAAATAGACGGTCAATCATATCCACAGTCCTCTAGAGCAGATGGCTGCTAAATGTATCACTATATTTTCACAGCCTCCAGCTATTATATAAAGCTTTGTGCCTTCCAGTAGAGTTGCCAGGTCTTTAAGGTTCGATCCTTAGTGATCACAATATCACTTTTATTTGGCCGTTTAGCCGTGTCAAAAGATAACGTTATATTGCCCACCCGCAATGTGGCTCACTCTTTTGGTTGGGTGGTATATTTGATAAGCTAGTTATTAGGAGATCTTCCATCCATTTCGGAGTCTCATCGAAATCTGTAGCTGCCATGTTGTGGTATCTATAACGTTGCTCATCGTGCTGACGGCATAAGACAACGTCAGACAGGAGATGAAGTTGAAGACGAGCTAAGTCCAAGCCCACCAGAAAGAGAGTATTTAGTAGAGAGGAGTGCTTTTCAGAAAGCGAGATTCTTTCAACATAGTATTATCGCGCTGGTTTGGTTGCGCGGTTAACCGCCCCCAGCCAGTAGAAGAGGGGAGTCGAAGACCGCTGACAGACTATAATTTGGTTAGCAAGTAATTCTATTGCCGGCTGATATATATTCACTTACAGGGAGCTCGTCGTAGTTATACTGGCTGAGCAGCTGATCAAAGCATGGTCTAGCACATTTCAGAACGATCTCCAGCATATTTATCCAATGCGAATGCTTTTTGAACCACGAGAAATATTCCTTAGCAGGAGAGTCGGTAATGGTAGTTGTCAAAACGACTGAGCCAAAACAATGAGCCCTCACTAGTTATCAGTCAGTATGAAGTTATATCCTATATCCTTGACAAGTCCTTTGGAGCTTGCGGGGAAAATGACGGCAACGCTATTTCCAGGTCGGAAATTGCGAGAAATAACGTACTAGATATACTATATATTAGCATATCATATAGATAAAGACATAGTATCTGTTGCTGGGGGAGGCCACCCTCGCGACAGGTAGGTTTTCCAAACAGGGACTGAAGTAGTTCCAGGGGCAGGAAGCAGATGGCCTCCCACATTCTTAAGAACACCGTCCTTGTTAAAATTGTGTGCCCAATAGAACCTCAGTTCCCTCTTCGTGATTTTCGCGTTTAAAGCTAAAGTTGCCAATTGCAGTACGTGGCCCTCCTTTAGTTTCCTGAAGAAGGGAGGCAAGTTTGAGGCTGAGAGGGGCCCTATATCTTCTCTAAATGGAGCCCAGCCGCCTATCTATTGAACACATAGTTCGTCATCGGAATAAGCAAGTAACCTGAGTTGCAGTTACATTGTCATGATGGTACTGAACCTGTAGTCCAATGCAGACGGAATGCATCAAAAGATGCGACGTTCTCCACGCACAATTGCTTTAGATATTTAACTGCAGCCCAGTTCTCATAGTAACGATCGAATGAACTGCAGTCGCTCAGGATATAAATTTCTTGTTCGCACTCTTGCCCTAGCCGCTGTCCCCAGCCTATGCCAATCATAGCCATCAAACGCGGCAGGACAAGATGCGAGTCTACCTCATCTGCGTCCTGGCCGGCGTGGATGGTCAATGCCTTGAATTCGAGGAGATCCATCAACGCTATGGTCAGCCACAGTGTCATAGGATTTTGAAGAACAACTAGGGCTTTCTTTATCTTTGCTCTCTTTTGGGTGAACAATTTCCCCAGGCAACATAGCTTTGGGAATGATTTGGCAATAAATAAAGGGCCAACTCAGCCCGTGACGCAGGAGGGGCTGCACCCCATCTTTGCCACGGCTTTTTGTATCCTCAATCAGATCCGCAAGTCTGACATGCACCCTCTTCGTACTACTATCATCGTCTGTACTGGGAAAGACGCCTGTCGCGGTTCTTGAGCACACCCAATGTCGTCAGTCGTTGTAGTTTCCACTGTAGTTCGAGGAGATCTCAGCTCTTGCACGCTTGCAGGGCCCTTAGAATGCCATATTGAGGTCACCGGTGACTTTGGTGACACCATTTTCGTCAAAGGGCAGTCAGCTAACTTGAAGCCTCATTGTCTGATTCTACGCAGTCCGAGAATTTGGTATTGAGGCGGGGATACGCGTCGTATCTTTAATCACCATTCCATAGCATTTCCCAGACTTGACCTTACTGGGGAATTGTGCTCCCATAGAGTCAAAGTAATATTGGGGGGCCCGTGATCGATCTTTATTGTTATAGCAACTTCTGTTTTTGGGCCCGCTGATTCGAGCCATCCTCTTGCATCGGTACTGGCCTATACGATGGGAACTAGGCTGATGGAAAAAGGGTCACCTGGCCGTTTGATGAATTCCAGGGGGCTATATTGAGTAGTCCTCGAATCTGTTTGGTCCCCTGTCAAAACGGCTGAGCCAGAATAGTGAGCCTAGATTAACTAGGTAACTGCCTGGTGGCCCAGCAGGTTGAAATTATCCGTTTGCAGCTCTCCGGCCTGTGCATGTTGGTATATTTGATCTGGGGTGTTCCCTCGGGAAGCCCGATCAGTAGCTTTAAAGAAAAACTAGCGGCCGTAGGGTATTATCCATCGTGGAAGAAACCGTGCTGCGAAGAGTCCTTGGAAATGCGTTCAGTCCTAAGAACGGTGCTTAATGGTCTCAGCGACAGAAGATGTTGGGATATTCCACTTTAGTTACGACTCGCACACATTACCCAGGGTATCCTTGGGGCATTAGGCCTTTTTGTCCCTCGCGATCCAACAGGAGATAGCCCATCCATAAAACTGACAGTTAGGATGGCTCTCTTAGCCGATAAAATGGTTAGACCACCCTTAGGATGTTGAGCTTGTCGCACGGGTTCAGGACAGCGATCCAAGTCATGGAAGATACCCAGGCAAAATGTCTAAGATAACTTCGTTTTGGCTGACCACCGGTGCAGGCTCGCTCCTTTGGCTCGGTGGTATTCGATTAGTTACAGGTCATGTAGTTGGTAGAGAGGAAAATTAAACGAATTTATAGCTGGCGCACGCATCCACCCCTGACCCTGAGCGTCACTAGGATCCATTCACTAGTCAGCTATTGAAGCCCCCTATTTTCTTCACCTAGCCGGGGTGAACCCCCCAATTAACTGCCCGGGAAGTCACTGAAGAAACTTCGAGTTTCCTGAGCTTAGGGGTGAAGTAATTATGCTTAATGGTAATTCACCTCTTTGCTTCTGGGATTAACTACGCGCAAATGGTGAAGTCACCCCTTAATTCGATGCTACGGGATCCCTACGCCTTATCCGCAACAAACGACACCGAGTATAAGCATCCAAACATTTATCTCATTTTCATTATTTGCTTTCTCCATTATCAGCTAACGAGTAAAAACATAACCCCATCTCAACATTTCAAGCATAGTAAGCCCAAACTCCCATGTATGCCACCTATGTGTACAAGACAACAGTCCAGGCTCCGGCTCCATGATATTCATGCCCATTAATTGTGCAATGTCCAAAATGCCAATGCAATAGGGGAGGAAAAGGAAAGGACAAATGAAAGGGAGGGACAAGCGTCAGGTCTGCGTATTTACAACCAGTGTAAAAGGGATATGATAAAGAAGTTACAGAACGCGATTGAGTAGAATATAATGGAAATGGAATCATGGGGTATAATCGAACAAACGACGTTAAAAAAATCAAATAAAGTCATTCAAAATCTAGGCTTTCAGCCAGTTTCTCCATTCACAGCGACACCCACCCGAGCCACCGTCTATTCCAGGTAAGTCCGCTCGTTTTTCGGTCTGCGGTGTAGATGAGATGTTGAATATTCCCGGTGCAGGGTTAACAAGCACACCGCCAACATCACGGTGTTCAAGCTGGAGTTTCTTCTTCGTAGGGATTGGCTTCCCAGCCACATCTAGACCATAGCAGTACACAAGTTTCTTCTTCGGGTCGCCGCCATGTCTGTCCACAGTAATTGTGATCGGGTATGGTAAGGAACCTGGTCGTCTGAAATCCTCTGCGTACGACGGTGGTTCCGGGCCTGGATTAGCGGATTGTGAAAAGAGTTCCAGACCCGCTTTGGATGGCTGAGTCCATATCTGGATGAGGAATCTTGTTTGTGACCACGTGCAGCGTACTTTTGCAGCGGATTTGGTTGAGCCGCCGTTAAGGTCGCTGGGGATGTTCCCTGTTTCCTTGCCATCACCTATGGGGCGTGATGATTCGAGGAAAATGGACCGGTCGTAGTATGTGTAGAATCCGTAGTGTTCGGTTGGTAGGCCTCGATCGTATAGACGGAGTGGCTGGGAAGTGGAGAACGGGTACAGGGAGGCCGGTGCAGCTGTGCCATCTGTATCCAGAGCAGGTGGAGGGATGATTTTGGACAGGTCAGGAAAACCCTCTGGCCCGCGACGGCGGAAGCGAGCACTGTTTCCTGCGCCGGGGACACCCTTTGGTGGAGCAGTGTCCAAAAGCATTACAAAGAAAGGAGTTTCCTCTCCCTCGAAGGGGGCGGCGGTTTTGTCGGTGGTATTTCCAAGGAATGATTGCTCTTCAAGGCTAGGTGGTGCTGGAGACGGAGTGAATTCATCTCTGCGTTCAAGGGGGTATTGCCTTCTTGCCCAGTTTCCAAGCGCAAACAGGCCGGAAAACGCAGATACGTCTCTCTTCCCCTTATCTGCAACGGTGGTACTATGCCCATACGTCCCGTTCTTGAACTTGATGTCAATCTTGAACCGAGGCTGATCTGCCTCAAATGGACTGTTTGCATCCTGCATCTCCTTTGGCAAGGCGCAACTCCACATACTGGTCGGTGCAATACAGCCTGAATTGACGTTGGCAGAATTCGGCCCTGCAACGGTAGACACGCCGGTTGGAATAGGAGGGTAGCCGGTAAGATTCAACCACCGATTATCTTCCATTGGTTGCCCTGGTTCTTGTCCAGGTGTTGGTTGTGGTGCTGAGCCAGGTGGAGGCTGGCTCTGGCCCGGAGGTTTCCTCGTCAGCAATACACCCAACAAAACGCCCAACCCGATGAGAAACAGCAATATCAGAATGATAATGATGCACCACCGTTTCCGTCTTTTCTTCCTACCCTCACAGTCTTTATTTCCCGAACATCCCTTCCTGCATCGACACTTTTGGCCACGCCAGAAACTTCCATCCTCACCAACTACTTCCTTACGAGATACGTTCTTCTGTCGTATCTCTGTCTTGGACTTGATATTCTTGGTGATACCAATTTTGGGTGTTTGCCGGATGATTGGCGTTTGCATTATGACTGGGGATACCTTGGGATGGCGAGGAAAATCGTTGATTGCAGGTAAGAGGTATGTCCTGTCTGGTCGACGGGGCAGGGGAACATCGCTCATTTGGATACCGCCGGAGTTCAGCGTTGCTTGAGCCTCTGGTGAGAGAGGGCCTGGTGATTCTAGTGGCGATTGCCTGTCCGGTGGTAGAATGGCATGGTATTTTGGAACAGTCTTACGTTTGATAGTTCCAAGGCCCACAAGTTTGTTCTTTGGCCTTTCAGGTGTTTCTTCAGGGGAGTCTGAAGAACCGGATACAGAGCTTGACACACTAGTTCGTGCCGTTGCTGGAGGTCCTGTTGAAGTGGGTGGACGACGAGTTCCAACCATGGTAGGCATTATGTGGTGAAAGATCGGGGTTGCGGTTGCATGGCGGACATTCGGGGAAATATCAGGTTCATCTTCTTCGATCATGGTAGACGCAGAGTCAGAGCGTCTTCTGCTGTCTTCGCCTCGAATACTGTCCACAAATTGTTGGAAAAATGGGTTACTTGTGTTTTGGTCCTTGCGGGAATCCGTTCTACAAATATTTGCATTGGAGTCTGTATTTGTAAACCCCTGGACGTAGCTGGCAAAGGACTGGTTGTTCGAGACATTCCGTGATGTATAGTTAGCGCCCGTGCTGACGCTTGCATGGTGACTGGAAGGATCCGACATCATGAATGGAATTGACTGCGACGTGACGGCGGAGCAAAGCGAAGTCCTATGTTGTTCATTATCGTGGGGTTTGGGTGAAGTACTGGTATTCCCCATGTTTTTCGTGTTGGTGTTGATGGTAAGATTGCCAGTATCGGCCTTCATCTGCGCTTTCTCCTGCTGGAAGTACCAGTGGTCCATACCGGGCCATTCAGTAACGTTGCTTAATATACGTTTCTCCTTCGAAGTACCTGCACTGTCGGGGGAGATTGGTGAAAAGACAGAGACCAGTCGTTCACGCCAGCCTGAGGCAGGGGACTTGACGGAGGGAGACCCCTTTTCGATGGCTGTGTCTGGAGTGATAGGTGAAAAGACAGAGACTTGTTTTTCTCGCCATTCCTTGTTCACGAGAGTTGGCTCATCATGCCTCTTTGGTATAGCAAGTTGTAAGCGTGCGTTACGTGGTAGTTCTGGAAGGGGAGGAGGTGATTCATCCTCGCCATGGGATCCGTTACGGTGAAGAGTGTTGATTGTAGTCATGGTGCTGGATCGAGACAGGAGTGGAGAGAGAAGATAGTTCCACCAGCCCTCGGATCTTCGACGGGGAGAAATAGTCTCCAGGCTGAACCGACTGGAAGATGCAACAAGCCCACCTTCTTTCTGGCTAGTTTCTTTATTGGAAAATGACCGTGGTCGAGATATTTGTCTTGACGGGGAGTCTTCCTCCTCGAACAAAGTCCCAGATGAAAGTACGCGTCTTCGTCGTTCTGAAATCGCTTCCATTGTTCCAAAGGGATCCTCTATTCCATGTCCAGCATAGGCCCCTGGTGGTGGAAGGGCAGGAACAGGAGGGATATCTTCGATCTTGGGGGCACCCCTTACCAGGGGAGTGACCGTTGAGTAGATACTGGATGCAGGCCGGGGTCTTGGTCGCACAGCTTCCTCTATCCTGCGTGATGCCCACCCTCGTTCGTCACAGGCAGGTGTAACAACTATAGTTGGAGTAACTGGTGTGTTTCCGTGGCTGCGTAGACTATGTATGCTAGTTGTTCTGCCTGGTGTAGACCTTGCATCTGAGCTAAAGGCCAAAGCAGCGGGTGATCCCAATGGTACGGATACGCCTATAACAATAGGTCGATCTGAGGGCGAGACCGCTATTTCCGGCGAGGGAGGTTTTTGGAATAATCGTGTGGGGCCCTTTCGAGCAGATTGACGCTTTTCCACACGTACTGGTCTTGATCTTGGCCTGAGCTGTGAAGTGTCTATCCGTAGATTCTTCGAATCTGTCTTAGCCAGAGACCTAGGCATCGATATAGACTGGCCATCCGTCTCGGCAACCTCACTAAGATGTTCTAAGCCATCCTCATCCCCCTGCTGTTGCTGCTGTTGTTGTGTTGCCCATTGATACGTTCTGTTCTGCGCACCAGGCGAAGAAAAGTTCGTCACCAAGTTCAAGCCAGGTTTGGTGGCCTTATTTGTCACGTTAACGCGGGTTGGCTGCTTGACTGATCCCCAACGGCCCTTGAGCTTCGATATACCGCCCAGTCCCCCTTTTGGGTTCAGAAACGGGTTATTAGAGCTGAATGTTTCTGTCTTCACGTCCTCTGGCGACGTGAAGGGGTTTGACGGATCCGGAGACGAGTCGAGGTCGTCGAACGGGGTGAGCAACTCCTCATGTATCGGGGATGAAAGCGGGAAGGTCGGTATCTGGGGGAGTTGTAGCTCTGCTGGCTTGGGGCCTTCTCGCCTTTGGCCGTAGGAGGGTGTAAAAGGGTTGTTGGACATGGTAGCGAGTGTCCTGGTTGGTCTTGGGGGAGGTTCGAGAAGTGTATCTTATTATTGAATGTTGATGATGTTGTTTGCAGAGACAATCTCATTGTTATCACGCAGCAACAGAATGAATGTGTATGTTTATTCAAACAATCGCCATGGCGACAATAGCGAGCAGAAACAACAAACCTGAATAGTGATTAATAGATAAATAGAACAATAATAATAGTAAAGCTCAATAAACTTGAAGCTCAGTGAATGAGAATGTATGTCTAGACTGAAGATCAACGCACAGCGCTGCAGCCTGAGTGTCTAGAAGTGAGTGAACAGAATAGAATGGAGTATAGGAAAATGTACAAGAGAGAAAAGAACAAGAGGGAGAAAGAAACAAGTACCCATCGCTCTCTGTAGAAGGAGATCGTCTCCCTTCTGCAGAACCTGGACCTGTACCTATGTATATCATCCCACTACTTCCCGGGGGTATCATCCACCGCCAATCAAGCCCCGGCCCTGGACTTCTGCAGAAACGCAGTGGAGAGCCCAGGAGGGCCTGCCGTCGAGCCAAGAACCTGTCAAATAGCAGAAGAGCTCTCTCTAACCGCCCGTGCAGGGCCAGGGGCCGCGGCTTTTCCTTCATGCAGCTGACCAGTTGGAAGGTTGAGCAGGTGAAGAGCATCGCTGCCCCTGGACGTTGGGCGACCCGAGTTGGGCAGGGCGCGGTGTGATTGGCTGCAGCTTGTTTCTCTTAGCGCCGGGTAAAAGCTAGCTCAAAAGTCTACTATTTATAGTTAATTTGGGATATTTGCTCGATATCAATTATGAAAGTGTTAGCTAAATATTTGCTCTGAACTTAGCAAGTGTTAAGAGTATGGTACGCCTTCTTTCTAAGATTATGTATATGGCCTTAAAGCTAATTAGATATATTGGCGTTGTACTCGCTGAGCCATCAAGCCACCAACTCCTTACATATATGACTCAAGCTGCAAATTGAACAGAAGGATGCCGCCCAAGACGATTCGCTTTTTGACCATGGCGCAAGTCCAGCGCCTCCATGCAACTATCATCGCTCCCAACACCGTTCCAACCCAACCAGGCCTGCTCGAGTCCGCAGTCCACTCGCCCATTAACCTGAAGCACTACACTAACGAGGAAGACATCTTCCAACTCGCAGCCAACCTCTCTGGGAAAATCATGAAAAACCACGCCTATCAGGACGGTAATAAACGCACTGCTCTTGTGGCCGCTGACATGTTCCTGAAAATCAACGGGCATCATCTCCGAGGCGGTTTGTGTACCAAGAACGGTACTCTCGCTGACGCTCAGGTTGCTCTTGTTACTAAGCAGATAAGCACGGAAGAGCTAGGCAGGTACTACAAGTCTGTGGCCAGATCATGCTGATCAACTCACCTGCAGCCTCAGCATAAACGCATCACTATGCTTCGGTATCTTCCTCGGGCGTTACGGCCAGGCGTTGCGTTTTGTCCAGCGAGACGTCGCTTCCACCAAGCCACTGGGGACTTTATCAATTATGACGCAAAGCGTGTTCCGACCTCCAACAAAGTATCCATTATCGCTGGCGAGCCAGGAGAAAGCTATGTCTTGGTTAGCACGGATGTTGGAAGGGCCTTCCATGCTGCGTCCCTTGCCCAGTCCGAATCGACATCTGCCGGCATCTCTAGCGAAGGCATGGGTGAGACGTGCAAGATCATTTTTTTCCACGACTCGCAGCACTTTGGAGTTGGTATGTTGTATATCTCTAGGGGTCTTTGGAGGTAATGAGGTCTGACGATACTACCAGGGGTATCTTCAAGTTATCCCCAACTTCACATTCCCACGAGTCTCCCTCGCCAGAATGATTCAAACACAAGTCCAGCAACCATATACCTGTCTGGAAAGATGCATCATATGGTCTTAGACGGAACTCCTGATGGTAAGTAATATGCTCACCTTCGAAACTCGTTGATTACTTAAAGCTACTTTCTAACAGTGAATTAACATGTGTACTTCAGCGGGATTTGCTCAGATGGCCGCTGCTAGCGCGCGGACTTTACACGATGAACTTGAGAAGCTCAAGGATATGTAATGTAGTCTACTACGGAGTACTATGTGCTGTAACAACAAGTCATGGTATACATTGTTCTATATCATAGATATTCTCGTGCAAGTGAAGTAAAAGTGGCGGGAAGTGCAGCCTTGAAGTCCTGGTAGTTGGCCAAAGCCCGACATAATAACAATTTCAATATGCACTCAATCACAGTGAGTCACAACGTTTAATTGAAATATCTGCATGCATATTACCAACCAGGCTGTCTCTACGCATGTATAATAATATATCTACTATAATAACGCCCCTCACTATAAACATGGGGAAGCCATAACCATGCACCCTTCTATCTATTCATAGCCTTGCTCTACTGAAAGTAATAATAATCAACTCAAACTCAGCCAGGTATTGTTCTCTTCTCTCATTCTTATTCTCTCTCTCTTTCTGACTATTTATCTAATATAGAGAAGACCGAAGAAACCAACATGTCAAGCATGTTTCCCATTCCCATTGAAGATAAGATGAAAAGGAAGAAAAAAGCGGAAACGGAACGGAAACGGGAAAAGACAAGCATATGAATGAAATCCAAACCAAATGATCCGGTAGATAGATAGAGAGGTAGGTAGGAAAGCGAGATAGATTGGGGTAAGGAAAGAGGCGCAAGGAGCCAAGAAATCAAGCGAGAACGAAAAGGAAAAGAGACGAATAATCATGGCAAGTTCAAGTCAAATAGACCACTCCAAGCACGCCGTTTTGGTCACTGGCAGGGTAAAGCATACACACGAACGGATATCGAGATTGGGGTTGGTAGAGACGGACCGGTTGAGGGGTCCGAGGGTATGGTGTGGTGTGATGGGATGGGAGCAGTAAAAGAGTAAGTTTTAGAAAGGACAATCACGAAGCGAAGTGAAGTTGAAGTGGTGCGGTGGTTGGTATAAGTAAGTAAAGAAAAAAAAAAGAGACAAACGTAAGACCAGATTTCTAGGCCCAGAAAGAGGAAATGTAGGCGGTAGATAGATGGTAGATGGTAGATGGATATCTTTGCGCGAAACATTGAACAAATGAGATGTCTGACGCGGACGTCGACGAGTCAAGGCGGGAAGGAAAACCCGAGGCCGAGAAATGTATAGCGTAGGTAGGTAGGTAGGTAGGTAGGTATAGTTGGGTACGGAAAAGGAAAAAGAAATAGTCATCCTGAGACGTCGTGAAGACCAGACCGGTATGTCGATAGTTGGAAAGCAAGCAGAAAGGGAAAAAAAAGCAGCAGTAAAAGAAAATTCGAGAATGAAGGAATCAATGCGTTGGTGGCATCGTATAGGTTGTTTTGTTGGAGGGGGAGACTATCTCCGCTCGTCTGTATATTGGACACCCTGCATGGGGGCCAGGGATCCGTTCATTAGCGGCGGTAGCGTCCGCGATGGGTCCGGCGAGGCATGTGTTGTCGTAGGCACGCTGGCCGTGGGGGAGTAGTGGCTATGTGTTGGTGGTGGTGCGGCCGGCAGCTGCGGGTGATGTGCATGGTGGCTATGGTGAGGCTGAACATGTCCATGGGTCTGGAACAACGTGCCTGGGTTCGGAGGCGGAGTTAGGCCTCCGTTACCGTTGACTTGCATTGCCTGAGGCTGTTGCTGCTGTTGCTGTCCTAATGACGATGGTTCAAAGCTGGCTCGTCGAGTAAGAGGTGGCTGTTGCTGTGGCTGCCCTGGTTGCTGTTGTGGGTGGGACTGGACCTGACTCAGCTGCGCGCGCATCTCCTCTAGCTCCATGCGTAGCTGGTTCGATTCGGCACGGGACTGAGAAGCAGTTTTCTCGAGCTGGTTGATGTAGTCGATTGCTCGGGTGAGGGTTTCCCATTTACTTGATTTGTTGTTTTGGGAAGACGGGAGACGGGCGCGGAGTACTTCGAAGCAGTCCTTCATTTCACTGCGTCGTTTGCGTTCGGCGAGTTTGTGCGTCACGCGGAGTTCGGGTGTGCGGCTGTAGGGCGTAGCACCGTTGGGGTCGCCTTCCCCTATTATATTACGGACCTGTCGGTGTTGAAGAGAGTGGTGATGGACACTTTGGGGCAGTTCTACATACAGATGTTAGTCAAGGAGTTAACTTGGGGAAGAAGACGATAAAAAAGGATAAGATAGGTTTAACGTGCCCTGCTGCCCGGCTGGGAGTCTCGACTCAGTGGTATAGATGCTGCTGTTCATCGATTCGGCAGTGGAATGTCTCCTCGTGAACTGGTTGGACGGTCTGTCCGTCTGCGCGGAAATGGTGGACGCTCGACTGAAGCTTGGATCCGGGAATGCATAGGCCTGCCCAGGCACCGGATTCTCAGCATGGAAGGTCTCTGGTCGTGGATTGCTTGAAATCGGCGGCGCAGGACCTTGCGCGTTGAGTGAAGGAGGGTGGTGGTGTGATATGCTGGGGTCTGGGAAGGCATATGCCTGGCCAGGCACGGGAGAATCAGCGTGGAACTCTTCCGGACGAGGATTGGAGGAGATGGGCGGTGCAGTGCGGCCGGCGGGGAATTGGCTGCGGTGATCCTGTGAGCGAGGGCCTAAGGGTGAGAGAGGTTGCTGATGGTTAGCCGATTGGCCTGGGGGGAAGCGAGACGAGGTTGTTGAGTGGTGTGAGTAGCTCATGCGGTCTCGTGGCATGCCGGAGACGACTGAGGTCTGAGACGCATTGGTGCTATGGTATGGCGAAGTAGGGTTGATCTGGAGGGCGGAGATACCCTGATTCATGCGGCTGTCGATACTGCTGCGTCGTGACTCTGTGTAGTCCTGTCGCTGGCCTTGCTGCTGCTGTTGCTGCTGGTGGGAGTCCATGGTATGGTTAATGGATGGCAGGACCGGGTTCTGGCCTGGCGAGGCATGGCTGGAGACCGGCGAGGAGACCGCAGTGGTAGCAGTAGGAGGCTCAGAGACACCTGAAAGCCGATTGGGCGACTGTTGCGAGGACATGAGAAAGGAGTGCTGGTGGTAGCCATTGGTGTTGTTTGTGGTGCTAGAATACGTCGACGAGCCTGTGCCATTGTTAGCTACATCGACTTTGCCATTGTCTAGGCGAGGCTGCCGTCCCAACATGGGGAATACGGAGAGATAGATGGACAGATGAATGGATGAGAGAGATGGGAGAAAGACGTACGGGTACTCTGAGGCATTGACCAGGTGCCCGAGTCTCGTTCGAGGGTGTTCATGGAGGCCTGGGCAGGTGATTTCTCACCAGAAGCGACGGGGATAGGCGCCTTGTCGACCTGCATGGCTGCCGTCAAGGTCGAGATGGACGGGAGGGTGGTGATGGTGGTCTGGCTGCCGTTGTGGCCGTTGGTGGTATTGGGCGCAGACCGGCTGTCTTCCCATGGCCGGTGGGCTACTGAAGCCTCCATCGTGTCTTCTCTGTAGTGGTCTCAGGGCAGGGCGGTCTATGGGCTCGTCGGCGGAGGATGAGCAGGAGGAGAGACGAGGAGGAGGAGGAGGAGGAGGTGTGACTGTTATCTATCTGAAGCAGGGCTGGAGCTGGAGCAGGGCTGGCGGCGTAGCTGGCGTCTGTTTGCTGGGGGGATTGATGGGATGGGATGGTGCGTTCAAGGCTGGCGAGGGAGCAGCATGAGCATCAGCGGGCTGGGTGGAAGCGACATGCGACGGGGAGGCCACCGCGGTCAACGTCGACGTCCGTTTGATGTCTCTTCTTTTTCTGTCGACGCCCAGCTGTCTTCTACCGAGGAGCAAACGAGAGGCTGCGGTGCATCTGGCGGCGGCGAGTCTGCAGGAAGTCGAAAGTCGAAAGTCGAGCAAGTCGAGAACCGTCGGAGGTTGAAGGTCGAAAGTTGAAAGTTGAAGATGTCGAAAAAGACGAAAAAGACGAAAAAAAGAGAAAAAGCGACGGGAAAAGGCTGGAAACTTTCGTTTTTCTCGTAATTTCGGTAACCCAAAAACACCCCAAAAGCTCTATTGAAAGCTGTATTACCGTATCTGTATTACGTTACAACATTCACTTTCACCATTTACCATTTAACTGCTTCTTCTTTCTATATACTATTTATTATTCTATCTTCTTCTTCTTCTTCTCTTCTCTTCTATTATTATGGTCGATATTCATAGATAAGACATGACACTGGCTCAGCCTCGACAGGCCAACGCAGGGACAGACCGGGCTCTCTGCTTCCTCTTCCTCTCTGCGTCCCAACCCGAGTATCTCTCCGTCTGCACCCCCCATGGCCCATCATCCCATCCATGGCCCATCCATGCATATAACCATCGGCTGGACTCCCTGCTTAGGGCTGACCAGGGCCTCCCATGTCCATCCAGCCTGGGTCGGGTTTAGCCTTCGACTAGACCCAACCAGTGCAAAAAAGCAAGGGCAGGCATGGTCCCAGGGAGTCTCCAGTTTTTGTTCCCACCGCCAGGCTACGGCATGGGACATGCTTGCTTCTTTCCATGCGTCCTTCCCTCCCCTCCCCCCGGGTGTCCACCTCAATCACACTGCCTGGGTAATCGACGAGCGCCACGTTCCTCAAATACACTAAACCCACGCCCATGCACTGTCTCTCGCTGTATCCTTTTTATTCTTTTTTGTATCTTTATTTATTCTTTTTTCTTCTTCTTGAGATTGGCATTTCGACTGGCACTGGCGAGGAAAAAGCAAGGTCAGCGAGAGTCAAGAAGAGGAAGAACAAGAGCAACCAGCAACCAGCAAAAGAGAAGAAGAGAGAAAAGCCTCCATGGCCGCGTGTCTACCGAGCCTACTTCTTACTTAGGTACCGGGACAGCGACTAGTAGTCGTCTGTACGGAGTCATCTTCCACCTGGAGTCTTCCACGTCGAGACCAAGAGACCCAGAGAGACTATAGAGCGAGAGTGCTGATGCCACGAGTCGTGCTGGTTTGTGTCACAGTGGTGAGAGGCCAGAGCTGGTGCCAGTTGCACTGAGTGTCATCCTCCATCCATCCATCCCTCCTCATGCTCATCATGTCCATGCTCAACTGTCGAGAAGCTACCCTCGCATCAGCGTCTCGTCTCGTCACTTTCTCACCTCACCTTCGCTTCTTGTTCTTGTCTTGTGTTTATCCTCGTCGTCTTTCGCTTCTTCTTCTTCTTCTTCTCTTACAGTAACAAAACATGACTAAGCAGACGCCACGAGTTTTCTTGGCAAGGGAAGAAGATGGATGGAGGATCCCGCGTTCACGTGGCCGAGCCTTAAAGTAGACGAGAAGAAGTTGAAGAAGCGAGTAAGATAGTAAGAGAAAGACACTAAGAGAGAGTAAGAGAGGAGAAGAGTAGAAGAGGAAGATAGTAAGTGGTAGAAGACGGTAGAAGAAGATAGTACTAGGTAGGTAAGTCACTCTTCTTACTACCATCTTCTTACTGTCTCTCTACTGTCTTCTTCTTCTCTTCTGGTTCTTCCCCTTCTTGGCTTCGGGAAGAAAAAGGCCACGCTTTACCGGCCATGCTGATGACTAAGCAGATCTTACCATACATGACAAGAAAAAGAAGAAGACGATACATCAAGAAGATACATATGTAAGAAGATGCAAACGATATATCAAGATGAACAGACGAGATAGTTTGGAGTCTCTCAAGATGAACAGGATCAAGATCGGATGGATGTGCCACTGTCAGACAGAAGAAGAGACAGACTCCCCAGGCCGCGAGGTGATTCGACGCAGACCAAGGGCTCGACTCTCACTCTTTGTTCCATCGCTCGTCCGTACAACCTGACAGGTCGCATTTCTCTCTTCTCCTTCTTCTCCTGCTTCTTCTCTCTCCTTCTGTTTCTTCTGTTTCTTCTTCTTCTGTTTCTTCTTCTGCTTCTGCCTCACCAGCCTCAGTATTCAATATTAATAGCGTATGTAGTTGACTCCCGTGATAGCAGCCACGCCTTGCGCATTGCTTCTTCCTCTTTATCCTCTCCCGTCAGCCACTCACTTTATTATCCTCTTTCGTCCTGTCTCCAGTCACCCGATGCGTCTCTCTCTGTCTGTGCCTCTTGTCTGTTTGTCTTCTTCTCCCTTGAAACAGTTGAAGCTGTAAGGTCGTTATGTAATGTCCCTTTGCCGCTGGGGCGACATCCTCCCAGACGAACCCTAGAGAAAGCAAAGTCAAGTCGAGTCTCTAGACAGGCCTCCCTCGTGTTGGACCCTTTGCGTTTGCGTTTGCCTTTACTTTCTTCAGCAAAGTAAAGTCAACAGCATAAGATAAACCCACTCTTCGACAAACAGACAACAGCCAAACCTGCCACGCATCCATGGCCATTCGTCTCCAGCCACTTGCTGAGTTACTCACTAAACGAACGGCTTAAAAGGTTAAGCCAAGGCATGTGTTGCTTTCTCTTCCCATGGCCGAGCAGGGATTCCATGCTCCACACGCCCTTCCCTTCCCCATCGCACGTTTGTCCCTTCGGTGATCCTTAGTCAGTTACATAACCTCGTTCTTCCTTCTGGCCGTGTATTGACTTACTTCTCCCCAAGTATGTAATGTGTATGTGCATCGTTGGAGCTTGTTCGCTGGCTCAACTCTTGGCGGGTTGATGGGCTATGGGGCGCATCCGATGGCGTATACGATGTAGCTATCTGATGTAGCACCCGTCCTAGACTTGATAGAGGCATCTGCTCCGGCCTGTCGTCAGGTACCCGTCAGCACCCATACTCCAGCTTACTTAAGGGGGTACCCCCTACTTACTGCGCCTAAGTTCAGGAGTGAGTATGAGTATAATTCGGATATCACATCTGTAGCCGCCTTCCATGTGTATCGTGATCGTGCGTGTGACTGTGACTGTGATCGCCCATCGCATGACGGCCATTCTTCGGCTTCAGCATACCATTACCGTAGTATATCCATAGCATAGCACAACCATGGCATACCATGGCCATGATCAAGCAATTGTCATCGACCTCATCTTAGAAGACTTCCCCAGCCGCAACCCTCCAATTTGCCATCTCACCTGCCTGCCGCTTCGAGAAGCTCTGCGCCGCCCAGCCGACCCATCTGCCTGGCATTCGGTAGGGTAATTTCACCACCCGCCCTCGTTCGGTCTATCTTCCGAATGGGGTGTTGTCGTAGCGATAGCCCGCGAAGCTAAGCAGCTACGGGCTCTTGCTGCTCTCTGTTTGTTCGCCTCGCTCGTTCGTTTGATCCAACGCCCGGCCTGGGTAATGAATGTAATTTACCTCTGCGGGAGCTAGTCAGTTACACAACCAGTAACATACATACAGACATACATACAGACATACATACAGACATACATACACTGTAACAGGCCCTGGTACTGAATATGATGCAGAATACCTCCGTCCAAACGCCACGGCCCCAGGCAAACGGAGGGAAAAAGCTGATGTATTCGATTCGGCTCGGGCTGCGTTTGTGCTTTTTGCCTGTGCCTGCCTGTGGGTACCCCATGTGCTCGACGCCGCTGGGGATGGGGACTTTGCTTTGCTGGAGATGTATGTACGCTCGCTGCTTTTTTCTTTTCGTTTGCTGGTGACGTCCCGGCGCAGAGGGATGGGTTCGCCGTGGACATACGGAGTACCGATGTGCTGGTTTCAGGGCACGCATCAGACAGCGTAGTAAGCGTGCTTACTTACAATACTCTTGTCCGTTTGCCGTTTGTTCGTTGTTCGTTTGTTCGGCTCCTTACATAGCCTTGCCGCAGCTTTACTCTATACAGACGATGGTCTACTGTTGCTGTTGTTGCCATTGCGGGCGCTGTATGACATGCACGCCTGGAAACTAGCAATAACCGCCATCTCAGGGGCTCGGCGGCGCACAAAGCACCAAATATCCGACCTGACTCGCCTCCCTCGCTACTGACTCTGCTTTACCGGCTTGATACCCCTTCTAAACTTCTTGCTCTCCACCAGCCTAAGTAGTGACATATGTGCTATGCTATGCTATGCCATGCTAATGCTACTTATGTCTTATCTGTCCGTTGGCCCCGGCCCCCTCAGCGGGGACCCTGTCTGAGGCGTTCTCTGCATCCCCTAACCCACCCCATACCCATGTCCTCCGCTGCAGCAACGACATGGCAGGGTGCGGAGGTCCAAGTTGGCGCCGAGACGGTACCTTTTCTCGCTCTTGCTCTTGCTCTCGTTCTTGGGGTAACGGGTGATTTTCACGGAAGAGAGTGGGCAAGTCGATTGACGGTCGAACTGCCTTTACATGGTCCCTACGAACATCCCGGATGCATACATACATACATGCGAATTTACACCTCAGCAACCGAAAGTAGTATGTACATACTTACTCTGTATGTCTGGGGGAGGGAATAAAAGTGCCTGAGCGTCTTTCTTGTTTTCATGTCCTTGCAACTTTGCCTGGCCAGGAACAAAATACGTATACATATATGGGACGCCCTTCTAGATGATCGACTCTGCGTGCTTGGTCCGTATATACCCTCTCAACCGTCTTCATTCCCGCTGACTTTACATATATTTCTCATGTGAGGCGCTTCAACCCTGCCCTGTCTATGGCTCTCTGCCTCTGCTCAACGCATGGTGATCGACTCGGGTGCACAGCATAACTCACTACTGACTTGACTCGCCAACTAAACTAGCCGGCTTACAGATCCTTTTTCCTTTCTTGGGGAGAGGAGAATACAGCCCTTAGTAACGCGGGGAAGCAATAATACATTCCGATGGTGTGAATCCATCCCATCTCCTACCCGAACACATGTAACTTAACCTCGTCCCATCACTTACTTCCATGACTTGCATCCAGCCCGCCCCAGGGAAGACGAGCACAGCGTGTAACTGGCTGGAGAGCGTAGAGACACTCGTTATTCATTCCTGCCTGCCTGCTTGGGGCCACTAGACTAGTTCCTCCGTGCGTCTTGGAGGATTGATACTTACATATATTCGTGCCTTGCGTCGCTCTTCATCCCCATCCCTCCATATATACGGTGCGTCATATAGCCCATGCCATCACCAACTAGTTAACTATCGACCACTAACTCTGGTATGTAAGTAAATATAAGCCGACCAACCAACGGTAAAGTGAAAAAAAGTAAAAGTAATTAATTATACGCCATTACCGAGCGGTAAATTACTACCTGCCCTTTTCAACGGAACTCCCGACCACAAAAGCCAGCCAGATCGACCTGGTGCAGCTGCTGGCGTGCTCTGGACATACATACTAATAAATTGTCCTGATTGTCCATGCATATACACTACGCATACGGAGTAGTCAGTAGACAGTAGTCTAGCTAACCAGCCGATGGGCACGGCGTGTCCGTTAGTTACTCGCAAAAGTAATTAAGTAGCCCGCCCAATTCGTCCCGTCCATCCCGTCCATTCGCAGCAGAGGAGGCATCAAGCGGAGTAAAAGGGTAAAAGGCCCAAGACGACGTCACTGTCTCTCTCTCCCTCTCCGCCTCATCATCACCATCATGGCCTTTCACCTTTGGTAACGAGCTCGATGAAAGAGAGATTGCGCCTCGTTTCGTTTCAGAGAATGATGCTTTCGGCTCGATGGAAGGGGGGATTAAGTCAATTGAAACAAGCCCATCCTCATCTCGAGCCGCAGCCTCCAACGTCAGCGTCATACTACTTATTTAGTTCAAGCAACTGACTGGATGATCGACTTCGAGATCGCTGGTAAAACGTTCCTGTTAGCGAGTTAACTCTAACGCTCCCGTCCACTCAAAAGCAGGATTCGACACCGTCAACCAGACATGACACCAGACCCAGCTCACCCAGAGGTCCAGCAACGAGTAAACCAGTAACTTCATGCAGCTTTTCCACTCCCTTCTTCTCCTTTAAATGATCTGCCGGGTCCTGCTGCCGGGGCTTCCGGGGTCGTTTCTTTTCTTTCTTTCGCCCATACAGCAGCCGAGTTAGCTGGCTTTTTTCTTTTCTTTGGCAGACCAGACAAGACCCTGAAAGCATGGCACTGCACACTGCACACTGCACCGCACTCTATTCTTCCTCTTCCTCCGTATTGAGTATTGATATCACATCTGATGCATGCTAAATTAGGGCCACTGGGTTAACTAACTCGCTCACTAGCAAACTAGTCTTCTGGCCCCCAAATTCTGTTTTGTCCTTTGACAGCTCAAGGACCTGGCATGCGATGAGGCTGAGTCAGGAAAGGGCCATTCCTCGAGGCTCGAAGCGAAACTAGAGGTCGTTAGCTTAGCAGGGCCGTGACTGATAATTGACGAAACTACAGCCTTGGTATTGACTTACTGACTTGCCCTTGGGGATGGGGATGGGGCCATCTCATCTCGTGCCCCTGTCTGGCTCGGGTGTAGATATGAATAAGCGAAGTCGGTCTGGATGGCAATCCAAGCGCTCTTTTAGTCTCTCTGACGAGTCTGACGGGACGGTCCAGGCTGAAGTATTGATGCCCATGCTCAATTCAAAGCTCGCAGCTGTAGTTGATATGTAAGAATCTGACTGTAATAAAAAATGTTGAATTTAAAAAAAATATAGAAGATGTGCCCCCGACCAGATTCGAACTGGTGACCTTCATATGACATAATATGAATTACAAGTATGACGCGATAACCCCTACGCTACAAGGGCAGAAATTGTTAGCGTGGTCAGCCCGAGACGTCATTTGTGGCTATTGCTGCGAGAAGCAGGTAACCACTACCAATTCTATAGAGTAAGGATGTACGGAGTAAGGAGAGGCTTCCTTTTGATAGACACTGTTTTTGGCTCTACCTAAGCACATCTGGCTGGCTCTAGCTGACATCTACTCGTCGCCCTCTGCATCATCCTCCTCCTCCTCGTCATACTCGACGTCTATCTCTCCGGTAATATCCCACCGATCGCCCTTGGCTGCACGACTCACATACTTGACAAACTTCAGCGGCCCTTGGTCCCGTAGCACAATGCTCATGCGGTTCCAGCCGGCGCCCATGCTGAACAGGATTCCATCGTCTTCATCATTGGTGGACGACTTGTAGATGGCTGGGTCGGCTTTTGACTTGTTCACCTTTGATTTGCTTCCCGTGGAGCCCAGCGTTTGTTCAGCTGCTGCGCCTGCTTCCTCATCGTCTTCCTCCTCGTCGTCACCTGCCATGTAGATTTCGTAGCCTCCAACGGACAGTTCTGCTTCCGCTGATGTCTCTGCAGCCTCTGGTTTGACTTTACCGTTGGCCTTGGCCTTGGTCTTGTCTGCTTTTCCGGTTCCCTCCTGCTGCTCGCCTTCTCCTTCCTCGCCTTCTTCCTCATCCTTCTCCCAGCCAGGGGTTGGGGTGATGCCAATGGTGAACTCAAGGCGGGGGGATTCGCCCTCGTACCCACTGGCAAGGGTATAGTCCTCCCCGCGCCTAAATCTACGGGCAAGGAGGTTGTATCCCAGCAGGCCATCTAGTCCCGTAACAACAGAGAGCCATTTTTTAAAGGCGCGTGATGGTAGAAGATCCTCCAGAAGCTCCTGGATGGGGGACTTTTCCTTCTGTGCATCGCTGGTCTTGTCTAAGCACGGCTGCTGGTATAGGTAACGATGCTTATGTGGTGGCCGGCTCACTTTCCAATCCGTCTTCTGCTCAATCTCCTCGGCCGAAGTAGGGAATGCAACATCTTTCTCCTGGCTCTCAATATACGACCGCAGGCGTGGGGTAAACTTGTCAGAAAGGAACTTCTCAAGTCGGACAATGCGGTCATTGTCGAAAATCTCATTCAGCTGGCTGGCTACGTCCGGTGTCAGATACGATGGCGCAATGTACTTTAGCAGGAAATCAAGGTCCTTGTCATTGAACCCTTCCTCCTCGTCATCATCGCTGTCCTCTTCAGTCTTAGCAGGCGCCTTGCCTTTGGAAGATGCATCTTGGTCTTCGGCCGGTTTGTAAGGCACGAATTGCGGTTGTGGTCGATCAAACTCGTCGCCTTCACCCTGGAGCTGCTGAAGACTGCTTCGTTCGGCAAGTTTCTCCGCAAGACCCTCCTCGTACCCGTCCTCGCCCTCCTGTGGGATATGGAACCAGCCACTGATCGCCATGCGCACTCTAGACTTTATTTCCTTCTCGGTACCCTTGGTTTCCATGTGGTACACCTCCTCCACATCATGGAAGCTCTCACCGGGCTGCACTGCAAAGAAACTCAACTGGTTGAAGGCTGGCGGAATAGAAACGGTGTGATCCGGCTTGGGAATCTTGACTTCCTCCCCGTCCGCATTCGTTTCCGTCGTGGTTGGGAACAGTCGCAGTGCTCCACCCCATTCTGGCTTCCATGGCACGTCCGGGTCGGTCAGGTAGAGGATATAGCTCACACGTCGGCTTCCAATGACATCATCGTGGCATAGCAGATGGCATCCGCCGGTGTACACATTGACGGCCATGTCGGTCTTGCTACCGCTCAGCTTGCCAGCTCCGGTAACTATTGATAGATACTCCCGAAACGGTTCTGAGTATAAGGCATTTCGTAGTTTTAACAACGATGGCAGCCGTGAGAGCGATTCATCATCCAATCCATCGAGATTGGCCAAATCTCCTGACTGGTAGATCTTGTAGATGTCAGTCTCTTTCTCCGTAAACGAGATGTGTTCTTGGATCTCGCTGCGGACAGAACGGAGAAGCTCCTGGTTGAATAAAGGTGAGATAACGCCATGCTTATACCTATTTAGCACAATTTAAGCAATTAGCAAGCTTCCGCGCCATCAATTGAAGCATATAGACAAAACAGATAATAAAGAAACATCTACCTACGGTCCTGATTTTGCGTAGGCAGCTTTGTACTTCTCTAGCACATCCTTATCCAGAAGACCATCTGCAAAGGACGGGGCTACCGATTGAGCTGAGACAGCCCGTTTCTTCGCAGCTTGATCGCCGTTCTTAGCTGGGCTTTGCGCTCCGAATCCGCCTTGCGCTTCATCTTTTGCTGCTTGTGTGGGATCGAATAGCTCGCTGAGACGGAAATGCTAGCTAATCGAACTATTTCTGGTGGTCTGATAACAGAAAACTTTTTTTAACCTCGACCATGCCAGATTAGACTGTGCCGTTCTTGTCGAGGCTGGTGGGTGAGAGAAGGCGTTGGGCTGTGGGTTGAATCCCAGCGATCTTACAATATTATATGTAGCGATATAACCCTTTCGTCTGTTCGAAGATAATACCGCTCTGCCTAGTACTGTTCTCAGTGGCACTAGCAGTCAAAAGGCCAAAACATCTCAAAGGCCTGCTTATCCTCCGGGGAGTGCACGACCTTCTCCATGAGCTCCCCTTTGATATCCCGTAGCATTGCCATGGCCGCTTCATAATCCTCATGATGAATGAACCCCTTCTCAGGCCATAGATTGCCCATTCTCTCCATAATCATATTTATTACCCCCAACCCAATATCAGCAGCCTTCACATCTGTTTCTATCTCTGAGATCTCTGCAGCGGAAAACTTGAGTGGAAACTCCTTTCCCGACTCTGCCCACTCATCTCTTAGATCCAGTGCTAGAGCTCGAAAATGTGCTTCACCAAAGACAAATAGGTTTTGCGAGAGATTCAGCATATGTCCAGCTTTTGATTTTCGGAATCGGATTGCTGCGTGCTGGTCAGGATTCTTTCCCTTGACAAGCATTCTCCATGCTACCATAACGGACGTATCATAGAACTGTTTGATGGCTGCTCTTCTTGCGTCCTGTTCAAGAGAATCAATGTCTTCACGGAGGGTTGGTGGTTGGGGATCATCGCCGACGTCAGGGCCTTCGTATCCTAGAAAGCTAGGGTCTAGGCAGTGATCGGTCAAAGGAGCTATCTGTAAGGATTGCCAGTCAATTATACCCATGATTTCCGTTGGTTTATTTGGATTAACAAATATATTCTCCGCATGAAGATCATTGTGCCATAGATGGCCGGAAGTGAGGCCCGTTTCTCTGGGTAATATATGCTGGAGTATTTGGGGATATAGCTCAACTGCAGCAAGCTTCTTCTTGAGCGTTGGCTGATACGCTCCCGGGCCACAGAACATAACACATTGCTTTGGGAACTGTTTTAGAGTCCTTATTGCTATGCCCTCTCGACAGCCAATTGCCATGCGATAGTCTAAGAGGGAGCTCCCTGTTGAATATTACATTATTAAAGTAATTTTTTTCATCGACTGGGTATAAGACTTACAAGGTCCCCTATAACACTGGAGATTCTGCCTTCCATTCTGTAACCACTCTCGACTAACGGTTGGCCCAACTGCAAAACGATTGTCCTTTACTGGTCGTCCATCTTCATCAGTATAAAGATTGCTTCCTGACAACGCATCGGCCGTAAGATCTTTAGAGTAGTAGAGACTGCCAAACTGAGAAAATTTTACTTCCGCCCATCTTTTCTGGTATTTGAAGACCTGTAAAAACACCTTCAGTTTGTCAGGGGGCTCAAGTGAGTCCCAGACCAGCCCTAACGGCACCCCAGAGGCCTTTTCCATAATGATGTACTCGGCTCCAACCCGGTTCTCTTCATTGATTCTAGAATTCCACGCATAAACATGCGGAACAGGCGTATGCAGAATATTGCGTGCCTTAAAGCAAACCTGTCAACAAAATTTAAATATTATCAAATACATATAGCACTATTCACTTACAAAGTCCATAGTAGCGACCTCGCTGGCTGTTGTTAGATGGGCTGGTCCAGCATTGGGATTGGGTATTTTGCTAATAACCTCATTGCCATTGTCCATGGTGAGTAGGAATGCTTTATTATACAGGCCATCCGGGCATTTTCGGACGTCAATGCATTTTCTTGCGCCTATGGCCTTTGCTGCTGTAGCTGCGAGCTCATTTATACTGTGCTCGACATGTCTTTGTCTTAATTGTTCTGCTTCATCATAGACAAAACGTCCGCGAGTAAAGCGGAAGAAATCCTCATCTTGATAGTCACCTATAGAGCAATAATTTATTAGTAGTAGCTTGTTTCACCCATGTTCAACGTATGTTCCTCAACTTACGTGTTTTGTTGGTCCGGGTGAATGTCGAGATAGCAGCTAACTGATATTTGATATGTGAAACACCGAGCTGTAATAATAGGCAGTTCCTGAGAAATGAGCTTGGTGAACAGACCATCATCATTATGGACTTGGATTGTGAAGTCTGATAGTATGTGGCCAAAGTATCCTTTTATTTTAATACATTGGTCAAGTAATTGGTTACTCCGGTTAAGCGCCTTATCTTGGCAGAAATAGGAAACAGGACGTAATGAAGAGCATGGTTGTCAATACATCATTTATTCTTTTGCTAAAATTCAACAAAATTCATAGCGGGTTGAGCTGCAATGTCTATGAAGTTTGATCTATCTACTTAATAGCAACGATCCGAAAAAACGTAAAATCATTTTCTTGTTTTATCATGAGTCAGGAGTTGGTCATGGCTTCTAATTTGGTCATTGTGATAGAGTGCTCTGGCTTAAAATGCCGCGGATTTAAGGAGAATTGCCTTGTGGTGCATAAGTGTGTGAAATGGAAAGGCGTGGCACATTTTATGCACCTGGGGCGCGTGTTGATCTGGTACCCATGTGTTTCATGTCCCTGGCCCACCAAATCAACCCGAGTGAAGGTAACCGGTATACCTCAGAGTATATTTAGTATCCCTTTCCAGTGGCCTCCTGCTTGGGGGAAGCGGGATATCGACTGCGTGGCAGAAAATTATGTTGCTGAGGCCAAGGGATTCAACTTGCTGGTATTGAATCACTAGTATCATATATTTGCTGGTATATATGCCAGTCAAGATACTCATAACGCTAGATTGATCGTGCTAATTTCATGCTGTGATCACTTGCCGGTGTTTCTAGCCTTGATATGAGGTTCGATTTTGTCCACAAAAGGCCGATATGGAGCGGCCAAAGTGTGTTCTGGGCTTCTTGACGTGGATGTCGATAACGGGGTATCGTGACGTGGCTCACCAGGCGTAGGCCTCAGTCTCTGCTCTTCGTGCATCTTGTCCAGCGGTTCACCAACTATATGATATTTTGCCCAGTTGATAGCAGGCATTCGCACGATGTTCTGCGGTTTGGGTATTTTGCCGAGCCGTTTTGACGGGTTCCCACCAGTAGTATTATCATGTATTGGTTTCACCTGGTCGATCTCCATTGCCTCTGGATCACATTCTATCCCTTCTTCTTGATCCTTTTCCTGTCGTGGGGAGGGGTGGAATAGGTCGCCCTCCTCCGACTGGAGGGAGCCAGCTAAGAACTCGCTGGCAAAGGCATGGGGATCTTCAGCTGCAGACTGTTTCAGCTTGTCTAGTGCCTGAATATCTCGTAGCGCCTGTTGTTTCTGTATCTGAAGAATGGTAATGGCAGATCGAAGAGCGATGGCGTCTGGATTCTCGCTTTCGGAGATGGGTACTGGAGCTGGTTCCCTAATGAATTGTGGCGGTGGTAGAGCCGGTACGGCCCCATTCTTGTTCGGAACCGATCTTCCACGGTCGATGACGCTGGGAATAGAGCCAAAGGTGCCGCTGATTGCTGGGTATGCGGCTGGCGGTAGCGGGGATGCAGCTATTGTCGACTCCGAGGCGGCGGGAGTTGTTCTGGAGGGCTGCGACCTACCCGGCGTTACAGGCGAGTAGGGAGGCGGAGGCGGCGTCCCTTGCTTCTCCTGAGCCTGCGACGGCTTCACATCACCTGCGGTCATCGTCGTCCGTGGGAGGAGGTTTGACGATGAAACGTGTAGACGACGATGAGGCTTAACTTGTTTAAGTAACTGAGCTAAATAACTTGTGAGTTTAGTTAAATAGGCTTTCGGCCAGATTCACAACCGACTCGGCACTTAAGCGCCAACCGAACGCCGCCCGCCCGAAGCAACTTAACACACTGTCAATTAATTAAGGAGCCAACCTCAACCGTATACTCCGTATCAAAAATCCGAAAACGAATTACACAATAGAAATGTCTTTCCTTAGACCAGATATGAATAATACTTAGAGCAAGGAAACTAGGGAAGTTTTTTTAATAATGCAATTATATTTATGTGTAGATAAATTAAATAATGGATTTAATTCAAATATTTTAGATATTTTAGCTCTTATTAGTATAATACTTGGTATATACACTATAGTAAGTAAAGGCGTTAAATTTACAGACAGTTATCCTTCTGGGGCTTGCTAGCAGGAATTACGTAGGTACCTCATATAGAAATGGATCATATGGCGTCGGATCAATGCAGAAAGTGATAATTAGATTTCATATTCCATTATGGCGAAGGGATAGAGATTCTGCGGCGCAGCGCTTGATGCCGCTGTTGCCTAGCCCAACAGTAAGATATATTAGATAAACGCGGTAGATGGTCATAAATAAGGATATAAGTCAAAATTTGGAAAGTGTCCATTATATTAAGGTATTTATCCCTATGTACCAATATATCCGTTCAAGTCGTGAAGTCATCTCCTATACCCTTACCCCTAACCTTTCCCCAATCCTATATACAGGCCGAACATAGTCGAATTAAACGTGCAGAACGTCTATATGGTCGGCCATAAACTGAGCACTCTTTGCCCTAAAGTCATCCGAAAGCAAAGTATTTCCCAGGAGCTGAAAGTTCATCAGCTTCTTCCCCTCGCTCCATCGTGGCCACTTGGGGAAGCCAAAGGGAGTTCCCTTATTCGGGTCCATAGTGTTGACGAAGCTAAGATAGTAATTCTGAATACTCGTGCTGGGAATTCCAGGAGTGTATCCAAAGGAAGTAAGGATATCAGAGGCGTGGAAGGTACCAACGACTGGAATACCATGGTTATAGGTTGCGAGATAAGACCATGACGGGACGTCAGGGAACTTCTCGTTGGCAATATTTAGGAAGACGCGACGACTCAGTGTGAAGACTAGGTCTCCCAGCATAGCAGCAAGGCGCTTATATTGCGGATATAACTGGTTGAGAATCCCAGTCCTGAAGGGGGAGCCGGCAGAAGGGTCGTCGGGGTAAGTGGCTACTAGTTCTTTGAGTTGTTCTTTAGTAGCCCCGTGGAAGAAGTAGGTATGGAAGTAGTCGACGACCTGATCGGTGGTTGTAATGTTGGACTGTGTGAGGGCAAAGATGGTGCCCTCGTCTTCCTGATCACCGATGATGAAGGGAACTTTAGCGATACGTCCGCTCCTACCCAGGACATCAGGGGAGGCAGTGAGAACCTTGCCATCGGGGCGTGGAAGATAAGACAGGGCAACGGAACTGTAGCTAAGGAACGGGGGGACGGAATTGGCGGCATTGAGGAAAGTTGTGTAATCGCGAGATCGTAGGCAGTCGAGCTTATCAGCGGCATTGGCACATCCGGCTTCTTCGACGACCTTGTTGTATACCACTTCACCTTTGGGGCAGTCTACAGGGTCGGCAGGGACAACACTTCCACTGTTCATGATTGCTGCGCGGAAGAGAGGCTTTCCTTTGTAGGTGTGGTCGCCGTCGTACATTGCCATCTGGTCGAACGCTGAAATAGCACCTGCAGACTCTCCCCAGATGGTGACCTTTTCAGGATCGCCGCCAAACTTAGCAATGTTGTCAGCAACCCACTTAAGCCCAAGGCGCTGATCAAGGAGGCCTAAGTTGGCAGAGCCATCCTTTTGGATATCTGAGCCAGGCATGAAACCAAATCCTCCGACTCGGTAATTCACGGCGACGACGATGATGTCTCGTTTCTGCGCCATAGATCTCAGGATTAACGAAGTTCCATCATATAATTGTGTAGAGCCTAGTTCAAAGGCTCCGCCAAAAATCCAGAAAAGGACTGGAAGCTTAGAGTCTGGGGTGGCGGAGGCTGGTCTCTGAACATTGAGCGTAAGGCAGTCCTCGCCAGCGTTGGTAATCGTCTGGAAGAAAGGTGTATTAATGAACCTTCCAAGGATGTCTTCGGAAATGTCGTCCGATTTGAGGTACATCTGTGGGCAAGCACGAGGAATTCCAGTAGCTTTAACTGTTCCAAGATCCCCCATAATAGGCTGCGGGGGCTTCAATCGCAATTTGCCGACTGGGGGCTGCGCAAAAGGGATTCCCTTGAATGAGTCAACTCCGAGTGCACTGGACCCTACCACATTGGCATAATCCAATTTGACACTGGGTGCTGCCCGTTTTTCAATTGCTGGAGCAGCAGCCGTGGGAGCGGCAATCGAAAGGTGGGCAAAAACCACCGCAGTGGTAAGTAGAGACCACATCATGAAGGACTTATGAGTGGGTAGAGAAGAGGCCAAATTTAAAGAGGCCTTATAGTAGATCAGAGACCCGCTTCATGGACACTGAAGAGGCTTCAGAATACCCTTATGGGCGTGGGAATCACCAGGCTTTTATGCTGCCCCATCGCGAATTCTTGAATCCCATCTGTTTATGGGTATTGTTTTTCCCTACCACCGAGGCACCAGACAGTTGAAGATCTGGTTTTCTAAACTGACGGGGCTCATACCCATCTGGGGCTACTAGCAAAAAGGTTGAATATCCCTGTATATCGTAGAGGGTGGGTATATTCTGAAAAGGACTGGCTCTCATCTGGACAGTGCGGGATCGGCTCCCAGATTCGTGGCATGTGCAACCAGAAAAACAGTAATCTGTGTATATAAAAGATAGAGATATTGATGGCCATGGCCGAGGCACATCGACCATCATATATAACAGACCGAATGTATAAGTAGGGACAGTTAAATTTGGGTTCCAGCCACCTGCAGGACTACTCCGTTCTTTTTCAAGCGAGTCCGTCCATATCCGGGGAACCTGGTTAGTCGTTGAGAGCTGTTTTCTAAATACGTAAGAAACTGGGGTCAAATGTGGGCTTTCATTTTATGAGGATCCATCAGTCCGGCGTGTTGTCCGTACTCAAGGCAGCAATGGTCGGCCCAAGAGCGAGGTAAGATTTGGGGGTGGAGACCTTTTCTCGCAGCAGTGTAACCGAGTCATGAGGCAGAATAGCCGCCACCCCATCTGCGGGGTTTTCAGTGATATAATTAGCAAGCCAGGCGGTTCTCAGGCGATGCCATCATGACAATTCCCAGAGGGTTCTTGGGCCTGAAGAATTTTGGTGGAGGTAAGTTCTTCATCACTCAGACCCTGTGCAGCAGCAGGGCAGGGGGTTTGCTCGGCCTTTGATTAGTAAAAACTAATACAACCGTGGTATTCCCATATATACGAGTAATTCTCCACAAAAGCTGGTTCTTGATGTCTTTCGTTGGATACGAATATGAAATTCTTGTTCTCTGTTTCTCGTATGGATATAAGGAAACGGGTGTTCCTGAAGTCAATGGCTATTTTCTCCAAAGACAGATCTGACCATCTTTTGCCATCTGAATGATTGTACATACGGTGGCAACTGAGCCACAGCTGCTGTAATTTGCCCCAGGGATACTCCGTACAGCTTCGGTAAGCTGCGAAGCTGGGTCATTTGATCTCGCTTTGGGAACCACAGTATGGACGAAAGGACGCTTAGGAATGCTTATTTTTCCCTTGCATTCTCCATGGCAAGCACCTCTAGTCACACCGAGGGCAATTCGGGACGTTGTCGCACCGTTGGCCGGCTTGGGCTGGTGTACTGTGACTTCCATGGCAACGGAGACATGGCACGGTATGCAACAATACGAGCTTTGGTCCACCAGCAACGAGCGGGGAAGTGGAGACGCGGGGAAGCGCCAACCCGCAGCAGAGTAAAACATCTGGCATTGTTAGGGACGAAATGAGCAGAGCACACAACAACAGCTTGTGATAGTACTCTGAAGGCCCGTCTCGTTGGCTGAATGCAACCGAACCAACGACGAAAACCAAAAATCTTTTGAAGCTTTGAACTCGGCCGTGTTAAGCTTCGCTGACTAACTGGTCTCGTGATAGGGGTCCAAGCGCTCCACTTTTATGCGATGAAAAAAAAAAGCTTGGCATAAAAACTCAGCTTTGACTTTTCTTACTGCTTGGATGTTGATATTTGGTCAAGAAACTATACAGACAATATGTCTGCTGAAGAGGGCACGATAATCCAGGCTCTATGGTTTGGATGAGTCCTATGAGTTGGGTGCTCAGTCTCTTCTTTCTCAATCCTGACGAGCATCATTGAACAGGGCGATGGTGATCATCATTGTCCCAAAGGTGGAATTGATGGGTTCGCCCTCAGCATATTTTCTTCTATTTACATCGGGCTTACTTACATGCATCCACAGTGGGAAGTGGGCTCCAGGTGAATAATATCACCGATATAATATACATATAGCCTGCATATTTGAGTAGCCGGCGAGAGCATACTAAGAACCAAAACACCCGGATTTCCAATTCTTTCTCCTTAGCCCGCTATCAATCTTTACTCATACAACGTCCAATGCGTACTCTGTGAATTCCTTTGATTAACAAGCGAGCGCCGTATATCAATTATACCAGTTAACCTCGGCGATGCTTTTTACCTTGTGAGTTCGCCCGGGCTTTACGGTGCATACCTAGCTATACGCGAGGTAGCCTTATTTCAAGAGGCCCGTGTATAGTCACCTTGACTTCCGGTTGGCTTCGTCTCTCCATCCTGGTCGTCCCAAAGTAGGCATCTGCCGATTGGTATGCACGATATATACTCAAGCTCGTGCATGTCACTTTCAAGGTAGACTCTAACCTTGCGGTCAGGCCTAGTATAGGTAGTTAATTATCCCGCAATTCAATTCCGAGTGTTCTCGGCATATTCTTCTTCTTCACAGCACGTCGTCAATTCAGCTTCCCAAAGTTCTGCCTGGTAGTACAGCACGTTGACCAATCATTATCATACTCTCATTTTGCTGCTTGGATTTAACAAAAGACTTCTCTATACTCCCAGCCTCGTGCTGAATACGGTCAGAGTAACTCACTCTTGCAAGTCCCATTTCTCCCGCTTACACGTGCAGACAGTGGCAATGCTCACGCTCATTATGATGGCCTTGAAATGTGATTGAAGCTCGGTCAGGCTCAAAGGTGGCCTAGGTATCGGCCTTTGCGGCTGATGCATAAAGTGGTGTGACTCCCGTTTGCCGTTATTGGGAGGGATTGTATGAAGTGTTGCCTACATCACGAGTTAACCGTGGGGTGGGGATGCTGGCCTTTGCCGCAGACTGAGAGCAAATATACCGTGCATTAGGGTAAATTAATAGACCCAAGATCAAAGAGTTCGAATTTTGTAGCACAGCCAATCTTAACGTGTTGATGTGATACGAATTTTGGAGAAATAGAGGTGAAATTGCCGCCAAGGAGCCGCCGGCCGCGATAATAGCCGCGATGATGTCACTTATACATACAACTACGAGATCAACGTGTTATTATTTTATGCAACACGGAGCTTGAAACATATATCATATTGTTCATATAATCTAGTAACAAGGAGAGATATTATGGTGCTGTGATCCATCCCATCTCCTGGAGAACAAGGAAAGCATCATAATACATGATATATGGAACTCGCGTCCTAGGAACCATATATAAGGGAACAGTGAAACAAGTAAAGCATACACAGCAAAATAGGATCTGCTTTTGTGTTCGTTTTGCTGCGCACAAATTCCAGTGTAGTTGAACCGGAGTCACGACCCTGGCAGGTGCGCTGGAGCTTAGTGAAATGCATGAAATAGGTCATCGGCATCGTTAAAAAAGGAAAAGAAAATCGCCCATCAGTCGTGCCCCTATCGTACCATGGTCATCCTGTCCTTTTTTTGGTCATTTCTATTTATTTCGTTGTGGTTTTTTGTTTTAACACAAAGCCCGGTTTGTGCTTCACTGGCGCTTTCGGATGGTGATGTTTGGACCATTCTTTTGGCTGGTGAAGTGGTCGATCATGGCGAGGTGGCCGGATTCATCCTCACCGGTTCTGTCGGCAATCTCAATGTCGAAGAGGAACATCATGCGAGCAATGGTGAGACGCATCTCCATGAGAGCCATACTCTTTCCAATACAGCCACGAGGGCCAATGGAGAAGGGACAGAAGGCTCGTCGAGCGATGTCGACGGTGTCCTTGGTGGAAACCCACATTCCGTTGTCAGCCTGGCACATGGCGCCCTCGATCCAACGCTCTGGAATGTATTTGGCGGGTTCACGGTAGTAGTCTGGGTGTCTGTGGATAGCAAAGGTTGGAGTTCCGCAGTCGGTGCCGGCAGGGAGGTAGACGCCATCGACTTCAATGCCGCCTGGTAGAACTTCACGGGGGATAGCTCCGGGTACGGCGGGTGCTAGACGCATGGCTTCGTCGATACAGGCCTTGAGGTAAACCATGTCATTGAGCCTGGAGCCGGTGACGATCTCTTCGACGTCATTGAAGCTAGAGCGAATCTCCTTCTTGAGCTTCTCGAGGGCGTTGGTGTTGCGGACGAGATAGAAGATGGTGGCAGTGAGACCAGTGGAGGTGGTGTCGGTTCCGGCAATCATAAGGACGTTACTCTCACTCCATAGTTCAGGAGTAGCGAGTCCCTTGCCGGTCTCCGGATCCTTTGCGTTGAGGAGGTAGTAGAAGAAGTCCTTCTTGGCCTCATGGCCGGCCATGGTTCGTTCTTTGGCACGTTGGGTAGCTTCAACTCGAGAGTTCTTGATGAAGTTCCATCGGTCGTTGGTGAGCTTGTGAATGAAGACCTGGTCAAGGTGCCAGCTGTCGAGAGGCATCCATAAACCACACTAGATCCAAAGTTAGTTATATACATGAAGACGTTCTCCGAGGGCTGGCATGTATTCAAGGAGATACTTACGACGTAGTGTCTGAAAGCAGCTCTGTCGACAAGGGCGATGACATCTCTCTTTCCACGCTCGATCAACATGCCAAAACTCTTGCCGAAGCAGAGTTCTCCCATGACATCGTAGGTCAGGTAGGCAAACCAGTCAGCCATGTTCCTGGTAGCAACACCTTTCTCGTTGACGACTCTATCGGAGTCAAGACCAGGAGCATCACCTCCCATGATGTTACAGAACTGACGGACGTTGGTAAGCATGACCTCCTCCATTCCCTTGAGGGCATTTTCCGAGAAAGCCTGGCTGAGAACACGTCTCTTTCGGCCGTGGATGGTCTTGTCGATGACATTGTGGGTATTGTACACTCCCTTGATGGCAGGGAAAGCGTTGTAGAAGTTGGACTTCTTGACCTTCTTTCCGTGGCCATAGATATCATGCAGACCCTGAACGGTGTTGACGGAGATGAAGTTGGGAGCTACACGGACATGGGTGCCATATTTCTCGTGCAATTCGGCAAGCCAGAGATGGCGGTCGCCATTGAGTCCGTGGTAAAGCTGAACAAGCGGAGTGATGCTGGCCAAAAAGGGGCCTGGAAACGACCTTAGCGGGTGCACGAACTTGTTATACGCAAAGTACCCAAGCGTCTATTTTTCATCATTAAATTGATTAGTACGAAATACCCTTAGGTCCTACGTAAAAAGGAAGACCTACCAGTACGCTCACTGCCAGCAGAAACAGCTGCCCTGCCAGGAGGAGCGAGAAGTTCTCGACAACCGGAGCAAGCAACATCTTATCTTATCTCCACGTGAAATGCAGATTCTGTGACGTCAGCAGGTGGCCGTCGATAGCCGCGGAAAGTCTGTCTCTTCCAACACTAGATGCGAGGCGCTGAGCAGCTCCGGGGCCAGAGACAAGCAAAAGACGGCGGTTGAACAGGAGAAGAGAAAGACAGAGAAGACAGAAAAGGAGCCGGCGGAAAGAGCGCAATTTATGTACTCCGTCTGCGTGTGGACTGGCGGACGGTGGGGGACGCTTCCCTCCCTCGAATTATATATGGGGGCAGCAAGTCTCTTCCCTCGCCCTGGACGCGACCTGCTTCGGCTATCCGCGGCCTTTGAGTGCCCAGGCAGGAGCGAGACGGCTTAGGTCAGCATCTCGGATATTTAAGCAGCCCCATTTTGCCCCCGGGATTTTAATAGCAGCTCGCTGATTGGCTGCAGGCGCTTATCGGAAGAGCCGGCTTGTTCGATAAACTCCGGGCTCGATGCTCGACAGCTCACGCATAAAAGCAACACTGCCAGACATGCTTTTGTTTTTCCTTTCTGGCAGCTGGAGCGCCCGGAGCGTCCCGAGATGGTCACAGGGCGTCGAGCTGGAAGTGCGGCCTCGAAGTGAATAAAAAGCCACCGCCCGCCTGACAGCAGCAGCCTATTAAACTACGGAGTACGCTTGATGCTGTGCGTCCTCTTCAGCCAGCTAGTGTGTATCGTCATTTGTGAAACCAGAATTAGTTCACAATGGCGGCTGACATAACTAGCATCGGCAATTACAGGGTGTTTCGATGCGCGAGGCAGCTTAGTTAGCTAGCTGTTGGTATCCAATCAGAGTGGATCAAAGGAGATGCAAAATAACAAACAACCTCGACCTTCATGAATCAATGATATGTATATAACCGTTTGGCCGTTTTGCCACGAAAAGAGAAAGATGGCAAACGCCGCTTCAAGACGTCATTCATAACCAAAGGATATACAAAGCTATATATTCTTGGTTACGCCTCTAATGGAGTGGTTTCTGATCTGGCTAGCCGATGGCTATGCTTTCGCCAGTGATGCAGATTTTAGTGAATAGTTCAATATGATACTGGATACTGATTTAGAAAAGCAGGCGTTGCTCTCCTGCGATGCAAGTGATCTGCAACGTCGACATTCTACCTCGTTTCTTGAGAAATTCAAGATACCTCGAGCTCGAGAGTGGCTCTCCCAGCATTGCGTACGAAAGAAATGTGATTCGTGTCAGCAAGAAAAAGAGCATCACAAAGAAACACAGGAAATTACACAACTAGAGTGTGAGAAGCTGAAGCAGTACCTGTGCCAGAGGGAGTCTCAGCTACGAAAGGGGTATGAGCTACAGATAGAGAACCTGCAGTACAAGTGGCATCAACAGCAGGCTGAGTTTGAACGGCTGAGAGAATATGTCAACCATGAATGCCAACAACAGAAAGAGTGTCCACTGCAGAACTATAACAGTCTCTACAATCGAGTAGCAGACCTGAAGAATCAGATAAATGAGCATTCGGAAGCCACGGAGGGTTTAGTTGCCTTCGCTCTCAGCCGAGCTTCACTTGGCCCTTCTGATACCCAAGAATTCGCAGTGAAGAATGTCGCTGCTAAACGCTTTGAGCAGATGTGCTATTTCGAAGAGCATGATAACGAACAAAAAAAGGGATACTGCTGTCGAGGGTGCCTAGACAGACACCCTTCAAGTGCAAGCTTTTCACAGCAGGAGTTTACGAAGGCCCCGTCGAAACGGTACTGTCTGGAGACTCAGCCAGCCATTCAGCTTGGTACACTCCCTGGAATGAGTTTCAGGGACGTCAAGAACCTAGTACTCGCGGCTGGGAATGGAGAGGACATGACGACATTTCCTGAAATAGTACTCGAGCATCGTCTTCGCATATTTCCTACAAGCGAACACAAGAATATCACCGTCTATGGCTTCGCCCATATACTCTTCAACATCGACTACCCCATGTGCCCGCACACGCAAATTTTTGGAGTCCTTACAAACACATTATTCAAAAACTCTAGTGAACTTGCTGACGGATGGGCTGATGAATCCTACCAGTGCAGGGTTTGCAAGACACATGTATCATTCGAAATACTACCAGCCGACACCCGCCGTAACAACAACCGGGAATGGTGTGCACTCAAAGTGAGAAGGACTATAGGAAGACTCTATTCGCCTTTAGAAGAAGACTGGCTTGCGCAGGCTTATGCCTATGAACATCCCCATGTTGATGACCACAATAAACTAAGTGATGACTGGTTCCGGGAATATTGGCGGACTTTGTCTAAAGGTAGCCCTAGTTCAGGAAGACCTGGGTTTGACTTGAAAAAGTGCCGGGACATCTCCTACTCATCCTTACACCGTTATCAATCGGATTCTATTTTCCCATTGATAACTGACGCCGCTTCCCATGAAGAATACCGCGTGCATAGCTGGGTTCGTTCACAGTCTACCAACCCCAAGGCAAGAGTAATAAAGATAAGGACTTGCGATGAAATTGTGGCTGTGGAAGAAGAGAAGTAGCTGGAAATCTAGGGAGCTGAGAGGCCTTATATATCTAGGTAGTTCACGGTTATCTTTGGCAATATTCTTTGGCCCTCGCTGTCATATATTGCGTAAATACGAAGGACCCCCCAAAGGTATTTTCCTATCGTCCATTATTTCTCAGGTAGTCTTATCCGAGTAGTTGCCTCTCTTTTCTTTATTGTCTATATGTGCTGTCTATCTCCCACGGTGATGGCTATTGCGCCGATACTGGATGCTCATCTGTGGTACTATGTAGAGTCTGTTGTATACATATTCCTATACTTAATATAAAGCCTCACTATGAGGGCAGCTACCGGAGAAATCAATCGACATATAAAACATGGTGAAAATAACCAGGCACCTATGCCCAGACATATACCATGTACCTTTTCTGAGATATAGAGCTATTAACTACTTTGTACTTGCTTGCTTCAGCTCATCCACCCGCGACCAGCTAATTTGGTACCAGGCGCTCCTTCTAACCTCAGAGTTCTTCACGTCAAGTTCAAATAAGCAGGCGCGCTTCAGACATTCCTTCAGCTCATAATGGCAGACTCTGGCAGAATTCATCTCTGACCTTGACACCGTCAGTCGAGAATGGGAGATCACTGCTTTTGCCAAGAGAGAACGGAACTTCACCAACAAGCTAACTAGTTAACTACCCGTGATCTCACCAAGGCTTACACACCCTAGCGCGAGATCATGGCGGCAACCTGGCCGCATGTGTGGACTGCCCTGGCAACCACATCTCTGGTGTTGATCGCCGGAGCAAATTTGTGCTTTGATAGGAGGAGGGAGAGGATACTGGACAGGGCTGCGGCCAGAGAGAATGCCGTGGGGGAGAGGGAGGAGAGGCAGATGGCTGAGCTGGCTGAGCTGGAGAGTTTGGACCAGTTAGTGACGTCCACGGGTCTCTTTCAGAGATCATGGCCGCACCGACTCGGCCTGATGATCAGGAGCGACGACCTCCTACTAGTGCCGGGGGTCACTAGTATCGTGGAGGGATCGCCCTGAATCATAAATCCTCAATAGGACATCGACCTTTGAGGTTGGTAAGGCGTGGGCAACCTTACCACACCAGCGAGGGTTCACGCTTCTACGCGGTGCTGGTGACGAGTATCCATAGAAGAGTATGGAGAAACCAAGATGAACTTAACAAGAAAACGGTACGCTTGTAGCAACATGATCACAAGCCACAATGACGAATTTTTCACGGACACGATCAGAACCTCATATGAGAGAACGAAAGAGATCAATAAGAGATTCCGCTCTGGATGAAAATAACCAGTGCCGTATCGATTCCTAGAAGGCAATCTAGCAGCCTCTTAAGCAACACAGAGCATCTCGTTAATAAGAAACGAAGTCCTTCGTTATTTGCGGCCTATACTTGTTTGTGTTTTTGGTTGTTGGAGTTAACCAACGAAAAAAGCGGTCGTCGCGCTGACTCAGCCGACCAACCAACGACCAACGGCATCCAATTGCCAACTAACGTCATTTATTGATGAATGAAGCTACAAAATACAAACAAATGATGCATACAGCCTCAATGGGATACCCAACTTGACACTCAGCAATGGTTTCCCCCTGACGTTCAATGGATATGATAGCCCTCCTATCACCACGCTATTCCGATATCAATCGGCAGCGACGATGGGACACATTTTGCCAAACATACCCGTCGGATCATATTTCCCTTTCAGCTTTTGCAATCTACCGGTGTGGATACCATGCATCTGTGAAAAGGATATACCGCTAGCTGCAGTTTCAGGTACTCTTGTCAGCCAGCTCCTTCATACCAGACCCCTTGAACCGCACGGCGAACGAAAGGGAAAATGCATAGGACTTACATTCGGAATAATTGATGTACTGAGGTACCTCATTGGTGGACACTGCGGCATTGGTTTGCTCCCTCTCTTTCAGAAACATCTGTTGCATGTCCCTTCCCCATTGACGGTTGGCCATGTCGTTATTTTTGTTAGTCCACCTACTGCTCAGTAGCCCGTTAAGGGTCACCCCCCGGTTAGCACATGCTGTCGACTCCATGGGCACCTCCGTGCATTTCCTCATATCAAAATATTCGAAAATAACAGCGGTTCCTATCATATCTGGGTCTGCTGCCAGTTTGTCGGCATACTTGTCCATAACGCTGCGTGCAAAGGCTGGTCTCAAGGGATGAGAGAAGCAGAGACCCTGGAGGTTTCGTCTGCCCCCATGTCTAGCCATTTCATTAACCTGTGCATTAACCATGGGGTAGGGCATCATTTTGGCATCATCCATGATGGGACCAAGGGCATATAGATCCCTGAATGCTTCTCTTCCTTCAGTTTCAGTTCCACGATGGAAGATACATGTTGCTACCATGGGTTCAGAAGTGCCAGGCTGCGTCCCAAAGATACACATGGTAGCTGAGTCTTCCTGAGTTTGCTGCATCCTTTGATTAAGAGTGTCAATAATTGCTTCAAGCTTTTCCTGCGGGAAGATCAAAAACCCAGAAAACACCGGGTCCACCTGCTCGTAAACCCGGTAGACAAATTCGACGGCAATGCCAAAGTTGTGGCCCGCACCGCGTACTGCCCAGAACAAGTCTGGTTCCTCCGTAGCGGAGGTTTTCACAATCCGGCCATCCGCTAGGACCATTGTCACTGAAAGAAGATTGTCGATGACTAGACCGTACTTTGCAGACAGCCATCCATACCCACCACCGAGGGTAAGGCCACCAATCCCAGTATGGTTGACAGTGCCCCCGACAGTAGCCAGACCATGTCGAGCACCAGCCTCATCAACATCAACCCAGAGACAACCACCCTGTGCGGTGATCGTTTTGCGATCCACGTCGACCTCGACATGTCGCATAAGAGCTAAGTCAATCACCAGTCCACCCTCAGTTGAGCTTGCCCCTGAAACAGAATGTCCGCCCCCTTTCACTGCTAAATCCAGCTTGTGCTCCTGCGCAAGCTTGACGGCAACGCTAATGTCTTCCACATTAGCAGCAAGCATGACAGCACCCTACCCGACGTTGTCTCGTCAGTTTTTACCCCTTTTGCCAAAAATTCACCGTCATATGCTTTAAAGAGGGCAAACGGTGTCGTATTCTGTCCACTTACTGCGGGTTTGACTGCCGCATCAGACCAACGGGCTATTGCATCTGCATACCCCGCAGAAGAGGGCGTGAGGATCTCAGACGATTTGACCTGAGATTTCAGAATCTCGGTGAGTTCTGCGGAAATGGGGTTCGTGGGGAGAGACATTACGAATAAATGTGGTGTTACGGAGGAGGTGGATGATGCTTCGAGTAGCTAATACTGCTGGTAATGGGAACATTCCCGTCGTGATGTTTCGAAGATCATAATATATGCAAGGCCAAGTCGATTAATCATTCAGTTAACTAGGCTGGCTCGTGTAGGCTGCCCATTAAACGATGTGGCGCATATCATCGTCTACCCGCCCGCTCGGCCAACAGTATAATAATAGTCAATGATACAATACACAGATGTTATCTTTGGCTTTCTATACTTGACAGCGGCAGATGTAACTAACTAATTTTTGGTAGTCATTAACTAGTTAGCTAGTCACCTGCTACTAATGCCTCCCGTCAAACTACTTTAGCTAGCGACCACTAGTTATTCAGTTAAACATCATACACCACAGAATATTCTGACCTGACAAGAACATCAGCATCAACCTCGACCGCAATAACGAGCACAACCATCATCGTATGGCAAACAAGGCAAAGGCTGAGGATATACAACCGCCATGGGACTAACAGGGAGAAACTTTAGACCCGGTGTATACTCATAATGGGCGCAGGCGGCTCCTGGCTCGCTACCAATGCCTTGAACCTCTTCCTGCTCCCTTCACAGGACTACATTGCCCTCTCGACACAGCCACGAAGTTTTAGCCCGTTGAATAACCCAAATGTCGGTAGTATCTGCATGGAGAGTGTGCCTCTTGTCATCAATTGACGAGAGACTCGGGTCACAAGATGGGTGGTTGGTCATCTCGTTCTGCAGCAGAGTCTGGGCTACTTGAGCGAGGTGCTCCAGTGGCCAATGTCCACTACTTACGCGAGCTGCTTCGGCCAGGAAGACAATTGCATGGACGACTATATTCGCTTGCACGCTAATGATGGGTCGAAAGGAGAATTAGGGGTACGGAGTACTCGAGCTCTTCTTTCGCATAGTTACTCCGTACTTAGATACGAAAGTAACTACTCAGTCGACTTGTTAGTTCTGGACCACATCGCAATACGCAAGAACGCACCTCGACCTAGTTATCCGATTGGCACGCAAATGACAGACCATTTCGAGGCTGTCAAGCAATCACTGACACGAATAATCTTTTTGATTAATGTGGTGACTCCCCCAATAAAGTAAGGGGTAAGAGAGCGACGGGCGCCGTTCGAAATGCCCGCCGTTACGGAGTCGGAGCTAGGCATTATTGCTAAGTCCTCCTTGAAATCTGTGCTCCCCCCAAGGCGTGGGAAGACGGAAAACTTCTCTTCTGTCATCGTACGTTCAGTGGCTGCATAGACTGCACGCCAAGCTGTGGATGGAGAGCACTCTTAGTTCGTTTACAAAAGGACCGATGTCATGGCTCATACATCCGACATGCGCCTTATAATTTACAAAATGCGTTCTGCACATGCTCCGCGGACACTGCAGGGTCGCTTAGTTCTGCTGCCACGAGGGACGGCATTAGAGATGCATCTCCAAATCGACTATTGGCAAGGCTTGTCATCCTGCTGGGTACGAATACAGTTGAAGGATTAACTAGGCCAATCACATGGATTTCGGCCTCAAAATCACGGTGATTTTTGTCGCCAGAAATGTGTAGTATTTGATAAATACGCCGTTTAGAGTACCAAGATTGATCCTCTTGACTCCGGACCGTAGCCTTGTTATATTGCTACGTGTATATATGTTCTATGGGGGTCTCTTGCGGGTATAGTCGCCAAAGCTCCAATCGGCACGCACTCAATCCGCGAACCGAGAGGCTAAGAAAGAAACAAACATGCATACTATTACTGCTGGACGGAGTAAGGAGTAAAGGAGAATCCCTTGATTGGAAATGCTCCTAGGATTCGATTCCGCTAGACCGCCAGGATACCGCCCGTAACCTAGGAGTCCCTGTTTGCAGTGCAGTTACCAAGGATTGGAATACGAACGAAGCACCTCCTCCGGGGATGAATCTCGAAATACTTTTGCGCCGGACCCTGGGTGCAGTTGATTCAGGTTCTCGAATCTCCGAACTACCCAAAGATACGGAGTACTTAACATGGAATATGAACGATCTTGATATCGGTAAGGATGGTCGAATTGACCTGTCTTACTCCTGCATAATGCAGCGAAATGAGCTGGGGCAAGCGAAGATGGTATGATATATTAACGAGAGTAGATTGTTGCCCATGTAACTCATGGATTGTTACCAGTTTTACAATTTAGCCAGGAAAAAGGGATACATAGAAATCGCAACATGGACTGTTGCATTTGCATATTCCAGGCCACGCGGATCTAAGATTCGCTTTCGTATGGAGCCTTTCTGGAAACACTCAGATCGCACTTTTTTATATCCCGCAGGGTGGCTGGCCTTCGTGACATGGAGCGGGTCCGTCCTTTCAAGGCCCATTTTTCATTGCATCCCTGCACCTTGCCATTCTTTTCCCAGATGCAGCTAGTTTCTACAACCCAATGTGTCGTGCAATGCTTGAGAGTAAGGATTGGGAGCGTCGTCAGGCGGTGTTGGCAGCAGCAGATGGCACATAAAATGACGGCCAGAATCCCTATCTTCCCTAACCGAAGTTGGTATCTGGACTATTTGTGTGCAACATCTGGGAATCCAAGGACCAAATACCTCAAACATCATGCATTCAATCGCACTCAAAGCAGCCGTGGCTCTACTTGGAGTCTCGACTGTAGCAGGCTTTTCATGGCAGAACAATCGGCTCTGCCTGAAGCTAGCAGCACAGGGCGTTGAAGTCGACTTCCCCAACACAACCGACTATGAAACTGAACAACTGAATTACTGGTCTGCAGCATGCACCGCCCTCCGCCCCGACTGCATCATAGCTCCAAAAAATGCTCAAGACATGGCAAAAGCCGTTGCTGCCATCAAGAAGTCGAATACAACTCGTTTTGCTATCAAGTCTGGCGGACACTCGCCCAATCAGCTTTTCTCCAGCATACACGACGGAGTGTTGATCTCAACCCGAAATCTTAAACAAATCACCTACGATAAAAACACACAGACTGCCGTCCTTGGGCCGGGCTTGAGGTGGGAAGAGGCTGTTGGTGGCCTAAAACAATATGGCCAAACTGTCGTGGGTGGCCGTCTTGGTGGCATTGGTGTCGGTGGTCTTCTGCTAGGAGGTAAGTCTAGCATTTACTTCATACCCATTTAACCATAACTGATATCATGTAGGTGGTCTAAGTTTCCTCAGCAGCCAGTATGGCTGGGCTGCAAACAACGTCGTTAACTTTGAAGTCGTCCTTGCCAATGGCACAATCGTGAATGCAAATGCCAAGTCAAACCCGGGTAAGAACTCAATTGCCAAATGAATACCAATGCTTTCCATTCTAATGATTCACAGATTTGTATGCCGTGATGAAGGGCGGCTCCGGAAATTTTGGAATTGTTACTGCTTTTACCGTTAAGACTCATACTCAGGATCCAGAGGTACCTAACCCCATTATCCAAACTCATTTCAGAGTTCTAACAACACATACTAGATTTGGGGAGGCACTATGTTCATTCAGGAGGCACACAGCGAAGCAGTAACCCGGGCAATCCGAGACTTCGCAGAGTACAATAATGACGACAAGGCGTCCATTATTGGAACCGTCAATCGCAACCCGTCATTGATATGGGTTGTATTCCTGACCTACGACGGACCTTCTCCTCCGGAGATGTATTCCGAAATTTCACTCAGATCCCAGCTATTCGAAATACTGTCAAGAGACAGAGTTATTCATAGCCTCATGCTTGCCAATGATGAATATATCCATCATGGTAGCCGATTCGCTATTAGTGCTGAAACAGCGTCACCCATCAGGCCCGCACGGCTACGATATTTCCAGGTCTTTTTATTCGACCCACTGAACAATGTCACCGATCAGTTTATTGGCATCCCCAGTAGTGCGAGCTCTTTCGTTCTTCAGCCTTTGCCACGATCCATCACCACTAAGGCTAAGGAGTCAGGAGGCGTAAGTTTATATCAATAAATCCTTACTGAAGAAGATAAATTCTAACCTGACTGCCCAAATAGGATGTCGCCGGCTTTGACCCGAAATTCGACTACATGCTAATGCAGATTGCCATTTCATGGAACAGCTCTTCATCAGACGCCGCAATTGAGAAAGCCAACCGCAAATACTATACCCTTCAGGGTGAGATGATAAAGCAATATACCAATGAGGGCAAGCTGCCCAAGGCATATACCCCCCTCTATCTAAACGACCTGAATGCCGAGCAAGACTTCTGGGGACGTGTGGCTCCTTCAACGAGGCAAAAGGCTCAGGCAGTCAGGCGTGCAGTTGACCCCGATCTGTTCTTCCAGGACAGGGCCACTGGTGTGTTCCGACTTGGCTAAAGAAACGAAATCAACCGCAGGGGGTTGGAAAGTCCTCATTTGAACAAAAACCGTGACGAGTCAAATGATCTGCATATTTTCCCAGCATTTCAGGGATCCGTGTACATACAACGTGGCATATTGGACCGAAGAATATGTAAATAACGTGGAAATACATAGCCCATTGGTATTATTCCAAAATGAAATTATATATGGTTATTTATATCTCTCTTAAAAAGAAAAGAAATCGCAGGGGAGTCCAGACTCAGACTGCTACCACATGCTATCATGTTCGGCCTCGACTTTATACAGTCCGTTTTTCCTCTTTTCTGCTTCCCACTTGTCTATCCAATATTTCATCTTCTCACGGCTCTTCACGCTACCAACATTTACCGTGGGAATGATACGCGATATTCGTAATGCACAGCAGAACATCGTCAGCTCGCGAAACGAACTATGTTCGCTATATGGAACACTAAAGCATGCGACCTCATTCGTGCTACCACGCTGTGGTACAAGGTCGTTAACAGAAAAGCGAGGTTTCCATGCTTCCGAATATAGAACCGCAGAGACGGGAGGACTGTCAGTCCGTGTTCCGCCACGTGGACGGTAACTCCAGCCTGTGGGTCTGATGCCGATGATCCTGGAAAAACGTGAGCTGAAGGATTTTAAATACTCAGACAGAGTCTCTGAGCGCATGTCCATTAGGCTGTGCATATGGACTTGGGCATCCAAGGGGTCGGATGTAAGGATGCTGGAGAGTTTATCATCCTCCAAGCACTCGCATATCCGTCTCTTGTTTGGCGAAACATAAATCTTGGAATTCAGGGCGCGAGCAACGCCTAGACACATTCGTTCTTTACCGATGCTGTATGTTCCAATGACAACAAGCAGTTTGCCGCGATTGTGTTGGTCTGACGCGGAGGTTCGGTCCGAGCTCTGGCTATTCGGCAGAAATGGAGTCATGAACCCTGACTTTTTCGTTTGTCCCTTCCCTGCATCCAACGTGGTAAAATAACCTTCGTTTACCCCTGCACACATTTGTGCGCATGCGTTGATAACATCCTGCTGGAACGGGAACGCGTATTTAGGGTTTAGATAAGTCGTATCTAAGTAGCAGACGTCAATCTTCTGCTGGGTTAACTGGCCAGTAAGCGGATCCATGATATTTGGCCGGAGAAGAGGATGGTTTATGTGGGACGAAGATGCTCTGAAATCACCACAGTGAAGGATCCGATGTACCCTTGCATTGTTCCCTTTGCCATTGGGCTTCTCAAAGAGGAAAAGAGAGCTGCCGGGGCAATGGTTTGCGGTAATCATGGTCACACTCGCTCCATCAGTGCCGGGTATCTCGGTTTTTTGCTCGAATTCAAGCTCAACAACCATATCTGCTTTTACATTTATCTGTTGTTTGACCAGGTTTGCAGTGACGCTACTGCAATAAATGGGTCCATGAGACCAGGACGATGTAAGTCCACCGTAGTGGTCACTGTGATAGTGACTCAGAAAGTATGCACTGCACCCCTCGATGGCACCATACCTAAAAGCATCTACAGTTACGGAAAATCCCGGTAGAATTTTGTAAAATGGACATGTCCGCTCGTATGCCTGCTTTCCCCGAGATGCTTCTTCACGAGAGGCTGCCACACTCCACGCAGTGCCCTCTTCGTTTGCTGACATAATTTTCGTGAAGGCAGACGCGGATAGTGAGGCTGAAGAAAACGAGAAGGGATCCTTCTGTCCGGGTCGAGGGATTTCTTTCTTTTTCATGCTATTCAAAACACTTGGAGGATGCTGCATGGGTTGGGTATCCTTTGTTATTGTGGCGGTCGTCGCAGAGTTGCCGTTATTGCCGTCCAGACAGTCATTTACATGCAGCGATGCTTCCTGAATCAGCATTAATATCATTGATAGGGTCTTTTTCTATGAAAGCAAGTAAAACTTACAGAATCCGACAAGCCACTAAGAGTAGTTTGGCATACTGGGCAGACCGTCACCTCGTCATCAGAGAGAATCTCAACTAAGTCGCCCAAGTCTTCGTTCTGTACGAGGCTTGATTCCTGTTCATTTGAAGCAACGCAGCCCGGATCAATTTTTTTCTCTGCCCCATTGGCTTGCAGACAGCCAGAGCCATCGAATTCTTTGTCGCCTGGCAACCCCACAACTGAAGGCCGAATGATTGACAGTGTGGCGGGATGCCGAATTTCAAGATCTGTGCCAGTTTTTGAGTCTCCTGTATCAACACCTAAAGGGTTTATATCATCATCGCTATCGGAATCGTCCACAAAGGGACCATGACGGGTGGTTGCTGGAGTAGGCGACGAGTTCTGGCACTCTAGCCGCTGTGCTGCCCGACCTGAAACTGGCTCGCCCGCATCATCTAGAATAGTAACAGAGACAGCACATTCAGAGGCGTTAAGCTCTACCGCGCTGGCTCCATCGCTAGTCCTACGTCTCTTCACTGATGCAGGACTCTCATTATACCTATCATCTTCTTGATAGTTGTTTCCGGCGGAGTTGGATAGTGAGTGCCAAGGAGTATCTGCTGCCTCGTGCTTTTCATCAGAGCAGGATATACCGTTCGTCTGAGGTTCCGCATTCGAGTTACTGGGGGTTTCATCCTCGAAAAATAGCCCACCTGAACTGTCATCAGTTAAGCCTGGCCGTGGATGGCCCCGCCCATTCCCTCTGCTTCTAACCCCAAATTCTGTAATTCGTGGCTGCGTAGATTTAGGGGGAGTGTCGGATTTCTTAAAAAAGTTCAGTATACTTCCATTCCGTTTTGGTGCCGGCTTATTCGGAACCGTAGATAATGGAGAAGGCCTTTTTGCTGTTTGACCATTTGGACGAAAGAACGGCGAAGTGAGTGTTGGTGGCATATTGACAGCAGCCGTGGCGAGAGGGTTATATCTAAAAGCTTAAAGAGAACTAAGGAGAAATAATGTGCTTCATGAACTGGGGAATATCTCGCCGTCTGCGCCCAACTCCATAAGGCTTCATCTTCGTGATTTTCATGGCGAAGTCGAACTTCTTGGAATTTTTTATCTTATCGAGAAGCGCGAAAAACGCGAAGCGCGAGATCACGTGGGTAAAATCGATTTTAATATTACCTAAGCGGCTATTTTGGGAAGCGCCAACACAGGTTGTTGTTCTCGTCTCTCAATTCAGTTCACGATTTAAATCTATACAGTTGGGCACTATTATGTCTGTAATTAGGCCTACAAGGTAGACGACAATTGACATGGCGAACTGTGTCATTAAAAGGGGCATTTTTTAGTATATCATTAAAATGCCCTATTGTAGATTTGGATCCGGTGGAGGGAAACGCACTTAAGAGAGGAGTTCATATGCCCCTCCCCGAGCAAAGTTATGATGTCGGCCATAGTTCATACTCGAATGCCGAGACCACCATAGTCCAAATACAAATGCGGTAGCATTCCCACCATTCAGGAATTTCCTCGCATGGACCTACAGCCCACCGGTTTTCAAGCTATTTTAAGTCTCCTCGCTCCATTACCGCGCCTTATTCGCTTGGTTTGCTGCCTCTGCATAAATGCATCAGCATAATTCCAAATTCAATGGGGAAGCTTCAGATAGTCTCATACCTCGTCTGGTTGCGTCTTCTAGTAGGCCGGTATCAACTTCAGACTGTGGCAGTACAATATATCTCACCACACTTCCTCGAATGAAAACATTGCTGACGCTGGAAAGATGCGGGTACTCGTTCAAGTCGAGGACTTCGATATCGTCTAGTTTGATGTTCAAATATTGATCCACACTCTTCAAAGTGCCACGAATCCGTATATCATTTTTCAGTTCGATCGTCACGGTGCGGTTCGTAAGGGTCTTGAAGAAGCTAGTTAAAAGAGTCAGTATTACTCAGGTTAGGAGGAGAAATTGCAGTTAATTTCCGCAAACGCCCTCGGCACGGCCAGGAAGCGCACAAGTCAGCTCACCTGAAGAATAACATTTTGGGTGGATGACTAGGGTTGAGGACTTATAGCAAATTCAAAGAGTTATGAGCTATAGCGCTCAATTTGAATCAGTCAAGTGATGTGCATGGAGTGTTAGCAAGCTTGCCTCGTTCTTGTTCCTCTTTACTCCAAAAGGCGCCCTCGTTGTTTCTTCGATATCGCATTTAGTGGTGAACGGGCCAAATATATATCACGTGATTATATGACTAATATTATTATATGATCTTGTGAAATGCTTAATCAGCCATTTCTTATCCCGATCATCGAGATTTCGACAACAATCATGAGCAGGTCATGATGTCTATTATACGAGCAAGGGAGCAGAGAGCAGAGAGCAGATAGCCCGATGATAGTCAGCCGGCCTGAAAAACTTCTACTGGAATGAATGGAGGAGTCGCGGAGCAGTTGATTTATCCCGCCCCATTCGGCACATACCGGCAACAGGATAATGCGAATAGGCTACACCTGGTACACTGCATATTCAAAGGCATTAATACATTGACTATGCTAAAAAGTACTAATACTGCTAAGGAGAGGCGGCCTGTCACTCTCACTGACTATATGATTTGTTCCACATGATTAGTCCAAAACAGATTGACAAGGACGAGAAAGCCAACGGAAAATGGGGTATCCAAATCAAAATAGATGCTGGAGAAGACATGAGTAGGGATTGTTGAATGACATGAACTGAGAAAACATGTAAGGATCGTACGAGCTTCTGCTCCATCATCAGTATGAGCGTGAAGGCTTCATAGCCCAACCGCTCAGGCACCTCCATCCGGCTCCAGACTTGCGCCCTTCATCAAAAACACCATTCATCTCTTCAAGCAACCTCTTCTCATCACGGCCCATCTCCATCTGTAGCTTAAGTACCCATTGCTCCCACATCCACCCAACAAGTAGCCCTGTGATGTTTGCCACATCGGCGGTGCTTCCTATATCGCCAGCACTATCCATGTTCCTGCTGCCAGGGACTTGAGAGGCATCAGTCGGAACGGTGCCCATTGGCATGAATAGCCATGCACGCTTTATAGAATTAAAGTTTGACTTCTTCAGTTTCCAGAGGAATGTTTTTGTAGGGTTTGGATCATACCCACGAGTCTTCAGGTTGAACGCAAACTCGACGGAAGTAGCGGAGTTATATGGGCCAGCACGAACGATGTCAGAATCCATAAGGAAGAACTCGAGATATCCCTTGGGCTTTAAGCACCTGAAACATTCCTGCAAGCAAAGCTCAAATTCGTCGACTTTTTCACCGTTCACCATGATATTTCGGGTAGACCGGAGAAGCATGTGAAGCGTTCTAGCAGAAATCAAGTCAAAGTGGTTGTCGGGGAATGGAAGCTTCCAAAGGCTCGGGGCTAGCACACATTGGTGATTTGGTGGACCTTGGATGGCCATATCCCTTGATTGCTTCTTGGTGACGACCGTGTATACCCTGACGCTGGGAAACTCTCGTGCGACGAACCAAGACCATTCACAGGAAGCTTGGCCTCCCAGATCAAGCACTCTGATTCTGCGCTTGACAGAACTCTGCGGGCCACCTTGAGGTACATTTGTCTTTGCAAGGCGCTTGGCTGCAGGGCTGGGGATCAATCGGCCACCGTTGATATATTTGAGAGCATCTATCACCCAAAGAGAATCCTGGACCTGAAGCAGGGCATCCTGTTCCTTTTCCACATCATTGTACATTTTTTTGTCTGCAATGATTTGAGGGAGGACAGAGTTTCGAGGAGCTTGTGAAAATGGGCCTTTGTAGGGCGGGCGAACGGGGTTGCTGAGCTCATATTTGCCCGCAAGTTTGTCTACATGCTTTTCGCGCATGGTTAGGCGGGAAACTTGGAGCGCTTCGTATCGGAAATTGCTATGAAGGAAGGCGTCCCTGTTGCAATTTCTGCCCCTTGTGCGCATGAAATGCTGAAATCCACGGTAGAAGATGGAGTTTACTGCAACTGGAAGGGGCGGAAGTGGAGTAGATGGCCCGGACTGACTTTCAGAGGATTCCTCAGGGATGGTATCAAGGAAGCGAACCGTTTTTGTAGTGCCGAGAGTGATATCCGGGACAGTCAGGGTATTTTCATTGATGGGAGTGACCGGTGTCTCCTTTGGGCTGTTGATGGGGTTTGTCTCGCTCAGTGCCGCCATATATTGAGTTTGTGCCGTTAGCCAAGTGCTGGTACGGTCAAGGCTCTGCATTGCGCGAGTCTGTAAACCCTCCTCATAGGATTCATCGTACTCGGAAACCTCGTCTTGCTGCTTCTCGCCAGTGTCGAGCTTCAGCACCAATTCGGAAACCTCTTCAGGGATCTTTCTCGCAGTTTGAGGAGCAGAGCCAATTATCCGCTTAGCAGTTGGAGGGCCCTCAGTGGCATCATCGTCGTCATCCATATAACTATTTCGATATTCCACAACCTGTTCAATCACACGGCCCTGGGGACGAGCATTCCAGGGAAGGTCATAGAACCTTTCCGCAACAGCGGACGTGGGGACATTGCTGGTTGGAACTAAACTCCATGTTTTTCGAGCCTGTCGATCAAGGGAGGAAAAGAATCCACCAGGCGATGGGATGCTTAGACTTGTGAATGAGGAAGCGGAGCTCACGGAAGCACAAGCAGCATCGTTCATGCTCTTAGGACGAGTATCAGGGAATCCGGTGTATTGGTTCATTTCAGACGGGTCGTTTACAGAAGAGGCAGATGAAGCGTTACTATCCTCCCCTAAAACTCGGATATGCTGTAGTGTCTCCATGGCAGCAGATGAGAGTTGAACACCTTCCAAGGATTGCTCACTTTCGTATCCCGCTTCGTCCTCGCTTTCCGGTGCTTTACCAATCGGATAATGAGTTGGGATTTTAGGGAATCGGTCCAGAACAAGGCTCCAATCCTCAGGTTGTTCAAGTTGAATATCGATCTGAGGACTCATATCAGAACTTGCCGATCTAGGGTCTCCTGCTCCCTCTGAGTCTGACTGAACACGGAGCTGCTCTTCATCCCAGTCCACATCAGGCACAGCCGCCAAATCTGGAGTCTGCGGTGCACTAAGGGTCGATGGTCTTTCGGAGGCTGCACTGCCTGCCAAAGATGGAGGTGCATAGAGAGCCGGGACAACCCCAGAAAGTCGAGACAGGACCATGGGCGATAGAGGAATTTTTGGCGGAGGAGTGGGAGGCACGGGCGAGTTCTTGTGCTGCTGGTGAATGGTATTAAAAGTGGGCGGCGGAATCATGATGACAGGATACCTGTTCCGGCGTCCTCCCTCCCGGTTTGTTCCTGTTGACATACGGTTTGATGAGAGCGTGTACGAAGCAGTGCTGGAGCGGGTGTCGCCGTGGCTGGATAGTGAAGGGCAGCCATCCGCATCTGAATCATCCATCGATTCGTCCGTGACATCGTAAAGGTCGTCATAACTGATTCTCCGTTGCGGCACAGCCGACTGAGACTTCGAGACCTGCTCGAAGAGATCGAATGACGCAGAGATATTAGAGGTAGACATACTGGTCAACAGTGCTACCGTTATGTTAGGTATTGACAAGATAAAAAAAGAAAATGAGAGTAAAGATGCCTCCGGGTATCAAGTGTATGCCTGTATTAGTGCAGTGCGACCAGCGCGATTAGGAGATAAGAAAATTACAAAGATTATAGAAGTTGGTAAAAGGCCTGATCAACAGGTATGAACTGCGGAGAGCGAACTGAAGTTGTAGATATTGAAGGAAACGACGAGTGCGCTAGTCCGCTGCATATATGTAGTAAGTACTCTCGAGCGGAGAGTCTAGCGGGGACGAAGGCCAGCTTCGTGCATCAATAGGAAAGTTATACATAGCAAGATCCAACCGCCGCCAACCACACCAGCCCATCCTATGCCTGAATATCATGGGCGGTTCGCAGAGTTTCCACTTGCCGGGCATCGAGCACTTTTGGCTATGCTTTATACCGAAAGCGGCTTAGCCTGTGATGGACAGTGCATGAAACTTGCTTCCTATTGGCTGAGGCCCACTCACACTCTTTGGCTCCTTCCCACAAGCATAAAACCTCTCTGGCCAATTAAACATCGTCAACAGACGGGAAATAATGGGTCTGGCCTTGGCCTGCGTGGTCGTGCACGGTGATTGGGAGTTATTTTTAACCCAGTCGACATTCGCATCGCTGCCGCTGAGCAAGGGTCCTATTGAGGAAGACCTGCCCAATGACACGGAGATTCGGCCATATCGAGCAACGCATGACTTCCTTGTAAGTGGCCTTCATTTTTGCCATCGACTTCATTCTCTTATGCACTGCTTCCTGAAGAATGCAGGGTTTTTCATGCCCAATGGAGCAATGCTGCCGTGTTCTTCAACTTCTATGCAACCGCTGACGATAAATACACTTTCAGGGTCCATCTGTTCGCATTGACAAATTTCTCTATCTATCGATGGGAGGCGGCGGCATGATCATTCTAGCCGTAGAGCCGGAAAGGGTGGCTTCGATTGAGACGGGAAGGCTCTTACAAGGCGCTCACACATTCACTTGCTAGTCACTCATGGCATTACATAGGTATATATAGTATTGTCTCATACAGATAGTCGAAAGAGAAAGAAAAAAGAACATTAAGAAAAAAAAAAGAAAACTCCCAGCCATACCAAATGGTACACGGCTGGGGAAGATCACCAATATAATATAAATATTATATAATAACAGCGAGGAAGGAGGATACGAAGCCTCAAAAATAGCAAAGTGATGAACAGCCCGCGATAAGCGATAAATCCTGAGACCTAAGATTTAAAAGAAACTGTGAGATTATTCCACTGCACTGTAGCCAGTGATCACTCCAGAAAAAGATCAAATCATAAAAACTGTTGGTGGAGATATGCAGCAATCTCCATCCAATGTAAATGAGCAATAAAGCGATTAAACAAGATACATAAAACAGACAGGAAACGAGAATGGTAAAAAGAACAAGTTGGAATCGAAACCAAGTCAAATCGTAGATCAGATGCTCTACGGTATGACAGGAAAACAAAACAAAGCAGAACAGACGACGAGAACAGCACTGGCTGGCTGATCGTCTGTGCATAACTAATGATAAAATGATGGGTCATAAGTATTCATGATACCTTGACCCATTGGGATATACCCTCCTCCAAGAGCGGCCGGGTGGCTGCCATCACTCCAATCGAACGGAGTAGTGGCAGCAGTGAAGTCATCGAGGCTGAATGGCATGTGAGGTGAGAGATCGAACTCTGGTTGATCGATATTGGTTGCGCACGGATCGAATTTGGCACTGATAGCTGGGGTGGCCAACTGCTGTTGTTCTTCAGCGACGGTTGTAAATATATCGCTCACGGCGGCAATGGTGCTGCCACATTCGCTATCGCTAGTGCTGTTGTGGCTTGCGTCGGAGGTACGGCGAGGTATTTGTGGTTTTTCAACGGCACCAGTAACATCATTATTTGTTGGGTTGGCGATGACTGAAGTATTGTCGAGAACAATCTCGTCCTGCTGCACCATCCAGTGCTTGAGGACATCCATGGGTGGGTGGGTACCGCCGCCCTTTCCCCCACGTTTCTCGCTGTCTTTGCCTCGCCCCCCACGACCACGCTGGCAGGGGTTGAAATGTGTGCGACGCAAGTGGGCAGCTGCATTATAATTGGCACCGTACCGTTTTTGATTTCGGCAGGCCTTGCAGTTGGCAAGAAATTTCTTGTCAGGTGATATATCGACACAGATCCACACTTTGCGTATCTGAGAATGAGATCGATCGATGTGTCTTCTGAGTTCATGTTCGCCGTGGAAGCCCTCGGGCTGCTCGTTACACATTGTGCAGTATGTCTTTTGACGAGCAGGTCGTTGAACCGAAGCTTTAGGTATCATAGCGACTTCGCGAGATCGACCGTCAGCCGCCGGAATGTTGATCTTCCGGTGCTCAGTCACTGCGGGCTGAATACCCTGTTTCTCAGCAGCCTTAGGCGCAATCTTTCGTGTACCTTGCACGATCTGCTCATGTGTCCTCCGCAGAGCCCTTGAGTTGTTCGAGCGAGAGGACTCTTGACTCTCGCTCGATAGAGAAGGCTTCATCTCAGTAGATGAAGCCGACGACGAAGAATGCAAAGAAGAGGAAGAGCGGGTACGGGAGGTAGATAGGGAGGAATGAAAGTGTCCAGGCCCGTACTCGGGCAAGGACTGAGAAAATTGAACATGAGTCATGTTACTGTCAGAAGGGGCTGGGGTAGAGGGCATAAAGGAAAGGGGATAGTTTGTGTCATTGTCTTTTTGTAATGACGGGGCAAAGAAATTTGCTGATGACTGATCTGGAAACTCCAGATTGTTGGAAACCGATCTGTTCGAGCCGAACCTGATCATGTTCATTCCTCCACACAATGAGTCAGTAGTAATACTACGATTCATCTCCGCACTGAAGCCAGAGGGGTTTGTTACGACACAATCCGGTCCAGAAGAGACCGCCTCTTGGTGCTGCGGTGTCTGCGTGGAGGGGCTCTGATCAAGTGAGGTGTTGGGAGTTCCATTCGTCGAAGCATCGATAGGGGCAGGAGTTCCATCCAGAAACTTTTGGTCGAAGAGATCAGGCGTAAAGCTGTGGAGCTCCGGGTTCAGTTCAAGGAGGTCAAGGCCAAAAGGAGAGTTCGATGCAGTAGACGTTGGCAGGAAGAACGCAAGGCCAGCAGTTGATTCGTCAGATTCTTGGGCAGTGTTGGTGGGTAGAAGCGCATCGATCTCGGGAGAAGAGTTGCCAGTCCTTGAAAGTGGCGGTGAGTACCGCGGGATCCGTGAAGGGGACGAGACCGAATGTTGTGGGAGAGGTCTAACGCAGCTAGAGGAGTCCAAAATAGGTTCCTGGCTCTGTATGCTTCATGTTAATCCTAGATGTCTGTAGAAGACAGTTGGAGGGGAGAGGAGATATTTTGACCAAGAAATCGGATCACCTACGGTAGCTCGTCGTTTGCTCGCATGGCGTCCGGAGGTTGAGCTGGGGTTCATGTCTTCACAGCTTCGTTTCGCAGACAGGCCTGTCGTCTCATCCACGCTGGGTCCCTTGACGTGAGTGTAGTTGTGTTGCTGCTGCTGATTTGGCGTGGTCATGAATGGTTCCAAACGTTGGCTCCAGAGTTGCTCTCGATGTGACTCTGGGGAGTAGGAGTGCTGTTGCCAGAAGATGTCTCTAGAGGAGGAGAGCACCGTGTCGAACAGCTCGTCACTGTTAAGGGACAGAGCCATGTCGAGCGAGAGAGAAAAAGGCGGGGTGGGAGAAAAAGTTGGGATGACCAAAGATAATAAACCAAACACAGTCCGTCCGTGGCTCACTGGGGGGTTCCTCGTCAAGGCCAGTAGACCAGAGATGTGTTCCCGGAAAGGGCTATATCAGCCTGTGAGTTATGTGTAGCAAACCTGAGGAGGGTCACCGGTTAGTACTCCTACCCCGTCGCATATGTACACTTTGTGATAGGCAAGGAAAGGGAGGCCAGGGCAGGGTAGAAATGAAATATAAAACCAACGTTATTTTGAGCAGCAGGATAGCCCTGGGCAAACTGGGTAGAGAGTCCTGAGTTGTTGTGTCTGACTCCTAAACAAGCAGAATCAGTCCCAGGGGGGTATTATTGGATATATGCAGATGCAGCAGCAGGAGCAGCAGCAACAGGAGGGGACCGATAAGATAATGAGGGCGAAAAAGGAGAAAGGGAGACGAGGAGGACGGCGGACGGAGGACGCGGAGGCTTTAAGACAGCCAGCAACACAGGCTATACTGGATTCGGGGATGCTGCACGCCCAAACACGAGCAGCCCAATGAACAGCCCATCACCCGCTGCAGGCCCTTGCTCTCCAGCAGTGGACAACTCATCGCCTGGTGGGCGCACAGCGAGGCGGCCTATCGGAAAGGCAAAGCAGCGCCGCGCAGCCACAGATCCCCTTGGCGTACATCTCTATCGAAAAAGCGATCCCGTGGACTCGTGCAGCGCCCAAGACAGCCATCACCAGCCCGTCCTGCGCGTCCTGCCCATCGTCACACCGGGGTCACAGGCCCAGCAGCAAATAAAATATGATCTCGAGACGGCGGTTCTTGCGGTGTTTTGGCTGAGCATCTCGCAAAATACGAAACGTCGTTCACATGCCCGAAATAGGCAATGCCCAGTCACGTGATATCACTTCTGCCCAGGTGCCCGAAGGCGACGCGGCCCCCTGAGACGGATGTGCCTGTGGTTATCACTATTGACGATTATTGCTGACTATGGCGACGGCGATAGGAAGTAGATAGGGACATCCGTGCATACAGGACGGCGTCTGGCTTTTGCCTCCCGCTGCGAAGTCGGAGGCGTCTTTCTCTTGAACAGCTCAGCTCCACAGAGTTGGTAGTAGTAAGTTCATCAGAAAGCCCCTGAATAACTAATATGGAGCACTCAGTTACGGGAACAGCCGTTGAAGCTGTTGCATCGAGGTAAACATAATATACTTGTTCATGTGCTGTGCACGAATAGAACGTTGAGAACGGTAACGGAGTACCCGTAGCATATATGTGACTGCACTTTATGGTTGTATGTACTTGATGGGTGTGTCTCGTGATGGTAATTATTATTATAATTAGTCGGATAAAAGGGAGAAAAGGGGCAGCCCAGCTTGGGACAGCATCATACCGCTTCTTTCTCAGGAGCTTGATGGTGCATCCTTTGCCTCCGTGGTCGTTGCACTTAGGCCAGCTGTGGATGATACATCTCCTTCGTCCTTTTCTTGTCCCGGTTTCGAGCCGTCGGAGTCCACCGCAGCTGTAACCGGCTGCTGCTGCTCGTCACCCTTTGCATCTTGGGATGCTCCAGCCAGTTTCTGGGTCTCTTTTTTTTCTCCTTCGGTCGGTTTCTGTTCCACTACCGTCTTTCCTTCTGGTTTCTCGCCCTCTGATTTGTCTTCTTCCTTCTCTTGTTTCTCTGTCTCCTCCTCGAGTCCCGTCTGCTGAGATGGCTCTTGGTCAGTAGACTTCTTCTGTTCCGGATGTTTCTCCTTCAGTCCCACTTCATCTGGCTTGCCCTCTGGCTTTGTCTCTTCCTGTTTCTGATCTTCCGGCTTCTTCCCTTTCCCCTCGACCTTCTGCTCTTCGGACTTTTGCAAGGGTGACTGAGGCTTTAACCCCAGTCGTGCCCGCATGTTCTCCTTGGCCTTTGCTGCAGCCTCCTCGCTCGCCTGTCGCAACGCAGCTGGCATATTCTCACTATGCTGTTCGCCTGACGGAGTCCGCGAAGGAGTATCCCCTATCCGTATATGGGGGGCCGAGGAAGTGGTCTTTGGAGGTGCAGCTGTTGTTGTCGGTGCTGTTGCTGCTGTAGTGGGAGCTACAGCCACCGTCTGCGGTGCCGACTTTGAGGCGTCATAGGGTGACAGGGTTGCAGCTATCTGTGCTTTCAGTTCACCGTATTCATTCCACTCTTCAATTTGGTCCAGATCCTATAGATTCCAACGCGTCAGTCACCGACTTCGACAGTAGCAGCTTGCAAGAGAAAGAAGGAAGGACCCCAGGGGAAAGTGATGGGAGGCGTGAGTTGCTGGAACTAACCCCAACTATACTGGCGTATCTGACCAGCCCAGGTAGTTTTCTGCCTTTCGACCTCCGACCCCATATCATGCGTGCTTTCTCATCTGTGGCAACATCGATCGCTCGGAAAGGTATCTTGTTTGCTTTCAGGATAGTTTCCAGCCTTGAAGTTGCTGTGATGATGTGGGATGAACCAGCTGTCAGAGAGGTATACAGGAATAGCGTGGGGTCGGTGGTGTACGAGGTTGGAGGATTGCCCGCCATGTTGGCCGTAGAACCTTGGAATTTCTTTGCAGGCCTTCTAGCTAGATTCACGATGAGATGACAGTTTGACAAGCAGTAGTCGACGTAAGGAACCGCCAGGTAAGGTCGTAGAATATCACTGTCTCAGTGATTATAATATATTAGCTCCTTTATCAGGGGGCGTCTGCTCGTTTACGCCGTCGCCGTTGGGCGGTTTCGAGGATAAAAAATAGGCCGCCCCGGTAACTAAGTTAAATAGTCTCACGCCAGGCGCTTCACTCGACACAAAAGATGCAGAGTAACGAGAGCTGTAGATGGAGGTTGATGTCTCTACACGGCCTCTTGAGCGACAAAAAGGCGTTGTCTGTTTATATCCATCGCATTGCAGAAGGACGCCCGGGCGCCCAGGGAGTCACGTTACTCGTTGGTCTGGAGTTAACTACCCATTCACCGAGCCAACGTCATAGCCAACTCGGTATCTGACCGTTAAGAAGAGCAACCCTGGGCTTTTCAGAGACACAGAGAGGCGATATTCTAGCAAACGGACTGATGGTGAAGTCGTTTGACTGAATCTCTTTAGATCGAGCAACCGTTTCTGCTCAACATATCTTTATGGCAGGGCATATTGAAGTAGGAGTCATCCCCAATGTACCAATCGACACCTATGGAATGCGAATGAATAGGCTCGCCCTCTGTTCATGGCGCCATATATGTATATATATCCCTTCACTGTATAACTAATTGCCTAGTTATATAGTCCTGATCAAGCCAACTGGATACCCTGCGCTTATATCTCATAATACTTAAACTATTGCTTTCACCATTGCACGTTCCCGCTACCATGATATCTATATCGCGACTCCATAGGCCCCTATTAGCTACCTTGATATCGCCCTTGTCTCTAAAATTTGCTGCCATACGGCCTCAGGAAAGCTGTCACCGCATTACACTCTCCTTCACCAGCGGACCGTCAATCATGAGCATGTCAACTAGCAATACTAGACGATCTATTACCTTAGCTACAGTCTTCATTCCTACCACCGAGCCGAAAGAAGCACTGAAAGTAGGAGCAGATCTAGTTAGCCAAGCGGGGAGACACTACTGCATCAATCGAATTCTCCAGCACAGGACACAACCCATCTTGTCATGTGTCTATCTGGCTACGTATGTATCGGAAGCAAGTCCTTAGTTTTATCCCTTATACTGCTAACTGCTCAAATGCTACCAGAGCCAAGGATGGAAAGAAATATGTTGCAAAAAAAACATCGTTCACACTGAATTCCAATACCAGCTGGGCCTACAAGCTCCTCTTATAGGTTGTCATAACCTAAGAGTTGTGATAGACACTGTTCCTGGACATCTTTTGTTCATGTATGACTTTTTTAATGAAGATCTACTTGATCTAGCCCGGAACGATAATCTTTCTTATGCTGCTAGAAAGAGGATCTTGCGTGAGGCGTTGACTGGACTTGCCGCTTTACATGAACGGGGCATCCTGCACGGTGGTAATTGAACTCCGCCCTTAACTAGTTACTTGGTTGACTAGCTAGCGTTGCTAAAATGGCTTTTGTATTAACTAACCATTCCATTTAACTTTGCAAGACATCAAACCAAACAACATATTTGTCGACTATGACCTGTCTGATGGTGCAATCAAAGTAAAGAGAACTCAAATTGGTGACCTAGGGATGGGCTCGATGATTCCCCCTGGCCTAAATGTGCGTGGCGCCCGGCTTGGAAATCCTATGTGGCGTAGCCCAGAGTCCCATGCCGCCGCCCGTATAAATACCCCATCTGACATTTTCTCCTTTGGCCTTGTTGTGAGCGACTCTTCAAGTTACCTCATTTACATACACCGAAATATGCTAATAGTTACCCCCAGTGCATATATGCCATGTTCCGAAAGAATATTTTCCGCATTGATGAAGACATTGAAAGCGATTTTGAGAAAGAGCGGATCATAGCCAAGCGCTTGCTCTCTCACTTTGGGGACGCTCCCAGCCTTATTGGATTCCTAGAGCATTTAGAAGATGATTCTGCCCAGTGGCGAGATATTGTTGTGGCCGTTATTGATGAGTTTACATCGGAGAACCCACGAAAACCATTTTCGATGTGGGAGGGCGTCGAAGAGCCCTTTCGGGATATCATTAGCAAGATGACAAGTCTTGACCCTACGAGAAGAATAACAGCAAAGGATGCGCTTGAGCACCCTTGGTTTTGTAATATATTAAAGTGAACGAAGTAGAACTTCGTTTTACTACACATGTACTATATATACATATACCACTGGTTCTCAGCCCTACGGCGTGGAAAGGAAGGCCTTAGGGGCAATATGGCCATTTTTCAAACTTTGACTTTTCTGTATAGGCAGCGTGCCATCTAATCTTTATTTATATAAGTTCTCAACATCCATCCAAGGCGAAATTTTAAAGGGAGTATATAGTCCGAGCAATTTTAACTATTATCATAACTCATAGTAAACGTATTCCTAAAAACCAGAGATGTAATACATCTTTAAGTCGGAAAAGGAGTGATCCAGTTTTATAGCTATATATCCGCCATCATCCGAACATCTGCGGTATCTGCAGCTATATTCAACTGTATTCAACTACCAGCTTTTGCTTTCGTCTGATCTTGGTGTCTATAGAAAGATGATGATAAATCAATACAGGTTGACATTTAACCACGTCATATGATTTATTTGGCTGACTAATACACGTTGATACCCCCACTACCCCACTATCTCTCCTCCAGGATCAAAACATTCAACAAAAACAACTTCAACTTCCAGCTTTCGTTTTCACTATCAATCCACAGTCTCCAGACAGTTCATACAGTTCGTTCAAGATGGGCCCACCAGCAATTATTGCTCCCTCGATTCTCTCTGCCGATTTCGGCTCTCTCGGTGCAGCATGTTCCGGTTTGATGAAGGACGACAGCGACTGGATCCATGTTGACATTATGGATGGTCATTTCGTGCCAAACATCACCTTCGGGCCTCCGGTTGTCTCGAAGATAAGAACTCACGTCCAGAGACCGACTTCTGCAGGCGGAAAGGGGACGTTTGATTGCCATATGATGATCGCTGAGGTACGTACGCCCTTCCGTTTCCACCGCATCCAGTTACCCCAACTATGTATGACCTGATAGCTTACTGTATTGCAGCCTCAAAAATGGGTCAAAGAGTTTAAAGACGCCGGATGCGACCTATATTGCTTCCATTACGAGGCGGCTGTCAAGTCTACCGCTGCCAAGGAGCCCTCGGATAACTCGACGATTGCTCAGACAAGCCCGAGGGAGCTAATTCGTTATATACATGAACTAGGCATGCAGGCAGGTATTGCCATCAAACCAGAGACCAGCGTAAATGTACTCTGGGAGATATTAGAGAATAAGGAGGAAATCGAGCGACCAGATGTAAGAATACTTCCTTAAGCTCTCGAGTAGGAAGTCTGTCCGGAGACCAATCCTGCTAACATAGCACATATTAGATGGTTCTCGTCATGACCGTTAACCCAGGCTTCGGCGGCCAAAAGTTCATGGCTTCTGAATTACCAAAGGTCCAGGCCTTGAGAGCCAAATACCCAGACATGAACATCGAGGTCGATGGTGGGCTGGGCGTTGGAACTATAGACCAGGCAGCCGATGCGGGTGCAAATGTCATCGTTGCTGGATCCGCCGTTTTTGGAGCCCAGAACCCCGCAGAAGTAATTGCCAAACTGCGAGAGGCGGTTGAAAAGCGAAGAGAAACTTAGAGGGGTTTGTGTCATGCCTCCTAGGCGAGGTTGAAAATTTCCCTGGCACTATAACCGTACTTTTTTGCAATGCACCCTACGCCCGTTAGCGTAGATCATGTCCCACATTGTGACGATTCACGATCCCAGCATTATGCAACTGAGATATGGAAATATCCACATGGATAACTAACATATCTAGCAATCGGCCGTTCTGAATTCCCTGTATATACCTATCAACGCGCCATATATACAATATATATTTCTAATGTCTAGTGCAATCTAGCTGCATATTATCTGTGACGCGGCAAATCTTATGCAGCAATCAACTGCTAGGGAAAATTGTCATATACCCTGACTACTTCAGCATTACATGTACCCAGCCGGTAGCCTACCATCTCAACACGGCGAATGGCGAATGACAGATAGCCTTTTCCGGTTTCTCCTTTGAGGTAGCCTATTGAACTGCGGGTATGATGATCAATCCTAATGCAGGCATGCTCTCTGAACCCTGAAGTATGCTGCAGGGGATTTATGCTATCTTTTTATGCAATCCCTTATGTGCATTCGGCAAAGGGCTTCCGGATATACTCCGTACTGCCCTTGGGAATATTCAGCCACATTTGACTCACTAGATATCTGCAGACGTAAGTCTCTAGATGTTCCAGAGTCAAATTCCTCCACTTCTCGGCCAGTTCTCCGCACCCATCTTTCAACACCATCATAAGGCATGACAAAACAAAAGCAACTATCCATTCGATGGCGGAGGGTCCACAGAGTCCTCAAAGCTTGTTGGTTCTCGTATCTCTGTCCATGATCCTACGTTAATCAACCTCTTACACGAGAGTCTAGAGACTAATGTTTAGAGTATACCCACTAAGGTATTATTTGCTAACTTCCCAGCCTCGTGGCCAACGGCATCCGGGAAAATCCCGTAACACTTTAAAAAAAATGTTGCCAAGTAGTGCTGCTCTGCGTGGCAATCAACAGACATGATGCTAGCTGAATCCTTCATAGGCATTTGCATCTGCAATTCCGTGCATGGCCGCGTGCAAACAGGGCTTCAGCCAGGTTGCTTACCCCTTGAGCGAACTTGCATATTCCCGTTCGATTTCTAATGGATATATCAGTGATTGACCAGGGCTCAAACAACTTGAGCCCTGCTGCATGCGGGTAGCCTGCACGCTGAAGTCGGGCGCAGGATCTGAAGAAATACTATACGTGGTACATCGGTTGGCTGGAAATTCAACCCATAATATTTGCTGGTAATCTCCTGGATATAACTGAGAATAATATACCCACGGATAGAGTATGTTGTAATTCGACAAACGGAGGGTTTGAAGATAAACAGCGATATCTAAAAGGGGCGCTGGAGAATGCATCAAGTCATCAAGGCCATTAAATATGATATTAATGTGTAGCCCATATCGGGAGGAAGTAGGGTAAACTAGAACATTTGAGAGGAAATAGGATATTAATTCAGAAAAGGGGAGAAAAACAATCATATCAAAACTTTGTATTCGTTACAAATGAAACCCATGTTTCCATACCATCACATAATGCCATGCTAAATTTTCCTGAAGTCTTGCCCGAGTCGTAACAAATGAAAAAATATAAAAGAAAAAGTCATAAACAAACAAGCAGGGGAAAATATTTACAGAAACATACAGGAAAAAATATGGTTTTTTTTTCTCGTTTTTCATTTCTGGTTTGCTCTCTCACCCCGTTTTCCTCCATGTTTTGTTGGCAAATAAGAGAAGCAAATTATGAGGAGTAACCACAGGACTTCTTTCCACTGCCATTTAGGATGCTTGCTAGCAGCCACTTGCCGGGTCCGTATGGTAGAATAACACCCTCTTCAATGGCCCACACACGCAGGGCAACATCTTCGCGCTCTTCTGTATCCATGACTTCGCAGTGCTTGCCCACATGTTCCATGCGGTCCTCCCAGGAGTGGGGGCCAATAAATTCGTGGCTACAGTAGTTGCACTGGCTTCGCTGAGGAGCTTGTCGTTGCTGGACCCAGCATCTGGCTCGCACTTCGTCAAGCTGTTTGTCGAATGCTTCACGCTCCGCCTTGGTAGGCTCATGTGGGGAGGGCAGGGCCAACCAGGGGGCATGCATGCGGCGAAGATGTTGAGTGAAGAGGTCTTTGCGGTTGAAGTCATTGGGGGTACGCATGGTTGAGATCGTGCATGAATGAGAAGGGGAAGTGGAAGTAGAGGTAGGGCAGTCGCATGAGTAGGGCGCAGATGTCATGGAGTTAGACTGTTTAGACACCTTGCAGTGACCAATGTCACATCGATAAAAGCCAAGCTGGAGATGTTGCGATAGGACGTGGCGCTTCCACTCATTCTTGGAGGCGAAGGAGCTTGTGCAACCATATGGGGCAAAAACGCATGAGAAGATGCGGTCCGCCGCCGATTGGCGGTTTCGGGGAATGGTGAAACTTGAACTCTTGGATGGGGTTCGCCTGCTCGTGCGTTTGCTAATTGGAGATTGTCTTTGCTTTGGCTTCGCTCGGTTCTTGCGTACACCACTCTCGCTGCCGCTTGGGGATAATGGAGGGCTGGGTATTGATACAGCACCATCTGGTTTCATCTCGTTATACTTTACTCGCTTGTGGGTCAAGCTGCAAAATCCCGCAGTAGTGATTTCTGAGAGGCTGTTGCCCTGGTGGTCAAGGTAAGCCTCGCCTAGTGCGGGATCAACTATCTCATTGTTTCCAGTTTGTAGATGGTCCCCGAAGACGATGTCTTCTTGGTTGAGTCGTGAGTCCAGGTTCTGTAGGGGGAATGATTGTGACATAAAGGTGGGGATGGATCGGGGGGGTTTGTTGGATAGCATAAGGTCTTCAAAAGTAGGGCTTTGTGTAGGGACAGGGTCTGGATAATGTTGTACATCTTTAGGTGAGACAGAACACTCGCTTCCGAACTGAGAACCACTCAGGCTCCGAGACAGAGCATTATCGATGCCCTCCGAGAATTGGCATTTTTCGGCGATTGGTGAGTCAAATACGTCGTTGACACTAGGGTAGAGCTTAGGAGAGTTCCATGAGTACTCGCTGATGGAAGAGTCTGATGTAGATTGGTCTCCTCCGCATGAGCCCAGTGGAGAGGTGTACCTCACCATGCGCTGTGGCATAGAGGGGTACATCATGCAATCCGTTTCCCACGGAATCGTAGCCTCCATGCGGTATGGGCTGTTGTATATCTCTGCATCTCCATGGAGATTCGCCTGAAAGGCTGGAGCGCACTGCTCAAAGCCAGTGAACGGCTGTGTCTTGGTCATATTTTGCTTTTGGCAGATCACTCCAGAGGCGTCGAGGTCGTAGGGGAAGTCGCTAGGGCCTAGCATGACTCTGAGATCATCAGACCGTGGAGATAGAGCAAGATCGTAGTCAGTATGGGACCCGTCGTCCGAAAAGCCGAGTTGTGTGGTAGGGTCAAGGGAGAGAGTGAAGGTGCCCGCCATTGAGCTCATCGTTGAAATCTGATTTCGGGGGTCCAAAGTGATGGCTACCCAGAATCCAGACGTATGACGCTTTAAACCTGGGATTATAGCGGACGGCGTTCACGGTTCGACAGTGTAATAGACAGGATGAACAGTAGAAGCCTGGTAGGTATGTAGCTCTATGTGCATGTATGGCATGAGTTTCACTGATAAACTTGCAGTGTAGAAGAAATAATGTCAGAGTGTAGCGTGTAGGTATGAGAAAGAGAAGTTGTTTGTGTTCAAGCTGAGGGAGGATCTGGGGGATGCGAGGGCATATATAAAGAAGAGAGCAGCTCAGGCCCGAGAAAAGAAGAGAGAGCTTGTTCCACCACCCACCGACCTTGCGCCATGATGTAGCGGGTGTAGGGGACAGGGATTACCCAGTCAGCTTTTGATAGTTCCGGTATTTGTTTTTCTGTCTCTTTTCTTTCCTTCTTTCCACTGAAAGGCCACATGAGAATCAGAGATAAGAGTGTCGGACACGGTTGAACTATGCAGAGCCTCAATGCCTGGCCCCATTTCAGAAAAAAAGGAAAAAAACGTGGTGGCCGAAGTATAAAAATAAATTTGCAATGGGCTGGAAATCACAAGGCCAGCGCCCCTGCATGGCTTTCCAGGAAGCGAAGTGAGCGTCCGCCCTGATCCTTGCCGGAATACGAGCACTTAAGACAAAGTGTATATATATGCTTGGGGGTTTGACACGTTTGTCTCTGCCACATGGCGATCAACACTAGCAAGAAGTTGTTCTCCTATTTCGATAAGACAAGTCAGCGAATAGTTAATGTTGTTTTGCCCCAGCAAAGTAACAGTTGGTCCAGCACGGAGCATAACTAAAGAGTGCGTTTTCCCTCATTATTCTGTTGCAGACGCCTTATCTACATCGGCATCGTACCCTGGCTAGTATAGTGAAGGGTCTCCCATGGCCTATTCTCCGATTTTTTTTGGACCGTTCATGGTGCGAGGAATAACTCAATATCCTGTCCGCCACGAGGCCAGGGGTTCACTCACATATAGGAAAACCCTCTAGCAACAGGGAGATAAAACGGAATTAATATATATGTACTCCATAGCTGATTGTATAAATCGTGAGTGCCCACATGTGCGTAGGGGGTGATGGGCTACAACCATTGAGCTGAAAATAATCCTGGTTCGGGGGGTTTGGGTGCCAATACCTGATTTGCTCTCTTGTACTATGCTCCTCTCCCGTAGCGAGCGCCAGGCATGATAATATCCGGGAGGGGCAGTGTCAACATATATGCCTTACATGCCCAGGTGCAAAGCGTAATGGCACAACATGTCTTTTGATTAGTTTGTGCGAAGTGTTCCATCTGTTGTTGCTCTGCCAGTTTTCAAGCGGATAAAATCTTTTAACTCCGCGTGTAGACTCCGTGACTAGCTAATTAGTTATCTCCACGGGTGGCTGGATTAGTTCTCCTCGATCAGCGCTCCAATGGCCCGTTCATAAGATAATCTCTTGCCTAGAATGCGCTGTAGCGACCGACCAGTTGGGCCAGCTAACTAGACGGGTGAACGAGCAAACGGATGTCCTGCATTGCGATCAAGCACGATTTCACGCAAGACAATTGCTGGTATGACAAGGATACGGAGTATATAGACATTTTATTGGTCAAGGTGCCCGAGTTTATCTGGCTAAAAGGGGGTTTTGCCTGTATGGACGGCTATTTGGCACCAAGAGGACGAGACAAGTCCCATAGTCATGGACCCTCCCATGCTGCTGCTGAGTCGAGTCTGCAGGATTTCCAAAGTATTCCTCACTTTTGGATTTTGTTTTGCCATGCGTAGGATCTAGTTAGTTCGAGTGTGCCCATAGCGACTAGTTACCATTATTTTCTCAGAAGTCCCACAACCCGTCCTTGGTGGCCCGTTACTGCGGGATATAAGAGGTATTATTATTATCAAGAGCTGACAGGCAAAACCTTCAAGATCAAGGTTCTACCCTTGAGCTGGGGATCATAAACACGTGTTGAAGGCCGCTATTGCTCGTAAAGATGGATACCCTCCAGTCCAAGAGGGTGCAATGATTGGATGTGGTTTAAAACTTTGAATAGGAGGATTCGGACCGCATCTCCCGAGCAGAGGGGACTGTGTGCCATGTACACCATCGTACCCAGGACGTGCAGCAATATTTGGAATTTGTGCGTTTTGAAAACAAAAAAAGCCTCCCTCCCTCCCTATCAGAAAAACATGCATGGTCGCCCCGAGGACGCCGAGTTGGACCTTGTCCCACACGAGTTTCATCTTCAAAGTCTGATCCTTCAGGCAGGACGAAACTGTACGAGGCATGCAGGTTCTGCGGGCCTCTCCAATCATATCTGGCGAGGACGGCCTCCTCGTCCTCAGTACTTTTGTAATCAGTAATTTGTGCATCAAAGTCATTGCTCTCGGCGTCCAGGCGTCCAGCCATTCCACGAATCAGCCAATGCAGGAAGCCTCCCCGCAGACCATAGACCGCAGACCGGGCGCAATTCAAAGGCGTGGCAGAGCATGGATGCCTGTCGTCACCCCCTAGCGGGCTGTGTTTCTGGAGGATCAGAGATCTGCTAAGAAGGTTGGAGAGAAGTTTGCTCGTTGAATATACGGCCAGTTAGCATGGGAGAGATGATGATGACGGGTGACGCTGTTGTTGATGGCTAGTAAGACAGTTAACCAACATCTGCTGCCATAACTAGTCATTATGTCGATCGATCTTCGGGACCGTGTTTCCTCAAACTCCGTCCCTCTCGCCAGGTCGGTGTCTCTCTCTCTCTATCTCCGTCTCTCGCTCTGTGTCTGTCCAGCGTCGTAGAACTTCGGTCCTGGACTGGCTGTTTTTCTTTTCTTGTGCGAGTTTCTAACATTTACAGCCCATGTCGAGTTGGTCGTAGCAATTACCAGAAAGGGAACACCGCCTTTGCTTTTCTGCCGGTGCATCTCAACTTCTTTTGCTTCTTTCTCGGTGTATTTTGCATCTTCACCTTCATTTACGGACGTCGAGGGGAAATAGGGGACACAGGAGCGTCGAAGATGGGACATCTCTCTGGTCCGTGGAGGTCTGTGTTGGACAGTGACGGGGCTTAGGATCCGTGCCTCCTCCGGGCGAAGCTGGCTGCTCATTGGGCTGTGCGGGTGATTTGGTGAAATGAGGCCTGACACTTCGTCCGTCTGGCTGCTGCATACCACAAACTTTCCATATGTGCCGCTCTTGCTGGAAGGGGCAGGGTTCCCTAAGATGGTTGCTGGTGAGCTCGTCAAATCACGGACGAGATACCCCGGATGCCGTGGTTTTGCTGTGCACATCAATCAGGCTAACCATACAACGACTTGTAGGGTTTGGTTCTTTTAAGGCAGATAGTTTCCATGCAGCGAGAATCGGCTGCCTTACATGCTAGAGAACACAACATCAGGGCCAGTCGCATCTCTGCCTGTACCACATTCAAAGTCCTGATCGACAGGTTTACCAGAGAGAACAAGATACAGAGTCTGTTCAAGAAGAATCGGGCGGTGCTTTTAGTTAAACGTGGGACCGACTGACTTTGTAGCCTGAACTGGGCGCTGGTCAGCTTCGAAACTTAATATGATTCTCGCGCTCCAGGTACGGTACGCTGCTGTGATCTTTGTGTCGCAAGTCGATCCTCCTCACCATGCATCATCAGCGCAACGGACCCGTGGTTCAGGCCGATATGTGAGAGAGATGTTCGAGATGGTGAACCCTCCCCTCCTCCTTCCGGAATTCAGACAGATATCGAAAGGCTGACTGACCGCACTGCCCTTCAACCGGACAAATTGACCGATTTCGACTGATGCGCCGCCTTCGAGTTTATTCGAAAGGTTCCTGGCCCCCACGGGGTTCTCTCCAGTTACAGAGTTTTCTGTCATCTGGTACTTTCAGCTGTCCTACACACCACCAAAAAAATGTATTGACACGATAAATCCGTACTGACTGGCCCTGCAGTCCATACACATGAAGGTATGGCAGACTGGCAAATACGGTAACTGCTCATATCTCATCGGCTGGACTGGTAGGAAAGTTATGAAACAGTCCTGCATGATAAACCGGCCCCCTTCTAGAAGGATGAGGAATGAAGCAAAATAATGGCAATCACCCACTCACTTGTCAGTTACACCGTGTGAAAAGAAACCAAGAAACAACGATATTTTTCCCCTCCATTATTTGGTTTTTGGCCCTCCCACGAGTGCAGCCGGTCCGCGTGGATGAGTTCCTCCGCCCATCCCGATCTTCCCCAAACTCGAGACTCAGTCATCGCCTAAGAAAGAAGAAAGGTCCAAATATATTTGTTTTCTCGGCCTTTCGCTTCCTCCCCCCCCCTTTTTTTTAACCCTCGCTTTTATCGTCCAGATCAGAACACCGAAACTCCATCTTCATTGCTTTGTCACGAAAAGTATGAGCCAGTTAGTGCCTTGCGGAACACAGGGCACACTCTCACGTATACGCACTGCCGCACTCTAGTTTGACGGGCAGACTCCGTCGCTGGGACGTACTGCAGATCACTCATTCAGCTCTTTTTCCCTTTAAGCGCCGTGGATTCCTCGGACGTCAGCTGAACAGGGGTCTGCATGAAGCGGACGAATAATACGCTGTCTTGGATGAAAGCTGAATGAGAAATGAGAAAAGACGGCTACCGACATAATCTGCCCATCCTGAGCTGAGAGCGAAGGGTTTGGCAATACTCTGCACTGAGTAAGGAGTACTCCGTACTTTCTCACTATTCTCGCTCGCTGCGGAATGACGGACGAGATCCCGGAGGAAAAGTTTGTCTATCTGGCCCTTTACCTCCAGAACTCATTCGCTACACGCTTGATTGAAAACTTTGAGATTTCACTGGCTTTGCGGTCTTTGTCTCAAGGCGGCAAGGCAGTTAAAAATAAACCAAACCCGAGCAAGGTAAAATAGGCTATTGACCAAAGCCACGGTAACCGATCGAATCATGATGGTTCATCTCGTTACACATGCAAGGTGCCATCTATCCCGTGCGTGACTCATCAGAAAATATGCACAATTATTAATAAATATGGTTGTTAATTCTGGAGTTTTGTTCTGAACCAAATATTTTCGCTCTAAAATCTTACTCCCTATCCGCAATAAGCCATCACTCGAAAGTTTATACATGGAATATACGGGGTGGGTGGGAGACTCACATTCATGGATAAGACGGTACAGTGGTGCAAATTGTCGACGGCATATACGTCAACTGAGGACGTAAGTAAGACTCCCTCTGCTCTCTGCTGTGTATCTTGAGTGAGTTAAATAAACTAGTTATGCGTGCAGATGGAGTTAAGCAGTAGCTAGCCTAACTCTGGAGTAACTTACTGGATAAGTTGGGTGTTTTTTTTGGTCCAGTTTCTATTTTTGACTTCCTATTCTTAGAAGCTAACCTTCATTAACGAACTAATTACAGCTTACATTCCTGTTCTGCAAAGCAACTTTCGAAAACCAGTTACAGCTGTCAATCACAAGATAACCTTTCGTCCGATGGGCGGGTGCTTAAACGGGTTATCTCTGCGAATCATGCTGTCGATGCTCTCTTGCAAAAACGGCAATCTATTTCATGATAACTAGTGGCATTGACACGATGACGGGACACAGTTTTTCTCCCCAATAAGACCGTTTGGCTCTGTTAATAGAATATTTTAGGACAGTCTAGCAGTCCCAGGAGTTTGGGAGCAGATGCACTGGAGAGAAAGCCTTCCGTAAGTCTCTTATATTTAGCTACTTCTTGTAAACTAGTAGCAGTTACACTATGTTCTAATAATAGTACTAGTTCGAGCATATCAAAACACGATATTAGACACAAGGAAGTTCAGCATTTGTTTGTTGGAGATGATTGCGGTAGCTGGACACAGCGTTACAGCTACCTTGTTCTTCGGTCATGGACATGATACCCAGTGCAACCTAGGAAACAGTTAACTAGCCAACCTAGGTTTTCAATTTTTCGATCTCTAGGAATAACAAATTCTTGGCCGGAGCCAAATGTATTTGGAGACACAGCACTGTTTGATTGGAGAGTATGCCAGAGAGTAGTTTGTATCGCCCGAATTCTCGCCGATACCAGGATAGGTCTGGAATCCAAGGCCATAGTACATATGTCCACCACAGATACCCTTAAAGACCTGCTAATTCCCAAATACCACATACCTTGTGGTACGGGCGTTCGAAAACCACTCTGGATGCGCCGATCGCGTGCAATATACAACTAGCATGGCAGATGACTTTTTGGAAGCACTAAACCATGTACAATGAATACTAAAGGATGTATGTGTTTCATGGAAGAGTCTGGATGGACCGTTATGGTAAAGAGTTTTAAAAAATAGGTATTTGATATGTCCTCAACTTAAGTTCATGTCTTTGCGACTTGAGCATGATTAAGAAAGCTGTGTATCCAACTGGGAGAAAGACAAGAATAAGACACGAGCAAAGTATGATATACAGCAAAGCCTCAAAATCTTCTCCCGAAAGGGCTATTAAAGTATATGCAAATCTAGTCAAGATAGAAGAAAAAATTAGGGGTGTGGGGAAATGGAACAGGTATTGAAATAAAAATTTAGTCTATTTGCAAGACATGGAAAAGTAATATCGTCGTAGCTTTTGAAAAGAAGTCTTATGTGTATGTATCAAGAGTGGGTATGTATGTGCAAAGGCCCATTGGCCCTAGAGTAGCATCAAGTATTCTCGTTAGAATACAACTATGCCTTTGTCTCGCTTTCTTGCTTTTGTGGCTGTTGTCCCTGTTTCACGCCAGACTTTCTCTTGGGAACACGGAGAAGCCAATATAAGCCAACGGCACCAACCATGTTGAAGGCAATGTATCCGAACAGAATGCCGATATTTCTCCAGCGTTCATCGAAAATAATGTTCACGCCTTTCAAGAAGGTATCTGTGTCGGCAACAGCGCAGAATTCACACAAGTCGGCGGCCTCTGGGTTCAGGATCCTGCCTCCAGCAAATTTGGTGTATGGGCCTAGATACTCCATGCATGTTTGTCCTGCTGGGGGGGCAAGACGGAGAACTTCATTGGCAGCGCACACGATATCTGTTCGTCCGACTCCAGTAGACAAAACGGCTGAAACAAAGTAGGTGAATGGAGATAGACGGTACATAAAGATCCAGAACCCGGGCATTGCCGTTGGGCTGACGAGGACACCGCAGAAGACGAGGGTAAGGGAAAAGCAAAGCTGGGCGACGTTTCCACCGGTTTCGGCTTGCTCGATACCGGCAATGACCATGGAACTGAATGTAGAGCTGAACATGAGGAAGATCAATATGAGTAGGAACATAGTGCCGCTTCGCTCGGTCACGGAGTCTGTTGGGATAGCGTTCTTGTAGAAGCCTATCGGGTAGTACCAGCAGAAGAAAGCAGGGACAGTCAAGAGGGCATTCCAGGGTATTTCGACCACGACAGAGGAGATCATAAATGCTATCCAGGAGTATGTTTTTGAGGGTCGTTCACGGACTTCGTAAAGAGATCGTTGGATAACAAAGTAAGGCATCATTTGCTGGACAAGATTGGGGAAAAGAATCATAAACATGAATATAGCGAACATTTGGTTCTGGAGGCCTTGCAAGCTGAGCTGTTCCTTAAAGAAAGTGAAACCAATAAAGAGAGTCTATAGGACGTTGTTAGTGGCTAAGTGGATATAAACAAGCAAAGGGAGATGGGACGGAGTGACATACCGGAACAATGGCTAGACAGGCTTTCGAGTAGATGTAGTCAGGGCTACGCCAGTACTGCTGGAACATACGGTGTTGGACAATGAGGTATTGTTTCCACAGGGGCATCGCGAATTCACCATATCCAGCTAATCGAGGAGCTTGAGGTTTTTGGGAGAGCTCTGATTTTAGTTCGGCGAGATGGTGACGAACCTCGACACGTTCTGCGCTGTCTCTCCAAACTGCAGGCCAATCTATGTCCGTCTTTGAACCGGGAGCGGCGCCAATGACTTCCAACATCCATTCAGCAGGGTTCGCGTCCGGAGGGCACTTGGGAGCTCCCTTGCTCTCAAAGTAGTCAATAAGGGTAGTCATATGCTTGCCGAGTTCGCCAAAATAAACTGTTCGTCCGCCAGCAGCCAAAAACAGGAGTCGATCGAACTCTTGCATCAACATAGCAGAGGGCTGATGGATAGTACACAAGACGGCTTGCCCATGGTCTGCAAGTTTTCTCATCAAGGTACAAATCGACCAGGCCGTTTGACTGTCAAGTCCAGAGGTGGGTTCATCGAAAAAGAGCAAGAGGTCAGGCTTAGCAGCGATTTCAACACCGATAGTGAGACGCTTTCGTTGTTCAACGTTGAGACCTTCGCCCAGGACACCGACAACGGCGTTGGCGTATTCTTCCATTCCCAACATCTTGATGACTTCTTCAACGTAAGCAATCTTCTCCTCACGGGGGGTAGTATTCGGCTGGCGGAGCAGGGCGCTGAATATCAATGCTTCTCTGACGGTGCTAATTTCCAAGTGGAGGTCCTGCTGTTGAACGTATCCGGTCTTACGCTGGAAGGAGTCATCACGAAGTCGGCCATCAACCAGCATTTCACCAGTGACAACGCCCATAGTAACACGGTTTGCAAGGACATCCAGGAGAGTCGTTTTTCCAGCGCCAGACACGCCCATCAAGGCAGTGAGCGTACCAGGTTTAACCCATCCATCGACATGGTCCAGGATACGCCTGGTCTCCTTCTTAATCTTGATATCGTAGCAGACATTCTCCCAATGGAAGATAGACGTTTGCTTAACAATGGCTGCGGTTTGGTCATGGCCAGTATTTTCCACCGGGCGCTTCTCCTGTGTGGATGCGGCTTCAGGGTCATCAGCTTTCTTAGATTGTTTTAAGAATGAAGGAACCTTGCCCTTGGGGAAGACAAGAATCTCTCCCTTTGAAGGCTTGGCGGAGACGAGTTCCGTAGCCGTGATATAGATGAATAGGAAGAAAAGGAAGAAAGCGACGATGATGCCGTAGTTTCTCCACATGTGAGAGGCATAGTAGGAATATGTTTCCCGAAGGAAGACATCGCCGCTAACAGTTGTCTTTCCTGCCATCGCCCCCTTGGCCGCACAGATTCTGGACATGCCAGAGGCATTAGAGTAACCTGGGCCACTTGGTATATAAGCAGCACATGCAAATTCACGGTCATGAAACTCGTTGATCATGAGAGACTCAAAGGCATATTGAATTGGGTTGATGTAGCTGATCCACTTGAACCAAGGGCGCATATCGCGGACAGGAATCGTAAAGCCAGTATAGATAACCAAGGCAAGCATAAAGATTGAAGTTGGAACCAAGGCTTGAGATAAGGTACGAGATACGGCGGCAATGGAACGGAAGACATTAGACATGGTCAGGGTCGTGGTGAAGGAGAAGAGGAAGAAGATAAAGAAGTGAGCTGGCGTTCTCCTCAGATTGGTCATAAAATAGATGATCAAATTGAACACGATGGCCACAGCCAGTTTTGCAGGCATATCGACGAGTATAGAACTGATGGCTTCGGCGGATGGATGATAGAGAGCGTATTTATCATGTTTTTCCACAATCGGTCGTTGATGCCATAGGGTAAGAATTTCCAAAGAACTAGCAAAGGCATTCATGAGAATGGCGAAGAAGAGCAACGAGCCGCGGGAGAAGAAGCTGTCGGTGGTTTCTTGTTGGTTATAAAAGACACTAGCAATAATGAGCGACATAGCGATGTTTCCGATAATTGAGGTCAGGGTCATGGACATGTCTCCCTTCAGTCTCTGGAATCCACGCCACATGCAGAGTTTGATCTCCATAGGATAGGAGAGGGTATATGGGGAAGTCTTGCTAGTTGACTTGGACTTTTCAGCGGATCGAGAGGCCTGGAACTTCTGTAGCTGTTCGCCATGTAGAGGGTAGGCTTTGTTGTATTCATCGATCTCCTGCATCAGCATCCGTCTATCTTCACTTTCTTTCCAGCGCTGAGCAAACTCAGCTGGTGTCTGGGGCACACGAGACTCGTAGCCAGGTCTGACCCTCCGCTCAGAAGGACTAGTAACCGAAGTCAAGAAATCAGCAGTGGTCTGTCGGCTAGGACAGTCGAAGCCCATCTCGATGAAGTATTCTTTGGCACGGACAGCATTTCCAAAGTATATTTGGTGTCCCTCGTAAAGGACAACAGCTTTGTCGAAGATCTATAGTGGATGTTAGCTACTGCTGGTGGTAATTATAGGGAATGGACAGAGCTCACGTCATAGATTGCTTGGCCGGCCTGGTAGATGGCAACAATAGCAGTGGTTCCGGAGTATTTTGTAGACAGACGAAGAGACTTGACGAACTCAAGGGCGTTGGCACTGTCCAGGCCTCTTGTGCTGTTGTCCCAGCACTGCAGGGGACTTCCACTCAAGGTTGTCTCTGCAATACTGATACGCTTCCTCTCACCTCCAGAGACACCGCGGATATACTCGTTACCGACCTGGGTGTTGATGGTATGCGACAGACTAAGCATGGACATGACCATACTTCGCATATGTATGGCATACTGCTCTCGAGAGACACCCGGCAGTCTGTTTGCTGGAGCTCTAGCACGGGCAGCGAAGTAAAGGGTATCTCCCACGGTCATCTGGGGGAAATGGGTTTCTGTCTCGGCCTGGTAGATGACTTCTCCCCTGAAGTTCTTGTGCATTTGTTCCCAAGAGATGCCCTGATACTGGATATCGTTGCCGTCGTCGAGGTAGAGGCCGTGAGTCTCACCTGATAGAGTACGTAGAAGTGTGGAGCAACCACTATATAGTTGTTAACCAGTGCTAATGGAACCGAAAGCAAAGGGTATGCATACCTTCCGGGACGTCCCAGGACTACAAGCATCTCACCACTCTTGACCAGGCCCTCAAAGTCTCTAAGGATATCAATACGGACCTTCTTCCGTAGCCCAAGCAGGCTCATGATGCCACTCCATGCCTTGAGTGGCAGATTGCCAACATCACTTTGATAATCGGTTGCTGTTCCGTATCCATAGACATTCATGTTCCGGAACGAAACACCAGCAGTGCGCTTGGGAAACCTCTCCGGATCCCTTGATGTAATATGGAGGATAGTCTTGAGCCACTTGGCTACATTAAAGTTCTTGCTGTCTGGGTTGAGCTCAGGATCTGACTCCGAGTCCAGGAACGGATTGATGACCTGCTGAGGGACATTCTCAACATCTGGGCCACCATGATGGGAGGCCCTAGAGAGTTGACGGGCTAGATGCCGCAGCTCAGCAGCCTGGGATTGACTGATATCATCGGTATCATAAGTGGCCTTTCCAACTGTCGTCGAGCTCGATTCACTGCCTTTTATATCGTCCTCATAGTTCGATTTCTGGTCCGCTCTGAGCTCCCCAGCGGAGTTTGCATTCTTGTTCTCCTCTGCCGGAGCCATGCTGCTGATCTCTGGAGATAGTAACACCTCCTATGCGGGAGAAGAGTGGAACGATCTAAATGGGTTAAGGACGTATCATCGGCGGGATCGGGTAGTAGGTATATATAGAGGCTGATTCCTTTCTGTATGTCTCAAAGCGAACGAGCCGCACTTTGGTCAAAGGTAAGTAAACAAGCAGAGAGACCAGGAATTAAAGTGTTGATAGGGGTTTATATTAGGTAGATTGATAAATACACCCGGATGAGACGATCACCGGTAAAAAAACAACAACAACAACAAAGCTCCAAACCCGGGAGAACTGCATGAAGAAGAAAGGATGAGAAAAGATGACGAAGAAGAGCAAAAGAAAAAAAAAAAAAGACCACATGCGGCTCCTTGAGGTTGGAACCGATGCTTATCCGCGTTCCGGGGAGATTGCCCGGAACAGGACGCTGCTCTGCCAGCCTGGATCCTGGCCATCTTATCTTCCGGGCCCAATCATATGCCGCTGAAGCGCAGTTGCAAGCACGGAAGCCGGAAAACAGCCATATCCGACTGAGACCAAGTTCTAAAGCGTTGGCTGTGGGGAGCCCAAGAGGAAAGTTTTGACCTGTGGCGACCTCTTAGGCGTCCCCAGACAGTGTGTCAGATTTGATGTACGAAGTATATACTTAGACAGATCGTCTGGCATCAAGAGGTAAGATATGACATGTATCTATGTACACGATGTGCGCGGCCCGCGTGGCGTGCATATCTTCATCGACTTGTGCATCACATCTCACATGGCTGTCCTACATGGCATGTTAGCGCACTGGTATCGCACAATAGACCAGACGAACCACTGTCTTCACTGTTTGGTACACAGAACCAAGTACCCCGTACGGCGTGCTTGTGTCTGGCGCCGCTCCCTCGGTCCAGGGCTGAGTCTGAGAACGGTGAAAAGGGGTTAACTAATCTCACAGATGGAGGAAACTTTACGGAGTTAGGGATTTTTATGCAGGGAAACGGAAGCGGCTTTTCGCTACCCGCCGTATCGTATGTATCGTATACAGCAAAATTACGTGCCCGAATACCGATGATTAAGCGAAAACAGGGCTCCGGTCCGGCTTGGCGCTTAGCGGATGCTGGAGCGTCCGAAGAAAGATACCGACGAGGAGCTGTCGATGTACGTAGTAATATGTATAGGCTGGTTGCGGTGTCATAAAGAGTCATGCTTGCAGGACCCTTGATAGGGGAAGAGGCTCAATACTGGCTGCAGGATGGATGAGATGAATCATTCTGAGTCACCATTTCTAACGATGAGTTACCGTAGTGCTTCCTACCGTAATGAGCACCTGAGGTATCCATACAATCAATTTTCCAACTGCGATTCAGCCTGTGTAAATATCGTTCTAACCTGCGGGAGTTAAATGATGCTTTGGCGGTTATTTTGGCCAATTGAAGCAAGCTTCTATTATCAGGCAAGCACTTGGCAGCAGTAAACTTTTAGATCAGGAAATAGAGATAGAGAAAAAACGAGCCTTAGGCTTGGTGGCAGACGACGGCGGCGGCGAGGAGTATCAACGCAGCCTGTCTTTGCCTTGTAGGTGCTGTAAAGCCTAGCTTCGTGTGAAATATATGAGCTGAGCACATGAAAGGGAGGAAGTGCAGTTCATCTCGCTTTTAATATTGTCAGAGTAAATACTACCTATCCTCATTATTCCGCTGTTGCTGATAACTAAGTAGTGTTGCTTTTTAGTTGAACATATTTATATTAACTGCCAATTTGTCAGCATCTAACTATCAGGTGCTCCAAACTTCCTGACGCTCTTGCTGAGAAAAGTCTCCAGGCCTAAATGATGAGGTCGACTGGGGTTTTTATCCATATTGACGTATTGACAGGCAGCGAATGCGATGGAATTTAATGGGGCGCGAGCGGAGTGATGAATGACAACGCATCAGCAGCCACCACCCGACGGCGCAACGGGACTATCGCGTCGTGCGAGCCTTGCCGTAAGCGTAAGACGCGCTGTGGCCATGAACGGCCGGTTTGCAATAGTTGCCAGCAACGTGGTTTGAGCTCGACATGTTTCTATCGTCCGTCGCCGGTCAAGAAGGGGCGGTCGAATCTACGTGGCACTGCAGCCGATAGCCATCCTCTTCTTCCTCAGGCCAGCAATAACCATCTTTCCGGCCGTGGTATTCATCAATTCCTTGCCCAGGACATTGTTGAGACTTCGGCGCATCGATTCAGACCGTCCCCCGAGGCCATTCGCCGCGAGCAGGTTGTATCTATTGCCAAAGTCCTCGGCTACTTGCGCGATTGCGAGTTGCTATGCAATCTCGTCACCGCCTACTACTCTGCTAGTCAGGCATCAGTAATACCAAGTTCGTTGATATCATCCGCTCTGCCATCGCTTATACAAACCATCAACAAATTCGGCCTCTTCAACGACACAGCAGATGACGGTCCCGGGCTCCTACGCCTAAGTGAGGATGTGCTTTGCTCGACTTCTGCTCAGATCAATATTAACGCCTCCCTAACTCCTTCTGACTTCATGGGTCTATATACGGGAGACACCTTACGGTTAGAGTATCTTGGTATCGTCTTTTCGGTCGCCGCGCGCTCATGCTTGATCGGTCTAGCAAAGGAAGGGCGGCAGCACGATGCTTTTATACAAGACATGTACTCCTATAGCACCATCTGCTTACGGCTTGCTCGGGAAGTAGCTCCGATCAACGACATGCTAGTCTGGTTTGGTCAAGATCATCTTATGCTCACGGCGTGCATTGAAGGCGATTTGAGTAAGTTGGCATGTAGCTACGCCCCCCCAGCGCCCGAATACTTGCTAAAATCGATATATTTGTAGGTGAGAGTACCTGGCGTCGCCTAGGAGAGCTCTATTCTGATATCTTGGCTCTCGGGATATATCGCGAGTTGTTTAACGTTGCCGACACACCCTTCTTTCTTACTGAGTGTCGCAGAAAAGTATTTGCCAAGGTATATTATATAGACAAATTCGTGTCGACCCTATTTAATCGCCCACCACGGCTTTTGAAACGATATTCAGACAGCAAGTGGCCGCTGGATCTGACAGATGCCGAGGTATTAGCGGGAACTGTGGAGCTTGCAGAAGCGCGGGCGAAGCTTACCCCGGATGGTTGGAACACAGAAGGAAAATTTTGCGCTTCTTCCTGGGCTCGTGTCAGGTGTATTACTGCCGAAATGCTGGAGGAGATATATAAATATAATCTTCGCCCGATGACGGTAGAGAACATCACCAAGCTAAAGTAAGAGACTCACTCCCGCTGCTATAACTAACTAATCGGATGCTTAAAAACACTCTAGGAATATCTCGGAGCGGAATCGGAAGGCCTGGGAGACCATCCCGTCCCATCTCCACTACAATACACATTGCTGGACATCAGAGCTTCACCCGCAGGTCTGTTTCATGCTAACGGTCGTCCAACTGGCGTTTTTGCAGTGTGATTTTCAAATATTTCGAATCCTCGAGCGAAGCGATCCCCAGTCATCCCAGCAACTGCTTAAGATCTCGCTCGAGATAATTTCGTTGATACATGAGCTAGGTTCTTTCCGCCGAAAGGCAGTATACCTACATTTAAGGTTCTCCTATATCGTATGTGCTCAAACGCCCAATGCCGCTTTTCACAACATTCGAATCCAAGCCTAATATAATCCCAGATTTTATGCTATGGCCTTTCTCCCGCAATCGTTTTGGCAAAGGCCGCCCAGAACTTGGCCAGAGGTGTACCCCATCGTCCGCTTTTGCCGCCGGAACTGGATCACTCCAAGTTGATCCGGACCCTTTCCGTATTCATCTCCCATCTGGAAAGTATCAGTGGTCCTGGGGAGCCAAACCATGATATCTGCGTTCAAGCATCCAAAACAATCACCAAGATGCTAGATGAGCTGCTCAATCCCTCATTAACTTCCCTTGATTCTGCAAGCACCGGTACCCCTACCACCCAGCTTGCCAATTTGGATGATATGACTTTAGGCATTATGGGCGCTGATACTATCAATGGTATTGATTGGGGCGGAGTTTGATTTTTCTAACTGGTCAAGTAACATTGATTGGACTGCCACCTCTGGCGAATGGTCCATGTCCTAGAACTCTCGTTATAAGATGGAGTTATATCATGCCCTGGGAGGCTAGCGTACTAACTAGAGCTATAATTATTACAAAATAATAGACATTCTACATTATCTATGCGAGGCTATAGAAGTAGTAATAGCTATAAACACTACAAGGGTGGGAAAATTAAGAGGAGCCCCAAAGATAGAAGGTAGATTGGTATAAATGAGCTAACCGCTGACCTTCTTACGAAGGTGGGGGAAATATATATAGGGTGTGATTTAGTATTTAGGCCTGGAAGTGGCCCAAATACGATGAAACGCATGCTACAGGTCAAGGTTTGTGAACTATCTGCGCCTGAGAGTCTACCAAGCATTTTGCTAATTAACGGTAACTAGGCAGTGGATACTTAGTTCTTGCCGGTGAGACGATTTCGCATCTCGTAACTAGCCAAAGGAAAGCCTAAGTCTAGCATCTCTTTTTGAGGACGAAAAGTTAAATGCGGTGGCTAACTTTTCTCTGAAGCCTTCTTGACATTTGCTGGGTAGATTAATATTCTTTTTATGAAGGATTATAGATAGGCGAGCCATCTGGCCCAAATTTCTATAGCATGCTCGATGGGACAAGAATATTTTAAGCACGATGTTTTTCGAACAAGCCAACGTACAGCCTACACAGCCGGGGTGCTCCCAAACCCAGCCAAGGTCCTCTTAGATGAGCCAGCATATAGCTGGAGCTTTAAATCACCCGAGAATAGACATCTCTTACTATTGACCTTTTTCGCTTTTTATTTTACGCCATTCCATACCATGTCTCATGGTGGCCCACGGGCCAGTTAGGCTGAATATAAAAAGCATAGCTAGCGTGGTGTAAGCCCAGCCGTTTCCCATAGCTGTCGACATTGGCTCGATGATGGCGCTTGTAGCAGCACCTACGAGACACTGGCAGATATTTCTTGCAGCCGCCGCAACTGCAAATTGCCCTGGGCTGAAATGGTTGTAAGCTATACAGGTTTCTCAGGTTTGCGTGGAATGATCTTACTGAATATCGGACATTAAGACATTGAGAACCTGAGTGGTTGCAGTAATGCCGTAACCCACGATGAATAAGAAGACGATAGGGACTGCGACTGAGATATCGCTGCTTAGCGTCCAACCATATCCAATAGCTCCTAAAGCGCCTAAAAGCATAGCAGGCAAGCCAACCTGCAGACGCGAAAGTTCAATTGGAAAGTTGGAGAGATCCATTTGATAGTCCCTGGAAAGCGGAAGGTTGAGCCTTTTAGCATGGCGGCGGTAGTTCCAATCCAAAAATATCCCGATGGTGAAGCTAGAAAGGATGCTTCCACCGCCTATTGACAGCGCAGCCAGAGAGATTTGTACATTAGAAAAGTTATACAGGTTATATAACGTTTTCGAAATATTGGTTAAGATAGCATAGTAGCAAGCCATGGCTGGAAAAAAGGGAGGGTTAGATATTCTCATCACCCTACGTATCGGGCGGACGGGCTTACCGAAGCTGAGTGTGACCAGTAAAAGTGCCGATTCAAAGTCTGAGAGAACGGTAAGCGTTGATATAGGATTGGGGATCTTGAGGCGGTAATTTCGATGTAATTCAATCTGCTTCTCCCGATCAACCGGTATACCTCTTGACGCCCTGTTTCGAAATCTTCTCCAGTCGCTAATATTACTGCAAACCCATGGCGGGGGAATAGAACCATTATCCACGACTTTGCGGCATGTCTCAGGAAGGAAAAGTGCAATGGGTATAAAGACAGCTACGGAAAATATTAAGAGAAACCAGAATATCCTACTGTTTGTTAGTTTCCAGTAGTTAAGTATTGCAGGGGGAACATATTTAATAACTATACCAGCGCCATCCTGCCTTTTGACTAATGACACCACCTAGAATTGGACTCAACGATGGACCAAGGATCATAGATACGGAGGCGTACGCAATGTATTTCCCTCTCTCTGCGGAGACGATGCAGTCGCCAACAAGCCTATGTGTCGTATCAGCTCTGAAAGCGGTTGGCGGATAGGAAGTGCTAACCCCTGGCTTAGAGTACCACAACTTCCCGCGGACTGTAGTATCCGTAGAAACAACAGGGCGAAATAGTTATTTTGTAGCCCTAGGCCGAGGTTTGCAATGATGGAGATAACAAAGCACAAGATATACGCTGGCCGCCTGCCAGCCTTCTCGGAGAACTCGGCAATCATAGTTGGCGCAATGCCTTGGGTGATCTACAAACGAAGTAAGTAAAGGCTTGTTTCTGCTAGAAAATTGACTCGCTGAAGCATACTAGAAACACCGTAATGGTGAGATTGATTTTTGAACTTGAAACACCAAGGTCGCGACTAATCTGTAATTAACTACCGTATTAGATGATAACTAGGCCAGAGAGATGATGGAGACCTCAGACACGTACCTGATCCACTGCTGGATAGAAGATACTGCTACTCATGTACGAAAGCAGCCCGCAAAAGGACCCCGAAAGGATAATCGCTCGTTTCTGTGATTCTGTGAATACCGAATATCTCGATTCATTGTCCTGGCTTCCGTTCAATACCATGGGTATGCTGTGCAACGTCTCCCCTTTGCTGCATTCCGTGGGCTGTGCTAGGTTTGCCGCGACGGCTGTAGCTGGATATGGAGCGTCGTTTTGGGGGCTGCCCTTCGCTGCCAATTCATTCAGGATTATTGCACCGCGCTGCTCACTCGCCATGATAGAACGTCGAGTTGTGGGCTTTGAAGATGGACAGTAATCCTTTTGAATTGAAACTCCGTTCAAAGAACCAAAGCAAGGAAGGCTGCTGGAAACGGTTTCTGGGATAACGCATCTTGCAATCAGCGGAAGTACTTATATATGCAGTTGCACTCCTATAACTAACTACACCCAGCTGTTAACTAGGTAGTTACCGCGCCAGATTGATCCAACTAGTCAAATTGCACCCTATAAGTCATGTCCGGCCCTTTCAAAGGCCTATTCCGTACTCCGCCCACTTCTCCGAAATTCTTTCTCCCTCGACTCCGAACCTAATCTATCTACTAGACGGCCATGGGTCCGTTGTGGTCCCTCGTAGTGTATTACAATATCCATGGGAATATTTTTATATAGGCCACTACATAGTTGGTAGGTTACCCCGAAGATGTCTCCGAAATCTACTCCGACTCCGCGGCAAAGTCACTTCTTGTTGATAAAGAGTGGAGTTTACTAAACAACGGATATACAACTCATGACGGATCAAATGATAGAAAGTAGGTACTTAACTGCTAGTCACAATATTACAGAGCATTAAGAGAGGGAAATGCCTCCAATACGCGACTAGCAACTTAGGGATTGCTCGTACACCGAGCCCGTTGCGAGAGATTGTGGCCCAGCCATCTATATAAAGAGACTCAATGTCCTCCTACATTCCCTTTCTCATTCCCTGAATCGTCCATATCTAGCGATTTTCGCAAATTGCAACCTATTACATGCCCATAGAACAAACGACTTCCGTCGGTCAAGCCCAAGAGTGCCAGAGTCTCTCCAAACAAGCAAACAAACACTTCTATACAACGGTGCATCTCCATCTATGTCGAGCGTCTCCACCAACTTCACCATCTCGTGCCCTAAGATGCCGATCTTCAAGCATAGCAGCGGCCAGCCCCAGATCGCTAATAAAAAAATCATTTCCTCCGCTAGCTCAACCATGAGCATTTCCTCCGTCTCCAGCATAGCGGCAATCAAAACTGCCTTCCATCACCAGAAGGCTAAGACATTGAATTCGTGTTCTTCCACATCTCATGCTGCCAGAGCTATCTACTTTGCTCATCGGGCATAGCTTGCTTGCTTGATGGGGGAAATTGTGAAAATGGCCGGGGAATAACTGGCGGTCTAGGGGCTGAAACACCTTCTAAAGATTCATTTAGCTCTCTTGTTGCTCTGTGCCTCCTTTATTTGTTCTTGATATTGCATTCGACCATCTGTGTCCAATTGTAGGTTACTTAAATGTTCCTGTTAGGTGCGCACTCGCATTCTGGTTGTTTGGATCTCGCTTGCTCGTGTCAATTGAGATCAGAATAACGGTCACTTTCTGATTAAAGCTAGCTAATCAAATCTCGATGGAGGAAGCCCAACAAAACCCACGCCCACCTGAATAATTATTATATTATAAAAATAATTGTATACTCTTATTTTATATTATTCGCTACACCAATCGACCGTATATGATATCTTGCTACTGGACGGGAGTTAAAAGACGCCTGGCGGTTATTTTGGCCAATTGAAGCAAGTTTCTATAACTAACTGGGCAACACTTGACAGCAGTAAACTCTTGGAGCATAAAGTTTTTGAATAGATACAAAAACCAAAGAGCCTTCATTTAGTATTAACAGGCACGCATATATTACTGTTATATAGATGGTGCATTGTAAGGCTCAGCGGAGATGTAAGCGGATTACAACGATTAGGTGGGCGGCTGAGACACAGCTGAAAATTGTGGGATGTGTAGGTTTGGTATTTAGACCTTTCAGCTCATCCGTGTAACTGGCAGTTGAAGACTTCTATATTGCTAAAGTGGTGGCTAATATACTAAACATTTTGAAAGGGACGCCTGTGAATGCAGTAAAATAATTGGCACTGCGAGCACGAAGTGCATTTCGGAAGGCTGAAAGCACGCAGATAACACAGGGAAGTGTGTACTTAACTGTGCTGCGTACAGATTGTTCGAAACAGAATATGTATGTGCATAGAAAAAGAGTCAAAAAGCGGTCAATAAATAACAGTGCAGAGGAGTTTTATGCCTTATTGTCGCTGATAATTAGGCAGTTCGTAACTTTCGTCCAATGGCCGCTCGGAGCCATGGGTTGGGTGTCGCTCGACGCCAGAAGACCACATAGTTCCGTGGGACTGAGTATCATCGTACATTCCCTGGGTGTCCACGCTGCCGGAACGTGGGTCTAGTGGTCGCCCTGGGCCTGGAGCTGAGCCTGAAGCCGGGCCAGGCTCATCGTCGGCCACAGAAGCGTGGTATCTTCCTTGTTCCATCAGGTCTTCATACTTGCCTCCTCCATCACGCGTTCGGCTCCGTGACGGTGTTCCCCTGCCGCTTCCCATGCGACCGAAAAATCGGTTCCGGTACGTGGATGATGAGACGCTGCCTCTTGACTGGGAGAAATTGGGCCGGTGGGAATCGTTTGAGCTTCGCAGATTAGTTGCCCTTCTTTCCAGGGATGCATTGGGGTTCCCTTTGTCTTGTTGGCGGCGTTCAGCAGCTTCGAGATTGGCAAAGCGTACAACGTCATCTACACGCTGGCCACGGTCCCAGTATACATCTGAAATCATGTCGTCTGAGCTCAGAGCTTTCATGCCAAGAGAGAAGTCAACACGTTTGTGAGTACTGGCCTGGGAACGAGTTGAGGCCGTTGTTCCTGATCGGTCACGGTGCCGGAGGATAGATTGGGTAGGGTGTAAGCCTTGTACGCCTGAGGACGATGCTAGATCACCCAGGGCATCGCGAGCTTCTGAAGTCTGCGATACATCGGTCATCGCTCCCGGTGTGTTGCTGCCGTACCCGGGAGAGCTACTATACTGTGGTGGAGCACCTTGATGAGCGATATGAGCTGGAAGATCAGATCGGTATCCGACAAGGTTCATGCGTGGTCCTTCAATGTTAAGTTCCTGTAGGCAGATCATCAGGTTGCAGATAAACTTGTTGCGGCGTTGTAGACGAAGAAGTTCATTTTGCCAGTTAGACTTGTAGAAGAAGACCACATTGAGTGTGATAGAGTAATTCTCCGTCACCTCCTTGAGTTCAGTCAAAATCTGGGTCTGAAACTCACGCTTCTCCGACGTAACAAAATCTAGTAGTCTCTGCCGCAAGGCATCAATTTGCTCGAGCGTGGTTCCATACTTGATGATGACTGGGACAGCTTCAGCAAGACCACCACTACGCCTCTGGTTGAGAATGAAGAGAGTGTTTAGATAGCTGTTTGGAGCCTGGACAACGTGGCCTTGCATCTTCTTGAATTCCGTGTACAGAAGAGCAATTTCCTTAACGAAGTAATCGTCTCCCGTGAGGTTTGCACCGGTATTACCGTAGATTGACACTCGATCACCAACATCAAAAGGATGCTTGACGAATACAAAGATGATACTCTGTAGGAACTCTTGAGCTGTAGCGGAAAAGAGCCAAGATAGAGCCAACAGAGTTGATCCGGCAGATGTAAGGACTCCAGCGGTCGATGCGGAGATGAGAGATAGGAAAACCAGGATTGTGATAACAACGACAATAAAGAAAAATACGTCGTCGAGTTTAGAGACAACAGAGTCGAGATCCTTGAGGGATGCGGTGATCGATTTCCGCTCCTTTCCAGTCTCGGTGCAGACTGCTTCAAGCTCCTCCATTGAGATGTCGCCGTTCATGTCCTTGTCAAACATCTGAAAGGCTGCATCCGCTTCATCGTTGTTATCAAATGCTGATTTGAGGTCTCCGGCAAAAACAGTATCGAAACCCTCTTTGACAAAGGTACGGTATACGCGGCGGGCTAGTACCTGACTTCCAGAGGTTGAACGAAGTAGAGTCAGGACCACCTGTTGAGGATCTCTGCTTGAATTAATGCGCCTGCCAGTAAAGTCTCCGGCAACTACGCCGGCAACGTCTCCTACTTTACTGAGGGCCCCGCGAGCAGCTTTCTGGGCTCGGTCGGCATACACCATGGGTGTCCTGACACCTGAACTGCGCTTTTCAGCCTTCTCTTCCAGATCCGAGTCGCTCATGGTCGTGTGTTCCCTAGAATAGGCATAGAGCTTCGCCAGACTGCCAATCTGGAACTTATTGATTTCAATTCGGTCTGCATATGTCCGCAAGTGAAAGCTGATAGCGATAAGCTGGATGATAAGCTTCTCGATAAGATTTAACGTCATGCCAACGAAGATCGAGATGATGATCTTGTTCACAATCACTTCCCAATTTTTGATCGTACGGTCCCCATCGACATGGTGAGTTATCATGGTTGGTAAAAAGGAAATTTCCACGCTTAGCCACCAGAAGAACAGCGCAGCCGGCAATTCCAATTGAGCAGAGAGATCCCGCCACTTCTTCGAGTTGTTGGTGAACAAGCTGGCGATTATAGCCACGGGGTATTGGAGGAGTTTGGCCACAATTCTGCCTGCCCAGAGAGTAAGCCAGACAATCTCCAGCCAGACGGAGAACCAGAGCAGGCTGACGCCGCCGACAGTGGCATCCTTGAAGACAAAGGCACCGAGCAACAGTGGAACGAGTAGGACGAGCACTAGCGGGATGATATAAGTGAAATAGCGGACGAGGAAGCTCGATTCGTGGACTTTCTTGAAAAAACGGGCGACGGAGTTTGTGGGATTCTCTGGCGGCTTGTAGAGCGAGGCATGTTCGTGGATGGGATTGGTAGCCGTGTCAAACTCATCCACCGGATCTGTTCGATGAGAGCGAGCAGGCCGGATGGAGTGAGGTATTTCTCCATCCGAGCAATCCGCGTTGGATACCAGACGCTCTGCCTGCAGCATGGTGATGTCATCGTTTAGGCGACTGGCCTTTTCTCGGTCCTGCGAGGGAGTAGGGTGTAGAAGTTTTTGCTCGTCTTGCTCTGGCGGGTCAACAGTCATCTGCATCCGATTACCCTTACTATCCACCATATCTTCTTCCATGGGAAGATCGTAGCGTTGGTCAGCTTCTCCAGGCTGTTGTTCATCGGATGCGGTTCTTGCTTTGAACTTGGGCTCAGTGCCCTCGTAGACTGGGGTCGACATCTTCAATCAGGTCGCGGTCCTTATCCTCCTTCTCGCTGGAAGACGCATTCCTTGTATTATATATTTGGCAGTATCAATCAATCGAATTCTTTGAATGAGAGTTTTGAATGTGCCTTGAGCTTCCACGGGGGTGACGGAGGAGAAAATAGCAACGGGCGATGTGTCGAGGTTGCCGGCGATCCGCGGAGATGTTGATGAGTAAAGACTTAGTCGAGCAGAATGTAATCAGAAGAATCTTGGAAGGACCGGCCTCTCTGTCGACAGCGGACCTCCCAACATGTTAAATACGTTCGTGTTCTGCCCGATGGAGTGAATGACGGACCAGTCGCTCTCGTCATAAAAGAAGAAAAAGGAGGAACAAATAATCACCCAGGCCCTTGGCGCAGCTCCACTACTTATCAACGTCTCCACCGGCGGGCACCAGGGGCAAAAAAACTCTCGAAGGAAGCCCTCGGAAGCCCGCCATAATTGTTAATGCCCGAAGGGTACGGAGTAGAGGCCGTTATATATAGAGTGGCCTGGCCGGTACCCCGTTAGCTATGGCGTACGAAACCTGTTCTCTCGCCTAACGCATCAAAGACAGTCTCGGATAAGATGCCCTGACGGTGCTGAAGCTATTCCTGAGTGGCAAAGACAGGGCGATCTTATCACACTCAATTGTGTTATTGGCAGACAAGAGCACGCCGCGTGTCATGATCAGAAACATGGACGAGTAGCATGAATGCTCATGAACAGCCAAGAACCCTGCGACAACTGCGTCAGGATTGACGCA